TATTAACAGCTTTTGAAATGAAAACCAAGACATGCAAAATTGTATTTTGTTGTGAAAGGATTCCTTTAACTTGAGATTGTATTGAAAAATTTAGGACTTTAAAATTATGACCGGATTTAAATTTATTTTTTAAGCAATTTTAGGTGAGCCAGTAACAAGCCAATTATCAGGTGACTTGACAAAAAATTTACAACACAGCAATACATCAATAGGTGTTAAAGTTTTTTTTTTTTTTTTTTTTTAAATGATGATTACAGGGAATAGAAACTGATCTTTCATTCTTTTTCTCTCACGCAGCAATACAAAATTTAGAGATGATAAAATCTAAACCTGCAAGTTATTATTGATTCCAATATCAAGTTTGGATAACGCCTTTGAGATTCAAAAAAAGATGCAAAGAAAAATATTATCAATTACAGTTATAAATCTAATAGACAATTAGAGAACATCTAAATACAAAATTTAATAGACAATGACAAAACATCTAAATACCCACACACATATACAGAACTCGTCAGAGAAAATAAAATAGACTATTGGTGTTTTAGAGAGAAATATTTATGTAGTTTCTAATTTTAAATCCCATTATTCCTTTAATTGAATATGAGGCTTGTGTTGGGCATGACAAGAATCACATAGAAATCGTTTGATTTACTCTTTAAACATCGTCGAATGTCATGTTTCTTTTACTGAATACATGGATATTTATTGAACCAAAGACTATCAGTGAGGTTGCGATGCTTGTGCGTGTCCCATTTGTAAAAGATGATAAGAGATTGCAAAATAAAGATTCTTAGTGATTTTGATAATATATCCGTATCATATAAGGTCTATTAAATTTTGTATTTAGATTTTTTTAATTGTCTATTAAATTTATAACAGTAATTGATAATTTTTTTATTTTATTTTATTTTTATTTTTTTTGAATCTCAAAGACGTTATTTAAGCTTGATATTGAACCAATAACAACTTGCAGGTTTAGATTTTATTGTCTCTAAATTTTGTTTATTTGATTTTAGATTCAAAACACAAAAGTAATATATATAACTGTGTGAGAGAGAAAGGGGGAAGGATCAGCTTCTATTTCCTGTAGTCATTATTTTTTTATTATTTTATAACTTTAACATCTGTTGATGTTTTATTGGGCCACCTCATCATAACAAGGAGGTTCCTTCTTATAAAAAGCAAGCATACTTCGTAAAGAAATACCACTAAATTACAACATTTGACAATTACTCTTTCTACCCTATAAAAAATTATACCCTTATAATTTAAATACAAATATTCCTTTTTCTTCTTCTTCTTCTTTTTTTTTTTTTTATTTTTTTTTTTATGTGGTAAAACGTTACTTTTATGGACAATCCAGAAAAGATGTTGTGTGTCTTTATTCTGTATAAAGTGTAAAATAGTTGTTTAATGTGGTTGATGAATGCTTAGATTCGTTGAAGGCTTTGTTAATGATTGTGACGTTACTTTTAGACAATGGCTTGTTTCGTTTACTAGATGCTCTTGTTTGGTGTCTGACATGCTACATTTTACCATCTACCATGTTTCCGTTTGAAGAAAACATATTAGCTTTTTAGGTTTAGCATTGGGTTCCTATGAGCTCTCAATTTTAGTCTTGGGGGTTGGAAAGATGAATAATTGACTAATATAAAATTTAAAATATTATTCGATAATGTTTTCATTGAATATATATGATGTAGGATCATACCTAGGTTAGTTTGAGTTTAATGTCCAACTTTCATTGAAAGCTTGCAAAAGAAATATTTTCATTAAAAAAAACTAAAATGAAAATAGTGAAAAAAGATTCAACTAATTTAACATTTCACCTGATTAAAAGGAAATTAAAAAAAGTCTAAAATGTTCTACACTTGTAGGTACTGCGCAGTAATATATTAGTAATATTCAATTTGGACTTTCATGATTATAGTTCTCTTTATATGAGATTATTAGTGGTCACTTTCATACAATTATCCTTTCTAACACTTGGTAATGGTTTTTCTTCACTTACATTTTTTTTTTTTTTGGATGCTTATTATGTAAGACATGAACCTACTTTAGTAATTAGGATAAGAATACAGGATACAATGTATTGTGTTTTATTTTAATTCTAAATTTCGTTTTTTGCAACGAGCTTTACAACACAGTTGAAATTAAGCCCCTTTGATAAAGTTCCAAATGTTTTTATCCTTTTTAACAATTTTTTAATCACCGTAATTATTGTTTATAATCATGGTATACCATCGAAGATTTTTATAGTTTTCGTGAGTTTGAGATCTTATTATTACTAGATAAATTTTTGAGATTTTAGGTCACCTTAAAAAACATTCTTTTCAGTAATTACAATTTTGATATATTCTATTACAATACTATACCTATTATAACAAGGCTTTAAAAATTATAGAAGTAATTGGGAAAACGAGAGCCATGAACAGGTTATCCATTCAAGTGCGTTGGAGGGAGGAGATGTGTGTCTCAGTCAATTCTCAACTCTCTTTGGTCATGGTTATGATAATGAGAACCGAAAAAGGTCATTGTCGGTGAGGGTTGACGTCCGTGCGGAAATAGACTAGTGCATAGTGATTGACCCTAATGCCCCCATCCTTTATGCTTTCTCTATGTGGCTAGTTTCAAATTTTCAATCAATCGGATTAGACATTAAATTGATTGGCAAAGAAAGTAACATGTTAAAAATTAATAAATAAATTATTTTTATTAAATTTTAATATTTATTTATTTCGTAAATATTTTATGACAAATATTTTACATTCAAACAAACTAATTTAACAACTAACCTTAGATGAGTAGTGAACGGAGTCATAATTTTTTTTTTAGAGGCATATCGTAGACTAAATACGTATAAAATATATATAGACATTGATATTTTTTAAAACTGAGTCGTGATACTTAGACAATAAATTTAGACCCATTTGTTAGGCAAAATATATATGGCACAGAAAGACAAATAATATTTAGCAATGGATCATGCTGTCTCATTACAAAGCTAATTTCTAATTTTATTTTCGATCCTCTAACTGTTGGTCTTCTATTAAAAATTTAATTCCTTCTTTAATTATCTCCATTTTATTTTCTATAAATATCTCTGCATTAACTGTTAGGAATTTAATTCCTTCTTTAATTATCTTCAATTTTTTCTCCATAAACATTTCATATTTTGTCCGTGTAGACTTAAGAAAGGAAAAAAAAAAAAAACTTATGAGCTACTTATGCGTTTGATAGGTTTAATTGATTGTAAAATAAGAGATATTATCAAATAGAGTAAAGATAATACAAATATATGCAGATGATTTTATTAACATTCAGACTTCATTAACATCCATTTTCTACCATACAATTTAATTTTTTATTAAGATGATTTTATCATAAAAAATTATACAGAGAGTCTCAACAACCACTTTGGACTCCATTAACATTCATTCTCTATAATACAATTTGATTTTATTAAAATTTTATAATTAGGTATCATCACTAACAATTAATCAAATCTCTCTTTGCAATTACATGAAGGTATATGGTGTGTGAGGTCGGTAAGGAAGGTGGTATGAGATGAGTAGAGAAAAATTGAAGAGAGAGAGAAAAAAGAAAAAAAAAGGGGGGAGAGATTTTGGATAAGAAAAGTTATCACTTTAAATATTGTAACTTGACATATCTACATAAACAGCCACATGAATTAGGTTAGAGAAATTTGTTTATTTTTTCGATGCAAGTATCATTTTTTTTTTTGAAATAAAAAACATTTAAGGAAACATATATAGTAAGAATTTTCAGAAGGGGCATGTTTTACACATTTTCAAAAAACATATACATCTTATAGAAAAATATATATATAAAATAAGGGAAGGAAAAAAAAAAAAATTTCAAGAGGCGTGTGCCCCGGTCCTATACCGGCTAAAATTAGTTTTATATTCTTTCAATAAATTTTGACCATTTTAACATTTAAAAAAATAATAATATTTGATGAGAAATTAGTTGAATTATTATAGATAGAAAATAAGATTCAATTAAATTTGATGGAATGAAAAAATAATGATAGGAATAATTCATTTTGGAAGTAAAAAGGTATAGAAAATTATAAATTTTGATTCCATCATTTACTTGTGGTACACAAGAGTGACACGACATTAGTTGTTGACATGAGTGTATTGCATAAATGTTCATCAAAACACAAATTCAGAGCCAAAAAAAAAAAAAAAAAAAAAATCAAAACTGATAATTACGTATCTCTAATAAATTAAAAACATCCCTGTCCCGTTAATAAAAATCAGTTGGGCCCATTAGATAAAGTTGTTGAATCAAAATCATAACCATGACCAATTGAATGCTTTTGAAGACTTTAAGTACATTTTTCACCCAGCTTGGTATAGTATTACTACTTTATTACAAATGACAGTGATTTAGGTAAAATGCATACACATACAGCACCATCACTTGGAATAGACGTATTGATAATTACAGATTCCGCCAACGGTATAGACTTGATGACTTCCACCTAATACACATATCATATATGTCAAATAAAGATAAAAATATTAAAACATTGTAATTTTTGCTTAAGTTGGAATAAATGTAGGACCATAAGTGACTATTAATGTTTAGTATTCTGATTATTCAATGTTTAATCATTTTGTGAATTTCACAAAGTTTTTTTTTTTTTACCAATTGAATAACGGTTAAATTTTAGTTCTCATCAAACGCGTTTAAACAGTTAACGAACGTTGTATAATGGTACAATTAGTAAAAGACTAAAAATAATGATCGTGGTTTAGGTGGTATGCTTAAAATTAAAATTACTGTAGAAACTAACATTACTCGTGACGCGTAACGTAACCGGCAATTCCCGGTCATTGTCTCTCACCGACAACCACTTCCGGTCACCCCCACACACTCGAACCGTACGTACAGCTAATAATGACGCCCTCAAAATAACCGTTTTAAATGTAATCTTCGAGCACACTGGGAAACTGCCAAAAATATCATACCAATTAGTGAGCAAATACATCTCATTACCATCCCTGTAGAGGGAGAAAAACGCGCTGCTTGTCTAGAGAGAGAAAGTGACTGCTCAAAGCGAAACACACCCTATCAGTGAGATTTACTTTACACAGAGAGAGTGCGTGTTTATATATAGAGTTCGAATTTCGAGGACTGTGACTAGTCTACGGAGAGAGTCCACTCACTGGTGAGACTAGAGAGGAAGGAGAGTGTTTTTATATATATATATGTATAAGTTTGGATTTCGATGAATGTGATTAGATCAGAAGAAACTACGATAAACTTTTGGCTGATTGAAAATGGCGGAACACGAGGCTAGCGTCTGAGGCTTCTTCGATCTTTCGAAATTCCAAGTAGAGGAAAAGCTTTGGTAAGTTCAAGTTCTTTCTATGTATATTGCAGCTTTCCGATGCACTTTTTTTCTTTGTACTATACTCCAGTTATATATATATATATATATATATATTTTCTTTTTTTCTTTGTACTATACTTCATATCTATTTTTGTCGTCGAGTCTTATTTGGTCTTTTTCTTGGCGGTTTTGGTATCTAAGGATCGATAACATGAAATGCATTGTTTTTGGCTTGAAAATTTTATGATCTGGAATCAATTTCATGCCTAATTTGTCGTTTTCTCTAGAATTTTCGTTTTCTTTGCTTGGTTTTGTTCTCAATTTTGTCTCTCTCTCTCTCTCTTGCATACGTGTTCTGTTGCTGATGAATTTCAGGTTCATTTTGTTTATTTATTTTAATTGAGCTCATTAGCAGTTCTATTTTCCATTGATTACTTTGTTAATAGTTGCTTTTGGGGAGATCTGGTTTTTGTTGCCGTTCATTTGGGCCAGCATCAGAAAAGTCTGAAGGTAGGGGCTCTTCTGGTTGAGATTCAGATTTTTCCGTGTGTGAGAGTTTTGAGCTTGAGCTTGAATTTTCTCAAGTGGAATTAGATGCTTGTAGTTGGTTTCATTTATTGGCACGTGACCAGCACTTCAATATATTCATAACTCTATTAATGGTATGCATTGGAGTTACCTCTCAGCGCTTCCCATGTTGGCACCAATTGATATATTCTGTGGTTGGATCTGAGTAAGTGGCTCTGTAATTCTCTAAACCAATTGTTCTTCCATTGAATGGAAGGTCTCTTCTATAGGTTAGAAGGAAAAACTATTTAAATTGTATAAATATGAAATGAGCATAAATCTTTTAGTCGGTTATATATTCTTTTATTCATCTCCTCTTGTTGTACTGAGATATCCCAATTAATTCATTCCATTTGGGTGATTGATAAACTTGGATGGTTCTCTACTCTGTTCTGTTTTGTCTTATTTTTTTGCTATAGACGGTTTATCTTTTGTAATTGTAAAGTCTTAAAGTCTTCCTATATTAACTCGATTACCCATTTTTCTCTTCACATTCAATAACGATTTTTGTCATTCTTGGAAGATCCTTTATTTTCATAGATGGAATTTTGGAATGAAGTAACATACTCTATTTGACTCTCTGAACCCTTATTGAACACCTTTAATGCAAAAGAGTTCTGTATTTCACATTGTGGTGAACAAATTATTGTAGCTACTGGCCTCTCTATGTACCTTAGATGAGAAGAGATGCATTTTTATGCTTGCATGGACTTTTCATGAATTTTTATCGGATATATTAGGACTTTTTATGCTTGCATTGACTTATCATGAAATTTATCAGATATTATAGGACTAGAAGAGCATTTCAACTCTTGTTAAATAAGATTCTTGATTTAGTTAGGAGACAGGCAGTAAAAATTGGTAGAATATCTTTGATCTAGGGCTGTAAATGATTATGAGTTATGAGCCAAGCTCGAAATATTAACGAGCTTGTAACTGAGATTTAACATCGCTAGTGTATCTAGTGGATGATATAGAATGAGCTGATCTAGTCCCCATCTGCTACTTGATTCATCTTTGAAATCCAAGTGCTCATCATGACCTTATTGACCTAGTTCAAAGCTCAATGAAAAAGCTAATAAACTCCAAAATGGAGCGAGCTTGGTTTGTTAACTTCTTATATGTTGAACAAACCTTAAGTCAAGTCAATCTTGATCCAAGCTCGCGTAAACTGATTCGCCTTGAAGTAGTGAGTGAGTGGATTAGAGAGGAGTGTTGGGCACGGAGTGTTGTTATCTAGTTCCATGATTTTTTTATTTTATTTTAAAAAAAGTAGACTACAACACATGGAATGGTTTACCTGAACACATGCGACGAACCCTTGTTAACCAACCATTACATGATTGTGAAATATCCATTTAGTATTTCTTATGTATGCTTGTGATTTTTATTGTTGATTAAAAAGTCCATCATTTTAGCAAAGACCTTCCTTCCTTATTAGAGGTAAGAAACTCGAACAATCCAAGTAGTTAAGAAGATCCCAAGATGGGGATGTCTGTAATCTGTATGTCCATGGAGTTGTTGATATTGTTGAGTATGTGCCCTAAATCTATTACATATTCATGTATCAGTAATCATCCTGGTATTGAGGGGGTTATTGCTTGTCAAAATCATCTATTTGGTCTGGCATTTTTGTTCTCAAGAGTGTATTGGATTTGACTAGAAGTACATTTGGTATTTTCTTGTCATTCTTGCTCCAGATTATCTGTATTCGTTTTGGCACAAGCTTATTGGGTCTTAATGTTTTTTTCCATTTTTTTTTTTTTTTGGGGGGGGGGGGGGGGGGGGGGGGGGGGGGGCCTAAGTTATTGGGTTTTAATCTGCAATTTGAAATTTACATAATGGAAGCCTTCTCATCATCTTGTCCTTTCCATTTGTCATTTTGCTCTCTGAGCTGCATGAACACTCGTTTGTTTCCTGCTTGTGGCTCTTTATTTGTTGATTTTTTTTCCATAGTTGCTACTCATAGTCCCCTCCAAGGAATAGTTGAATTGTTTATTTGTTGATTTTTATCTATGTATTTTAAGGTGTAGTTGATGCTTGATGTGTTTCGGCAGAATTGTTTCAATGTATTGTTATTCTTGATATCACACTAATATGAGTTGAACCTTCAACAACCATGGTCTCTCTAATATGATTTGTACCTTCAACAACCATGGTCTCTTTTACTTACTTTCGGATGTCCGGTCTTTCCTCTATTAGCTTACACAACTATGAAATTGATACCAATTTGTATATGATATGATTAATGATCATTGACCTGCTATTCTGTTTCTGTTATATTTTATTTTTTTGCAGAACAAGCCTCTTTTTGTTGACCCCAAATGATTTTTTATTGCAGATTTATTAATTATATTGACATTTGTTTCGAGGACCAGAGGAAATTGTTCTGCCTGTTGAATGTGAGATTGGCCTCTCCTTCAAGGGCATTTTAAGAATTGTTGATTGTTGCTTTTCTTCCTTATCAAAGAATCTTCGTTTAATTGCAGTTCAAAAGGTGAAATATTTAAGGTATGAAGGATATTGACAAGAAGAAAAATCCAAACAATAATCAAATAAAACGTTCTGGTAGATCTGAAAGAAGAGATCATAAACTTCAACAAGAGGATAAACGCAAAAATTTGAATGCAAAAGAAAGTAAATCTAAAACTTCAAATGCTAAATCAGACTACAGTGTCTTAGTAAGTGATTCAAACACTGGCACAGAGCCCTCTGAAGTTTATCAAAACATGGTTATACATTACGCAGATGATGTCTACAGGTTTGAGGAGGCATCTCAAAATTCAAAAACCCATGAAATGGTTGACAAAGAGACTAAGGATGAAATAAATGATCATTCTAGTGATTCGGAGAAAGAACCTAAACAAGGAAGGGAAGAAGAATCTGAGGCTGAGACGGTAAAAGATTCTGCATCATCTCAAGGGGATTCACAAACAGCTGAGGAAGAGAATAATTCAAGAATTCCCAAAAGGCTTGCAAAAAAGGATTCCTCTGAGCGCCGTCCCCATTCATCAAGAGTGAACTCTGATCGGGGAACAAATAATTCACATATCAAGGCATCACATAACACTCCAAAGAAGGCCTCAAAAATCAATAGTGGGTCCTCTAAAGCAACTGCAAGTAATATACCTGATAACAGCTCAAGAAATATGGAAGTCCCTCCAAAACCTTCATCAGAATCCTCTGAAGGGTTAGATGACAAGCCTCTTGAAGAGGCAAAGGAAGTAGATATTTTGGATGGGGCCTCAACTGGTGCTCGGAGTGTTGGAAGTGACAACGAAACAGCCAATGCGGAAGAAAATGGTGAGCATGAAGACAAGGAAGCTGTAGATCAAAAGATTGAAGAAATGGAAACAAGAATTGGGAAACTTGAAGAGGAGTTGAGAGAAGTTGCTGCTCTTGAAATTTCACTCTATTCTGTGGTACCAGAGCATGGTAGCTCAGCACATAAGGTGCACACTCCTGCCAGGCGCCTTTCTAGACTTTATATTCATGCTTGCAAATATTGGTCTCAAGACAAGCGGGCCACAGTTGCTAGAAACACTGTATCAGGGCTTGTGTTGATTGCCAAGTCTTGTGGCAATGATGTTCCAAGGTAAGAAAAATATCATGACTTTGGGTGGAGGTTTTTGTTTTAGTTTTCTTTTGTTGTACTGATATGTATTTTCTTTCTGTTGATCAAGGTTGACTTTCTGGTTGTCAAACGCTGTTGTACTGAGGGAAATTATCTCTCTAGCATTTGGCAATTCATGTCAATCAAATTCTGTTACAAGGATTTTTGAAGTAAATGGCGGAGAAAAGAAAGACTTAGGGAAACCTTCACTGAAATGGAAGGGTGGTTATGGCAGTAGACAAACAACTAAAAAAGGTTTTATGCAGTTCATTGATGATTGGCAAGAGACGAGAACCTTCACAGCTGCACTCGAGAAAGTTGAATCCTGGATTTTCTCTCGGATAGTCGAGTCAATATGGTGGCAGGTGAACAACATTATAATTTCATTAGATTCAAATAATTAAATGATAAGGCCCACGATGTCGTGGTTAAAATGAAATATGTAGGTATTTAAGATATATAACCCTGATCAATTTATTAACTTCAAAAGTGAAATAAAATTCGAAAAGTTCAATATGCTACAGGTTTATTTAAGGTTAAATCTTCATATAAATTTTTTACTACAGGTTTATGTTAGGTTGAATTTTCACATATAATTTTTACTATGTGTGGCTTGCTGTGATTTCCTTTTTTGTGCTGACTAACTTCTTCTGCTCGGTTCAGACCTTAACTCCTAATATGCAATCTCCGGATGAGGATTTGAATACTAATAAAACCCCTTCGAGGTTACTGGGACCTGCGTTGGGTGATCAGCAGCAAGGCAGCTTTTCTATTAACCTATGGAGAGATGCTTTCCAAGATGCTTTTAAAAGACTTTGTCCTGTTCGAGCAGGGGGGCACGAATGTGGTTGCTTGCCTATTTTGGCAAGAATGGTATGCAATATTCAACTTCTCATCCACTGTTTTCAGCTTCAATTTGTTTTGCATATGGAAGATTAGCTCAATCACCAAAAAAATTCCATATTTTTTTTCTTTTAGCAGGTTATTAGTTCATCACTTTTTTCGTTCTGTTGTTAAATTAAATCTTTTATCTGTAATTAGGTCATGGAACAGTGTGTTACCAGACTTGATGTGGCCATGTTCAATGCTATTCTGCGTGAGTCCGTCCATGAAATCCCAACTGATCCTGTATCAGATCCTATACTCGATTCCAGGGTTTTGCCTATTCCGGCTGGTGATTTGAGCTTCGGATCTGGTGCACAGCTAAAAAATTCTGTATGTAACATACTCAACTTCTGGGCATAAATGAAACATATTCACTTCATTGTCATTAGTCCTCTCATTTTATTAGAAAGCCTAAATGAAATTGTTTCTACTTAATTTGTGAATAATCTAGCCATCTCACCTACGGCTTTTATAGAGGGGGCAGGAAAATATAGTTTCAGTTGAAATGTTGAATTATCAGGTCCTGGAAAGTCATTATGAGGTATGGCTACAAATTCCAGTTGCATTGTTATACATTATACACTATTCATTTTGGACAAAAATGGAGGAAGCAACTCCCAAAAAAAGAAAAATAAAATAAAAAAATCTGCTGGCACATATGAAGAACAAGACTTATTTAGGGGGAAAATTATTCCCTCTGGAACAGTTGGAAAAAAATTAGGCTGCAGATCATGTACGTTGGAGATCATCATTTCCCTCCATTTTACATAGCCAATTGAACCAGAAACTATCAAGTTGGAATGAATTCCAACTTAACAAATGGAGCCTTGTATGAGTTAGGGAAAAAAAATGTCGAATGGGGAATAACTTCTAGATGGTCTTCATTTGTTTCTAGGAAAGTCATTTTGTGCCTAAAATTGAAAGTTATTTTCCTTGCAGTAAAGCAACCATATTATTCGATATGTGTCATTGTCCTTTTAAATTTTGCAAAATCACATCAGAGTTTTCCATTTTCTTTCCCAACATGCAGAGAAGCATATCAACCACTTTAGCTTGTCATTGTTAATGGACTTCATCTCTGTCACATATAGCAGCTAGAGGAAGTATTTTATCATATTTTCCGGTGCACAAACCAATAAGGAGAAATAATTCATCACATCATGCACATGGTTAGACTGTAAAGTGTAAATTGAACACAAATCACCATGCCATGAGTTTCTTCTGCAGGTAGGTTGTTGGGTCTCCTCATGAGCAAGGTATATATTACAGGGGAAGTCCAGCATTTAGTTATTTAGTGCTAGTGTAGTACTATTGTCAAATCAGTTTTACAGTGGTGCAACAGAGCTCCCTTTTGCATGATGTAATAACTTCTACTGAATTATTATTATTCTTGCTTAACTTGCTTCCTAACAATCATCTGTCTTCTTTTTTAGTTTCTTAAATGCTTATACCTTTACATGTTAAAGCAAAATATTTTTTTAGGGAAACAAATTTGTAAAAAAAAAAAAAAAAAGCTTTTTGCCTCCTCTCCTCCCACTTTTAGGAGGAAAGAATATGGTCAAAAGTTAGCTCCCCCACACCAACCCCGGGGAAAAAAAAAAAAAAAAAAAAAAAAAAAAAAAAGGAAAAAAGCTCTTCCAAAGAACTATGGAAATACCATCTTTCCCTCCTCTTCTTTGTCCACTCGTTGGATCTCATATGGTCAAAGTCGTCATACTATGAAATGTAAATTGATAATACATGCACCATGTCGTGAGTTTCTTCAGTAAGGTAGGTGGTTGTTTTCCTCATGAGTGGGGTAGATATGTCCAAGCTCTCTTCGATTTGAAGGATTGAAGAGTCATTCCTGGGTAACCTAAAACTCTTCCCTCCTACTGGTAAAATCAAAAGGAGGCATCTGGATTTTCAAAGATGATATTTGTTCAATTATTGTCTACTATAAGGTACCTGTTCATGCATTAAATGTGGTTTAAAAGAGGGGGCTTTCTCCCCCAGCCTACCCCAAAGATTTTTTTTTTTTTGGGGGGGGGGGGGGGGGGGGGGGGGGGGGAGAAACAGCAACAGGAACAAAGAAATAAGAATCATGGCTCCTAATGGAAGTTCCCCCTTTATTATGTAGCAAATCCAAAAATTTATTCCACACATTCATGCCAATATCCAATCCATACCCATTTAAGTGGCAATGGTTCAGATATGACCCTTCAAATGCGATATTAGAAAAATGGAGAATGAACTCATTACTGTGATGATTTCTGAATACATCATCAATTGTAGGTCTTATCAAACTCAGTAAAAATGTAGAAAAAGTTGGGTGTTCAAAGCTGACCTTGACCAAGATACCCTATGACATTGAAATGATATTGGGATATTGATACTTTTGTATTTGTAGTCATGCGTACAAGTGTTATAACACAAGGAAGCTACTACCTTTGCAGGTTGGCAATTGGTCTAGATGGCTTACTGATCTGTTTGGCATGGATGCTGATGATGCTCTGAAAGAGGGTGAGCACAGCGGGGAGGATGCTGACAAGCAGGGTGGAGATGCTGAACCAAAATGCTTCCATCTTCTTAATGCCCTGAGTGATCTTTTGATGCTTCCAAAAGACATGCTCATTGACCGGTCAATCAGAGCAGAGGTCCACTTGATAATTTCAACACATTTATGTTAAAACACATGGCATTCATGTTCCCTTGGCAATCCTCTGATTTCATTCATCATGTTTGTAGGTATGTCCATCAATTAGTCTTCCGCTGATTAAACGTATACTCTGCAACTTTACTCCAGATGAGTTTTGCCCAGATCCTGTCCCCGGCGCTGTGCTAGAGGCAGTAAATGCTGAGGTATTACCTTTGTTACCTTTCAAACCTCTCTCAACTGTGATAAAAATGTACAATATCATTTCAGCTTTGCACTTATCTTAGTAGGTTCTAGAGCTTTTCAACTTAGGTCACTGTCCACTAGAGGAAAAAAACTTTTGCTGGGAATGTTGGAAATATATGTCAGTTCAGTGATAACATAAAGTATGTCAATTAAGGAAAGCCTTAGATCCCAATAAAGCCACTTGGTGCAAATAAACCCAAATACTAGGTTCAATATAGTCTATCCCTCCCAGCATCCTTGAAGGGTCATTCCACATCTCCATAAAGCAATATCTGGAGCGATATTAAAAATTACTTCTCTTAGAAGAACATGAATGCTTCTGATATTTAGTTTTATCTATGTTTTATCATATTCTCTTAGAAGAATATGATAGGCATCATTTGTTTGATCAAAATGATCTGATCATGTTAGCTTTTCTCAGTGTAGTTCTATTAAGTGTGATCTGTTTTTATGGCAATAGATTCCGATATGTAGTTAGCAATGTGTGTACAGGGTAGAGATGCTTATAGAGGCTCAAATATGCAGAGTTGAAATTTTCCTCATAAATGACATGCTCAATGACATGGTACCAAATAACAACGAATTTTTTTTTTTTTTCGAGGTTCATGCCTAACCTCTATTATTATACTGGCGAAATCTTGTATTATGTAACAGTGAAATAATGAAGAAAATACAAATAATGGCCTTCTGAATGGAAACGTAATAGACTTGTATTAAATATATCCTCATGGAAATTTTAAGATATGGAATACTGCTTTTAAACTCCGAGGTATGTTTTTTCCATTTGTTCAGTGTATTATAGAGCGCAGATTGTCGGGAGTCTCCTCCAGTAGCTTCCCTTATAATGCTGCTCCGGTTGTCTACACCCCTCCTTCACCTTCGGATGTGGCAGAGAAAGTTGCTGATGCAGGAGGGAAATCTCATTTGGCTAGGAATGCATCTGTTATTCAGAGGAAGGGATATACCAGTGATGAAGAACTGGAGGAATTGGATTCTCCTCTAACATCCATCATCGACAAGTTGCCATCATCTCCAACTCTAGCTGCCAATGGAAATGGGAAACACAGGGACCAAACAAGTTACATTGGTGCAAATGCAAGGTATGAACTCCTCCGCGAAGTCTGGTAGCATGAACTCCTTGAAGTATGGTTAGTGTTAGTGCTACTGCCAATTTTATGTATATCAATGGTTTTTGTATGAAAGAAAAAGTGAATAGGAGGTGAAGAATAGTGAAAATTGCAAGGAAAAAAAAATGAGGGACAGTTTTAGCATATTCTCAAATATTGCCCAAAGCTATAAGTTCTCTTGTATATTTTATTGTCTGTATTGACAGTTGAAAAAACTCCATTGCTTGTAATAAATGTATTCTCATTTTCTGAAGGCAGTATGATTTCTTTCTTTCCCACTTCTCTGTCAAACTATCCAAACACTCCATGATTTGCTTATTAGTTAATTATTCAGATATGTGTAAGCGAATGTTTTAGATTCCTAACTCAACGATTTGTTTGTTGAGCTTCAATTAATCACAACCCTTAATTATTATAGGCTTTACCTTGGGTGTTTTGGCCTTCACAAGACGGGTAGATACAACGGAAAATGAGTCGACAGTGGAATGATTTTGTAACGCCGAATGCGCAAGCACAAACATTTGCACTATATTTGCAAAAGTTACCTGACGAAATGTAACATGGTGAAATATATAATTGTTGCATAAGCAATGTAAAGACACGGAAAGAGCACACCATGATCCGGTTCGTTTTCAATGAGCTACATGTCGAGTATTCTCATATCATCAAATTCTGGATCGTGCGTTAATATTTAAACACGCGGTTAACAATTTCGTGGATAATCATATAGAATAATAGAAACAAAGAAATTTTGTTGGGTGAGACTTGGACTCACGACTATGGGTTTAGTTAACGGGCTTAGGCCCAAACGTATAACAATTATTGGTTGAGACGATAATTGTTAAAACATTATTTATCACTTTTTGTTCTTTTTTTTTTTTTTTTTTTTTTTTTTTTTTTTTTTTTTTCAATTACGCATTTACCAAACAATCTTACAAAAACCAAAAGGCATACCACCTCTACAAATATTTAACATAACTATATATAACAAAATATGTAGAATTATTGAAACAATTAGCATAATATATATAAGAGTACTATCTTTGATAAAAATTATTCGTAGAAGTCTTAATATAGTGAATTGGGGGAGTTAATTGTCTGGAAAAAGGATAAAAAAAAAAAAAAATCCTCACAAGTTTAGAGGACTTTATATAATCTTTAAAAGTGACTGTGACACGCAGAAACAAAATCTTATCCTCTATTTTTGGGCCAACCTATCATTGTACTAAAATAATAGTAAAAGGGTTTTCCGAGGTGGCACAATCCACCGTGTCACAGCAGTTTCTTTCTCTTCTCCGCCCACAGTTCTTTTTAATTGGTTTGAGAAATTGAGATGCCAATGCTCTCTCTCTCATGTATATCGACCCTCTTCTATTCGCACACCTACTCTTCTTCTGTTCATCTTTGTAATCATTTTATCCCAGTATTGTAATGATTTTTGAATGTTCATCAATCTTTTTTTTCTTTACCCATGTTTAAATCTTTTAGAGCGACTATGTCTCATCAGATCTAATTGGTCATTGCAAATCAATATTCTTGTCCGCTTCTTTTTTTTGCTACCGTTGAAGAATTCGATCTAATTTTCCTTCTTGGATCATTGGGACTCTGGGTTTTTGTGCACAAATTAGGATTGTCGTTTTTGGGTGAAAATTATATCTCTATACAGCTTTATCTACTATATTCTTATCTGGGTTTCTTTCAACTTGATACAAAAACTGATTGAAAATCCCAATTTTTTTCTGTGATTTTTGGGTGTTTGATTTGGGGTGTCTGTCTGAAATATGGTTACAGTGAATGTTGGGATGCTCCATTATGTGTTGGATCATGTATATGGTGCATTTGTTCACAGAACAAAGATAACTCCGCCATTCTTTTCAAGAGGATGGGGTGGTTCAAAGCTCGATCTATTGGAGAGATTGATCAAGCAGCTATTCCCTGATTTTGAAGGCCAAAGCTGGCCACCCAATTTGGTCCAACCCACCTGGAGAACAGTCTGGGAAACCAAGACTGCTTGTTTGAAAGAAGGTGTTTTTAGGACTCCTTGTGATGAACAGCTTCTCAGTGCATTGCCTCCTGAGAGTCACAATGCTAGGGTTGCTTTCCTCGTCCCTAAATTTGTGCCGCCGCAGAAGATGGCCTGCGTGGTTCATCTTGCAGGTAACACGGTAAATCTTTAGATTATAGCTGCATTGGAAATTGGATTATTTTTGTACTTTCATTTATTTATTTTTTAGATCTGCTATATTGTAAGTCAACTAATTGATAGATAGATACTCAGAATTTGGGCTTTTTACTTACTCTGCATTATCATGGGAATTTGATTGAGGTAGGTGTTTGTATTGTTTGTTCGTGAATTTGTTTCTTAAAAGGAGTTTAATGTTAATTCGTTATATTGTAAATGATCTATTTCTATCTGTTTTATAAGTTGGTGTTTTAGAATATTTAGATTTTCATACAAACGGTTGAAAATTTGAAGTTCGGGATTAATTTTCTGTCTGCAGGTTTTATGTGATAATTTAACTGAGGCGTTCATTTATTATTAGCTTGCTTATTTGCCTGGACAGAAATTCAAATTTTGATGTGTAACATGGTAAAGCATTAGCTTCTACCAGTCTTGATAGATTGTTTCTAAACTAAGGTCTGGATTATCATTCCATAATTATAAAATTGAAGTTCCAACAAAATGAATGTAAGCATTGAAACTTTTATTACCTATTTATTTTCAACAGGGAGCTCAAATGAGTTTATTAGTTTTTGTGTAATTTGTTAGCTTTACTTGTTGGACCTTGGTAGAAAGATGGGGAAATTAGTAAATCTTTAGCATCTCTCCTGTTTGAGAGGTGGATTTATAAATTGGTCGTATTTCGTACCTTTTTTTTGGGAAGACAAAGTTGATTGCCAGTCGATTGTTAGAAAATGAATGACTTACAAATTTTCAGTATAAGTTTATTGTTTCTGGTTTCTCTAGTTTGTAATGAGTCAATGACTTAAACTCAGTCCCTTCATGTTCAGCGTGTTAATTTTTTTCACATAATTGGTGCCTAGAGAATGCATGTTAACTACACTGAGAGCAAGGGTTAACTAAGAATCTAAGATGATCCTTGAAATCAACATGCCATATTGGTAAGTGAGATGTTATGAGTGCTAACATGGGATGAGGTTATTAATAATGATTTTAAAATTTTAAATATAGTAGGTGAACTAGCATGTAGTAGTAAAGTTTCAAGAGAGATAATTTATGTGGCCAACCCCAATTATGCAGGATTAAGGCAAGGATGATGATGATGTTATGAGTGCTAAGTTGTATGACCTAAAACTGAAGGCCATATTCAAATAGATTCCATTTACATAGCTAGGCATTAAAATTTGTTCAATCTATCTCCAATTATGTTTTAGCCCTTTGATGTGTGGAAATTAAATTGTCCCATTGCTTTTTTTTTTTTTAGAATGTTGGGGGCATAATACCTAGTATAAAGGGTAACTTGCATGAGCTCCTACCCAGTCGGAAGCAAAGATTGCTTATAAATGAAAATGAACATGGAGATTGGGAAGCTTTGTAGCAAGATTGATAAATTTTTAAGCATGATAGCTTCTACAACTATTTATTACATCAAATTTGCAATCTCAAGTTTTAAGATATTGCTCTCTACAATGTCAAGCTAAAGCAATTTTGATACAATAAAGAGCTCTTCTTTCAGGCACCGGGGACCATACGTTTGAGCGGAGATTGCGTCTTGGTGGACCATTGTTGAAGGAAAACATAGCAACCATGGTGCTTGAGAGGTGAGGGGCCAATTTTACAATGTTAGCTGCTTTTTCAAGGTCAAAGCAACTTCTAATATACTCCATGTAATCTTTGTGGTTTCTGATTTAAAATTGGATACATTTTGCAGTCCTTTTTACGGACGAAGGCGTCCAGTGCTGCAGCGTGGTTGTAAACTCTTGTGTGTTAGTGACTTGCTGTTATTGGGAAGAGTTACCATTGAAGAGGCTCGTAGTCTTTTGTATTGGTTAGACTCCGAGGCAGGTTTTGGCAAGATGGGTGTTTGCGGACTTAGCATGGGTAAAAACTCAAACCTTCTCCTTGATTGTAAAGGCCAATTAAAAAAAAAATGGAGTTATTTCTGCAACTTGAAATCTGGATTTTACATGCGTGCTTCTCGTTGCTCCAGAAATGGATTTGCTTTAAAAGCTAAACCTATATATATATATATATATGAATTTCAACTCTCAATATTTTCTTCTTGAATGGAATTACAACTTTTCATATATATATTTTTTTCTTAAATGCAATTATTAATGGAGTTAGAATCATGTTCCAATCAGTGAAGCTCATACATATATGACTATTAATTATTTGTTTGGTAAAGTGAAAGACATATGCAACCTTTTAGAAAGAGGGAGGTTGGTTTAAATGGTGCCTCATTTGGCAATGATCTTTGCTAATAGGAGCTCTCTCTCTTGAGCAGTTTTGTGAATTGCATGCCAACATAGGTCTTCGTGGTAGTTTTGTCTAGGTTTGAGTTCTGCTAGATGGTTGTCTTAGATTTTCCCTCTGTTGCTATTCTTTCTTTGGATGGAGTCTCCTCCTCTACATCTATTCTCTTTCCTTGTGATATATATATATATGTATATACTCTTTTGTTAATTAGGGAATAGAAATGGTAAAGATGCAGAAAGTGAAATGTGGATATTTTTGTCATATACAAGCATTTTAACACATGCGCAGAATAAATTTTACTCCCAAAATTTGATGCTTCTATGGTATTTAGGCGGAGTACATGCTGCTATGGTTGGATCTCTGCACCCCACCCCTATTGCTACTCTCCCATTTCTCTCTCCCCACTCTGCTGTTGTGGCATTCTGTGAAGGGATATTAAAGCATGCCACTGCATGGGAGGCATTGAGAGAGGATCTTACCCTGCAGGAGGCTGCAATGACGCTCGAGGAAGTAAAAGAGCGGATGCGAAATGTGTTGTCTCTCACAGATGTCACACGCTTTCCAATTCCCAAAAATCCCCAGGCTGTTATATTTGTTGCTGCTACTGTAAGTACCAGATTACAGTTTATCATAAGAATTTTAATTGGAGAAGAATAATAGTTGTTGGACAGTTTATCTATAACCATTTATACCAAAATTCTATTTTCTTTAATAATTTTGATGCTACCATTATTTCATTATTGTAAAAAAATGCATATTCTTAAAGTTGGTTTGAGTTACACTCCTCAATTCTTCCACACACACAAAACATTTTTTGAACTTAAATTTCACTAACTTCTAACAGTTTTTTATGTAATGCATGGAAAGAAATCGTCCAAATGTTTCTTGGAGAGACCGATTTTCTCTTCTTATATTTAACTTTGTTAATTGTGATTTGTTCTATTAAAGTCTCCTATCTGAGCTTTAGGCTCTCAAAATCATGTGATTTATACTTTATGGACAATGAAGGATCTTTTAAGGGCACTATACTTTTCTCTACATTAAACTCCTATGTTAATTGAGTGAGTGTTTTGCCAGTGTGGACTGGTATTTTGTTGATAAACCAAGTATTTCATTTGGACTCGGATGCGATGTCTGCCCGTTTTCCCTTTATCAAAAATTCTGTTTTGTAACAAAGACTTTATAATTGTTGTTTAACAACAATGTTTTTTCAGGATGATGGATACATCCCAAAACACTCTGTGCTGGAGCTTCAAAGAGCTTGGCCAGGCTCGGAAGTGAGGTGGGTCACTGGCGGGCACGTCTCATCATTCCTCCTCCACAATGGTGAGTTCCGCAAGGCAATTGTCGACGGGCTCAACAGATTACAGTGGAAGGAGTCTCCCTTGTGAAGAAGTGACGCATTAACTCGCTTGGTATTCTTTTTCACCTCTAATTATTTTCACTTCAATCTGTAGAGTGGATTATTGCTGATGTCTCAAAAAAAAAAAAAAAAAAAAAAAAAAAAAAAAACAACCCCAAATAAGAAATGAGAAAAGGGGTTGTGTAACTTTCTGCATGTTCATTCTTTTCTAAACTTGGTTGGCTTTAACGGTAGTTACGGATTCAATTGCTGCAGCTCATAAAATGGTTCACTCATTTTAGCATATATGTTAAGTGAAAGAGCACTTGTATTCTTTATATGGTTTATGCCAAGTGCTCTTAGCATGGAACAGTTAATTTTTTAAGTGCAATAATTAGCATAACGGTATGGTTGCGTTGCTCTGTTGGGACTTGGTTCAAAACAGGAGGAAACAGCCTCCACGTATGTGGAGATGAAACTGCGTTCATCTTACCCTATTTTAGATTCTGCAATGAAGAGAATCTCATGCACTTGACTAAAACATTTTTTAGTTGATATAAACTATGATAAGCTACCTGGCATCTACAGTTACTTTTTTACTTGGTGGAAGTTGATATCAAGTTCATAAGCATGTATAAAAAGAGGGTTTAGGACGTAATCAGTAATTGCTTCATAGAAAGGCTTTTTGCGAAAACAATGGCATTTTGTAAACCATTTTCGAAGTGCTATAGCAGACAATTTCTTCTTTTCCTAATTGCTTAAAATTGCAAGCAAATTGTACTTGCTGATATCAAAGTTTGACTGCACAATCCAAGTTTAATGGCCTAGTATGCTCTCATCTTTTCTCAACAGAAAAATTACCGTCTAAGTTATAATATTCTCTTTTCTCGATAGTTTTTCCATCCATCAGCAAACTAAAATTTGATTCAAACCTTTGGCAATTGGCGCTTATCAAAGAGACGTGACTTACTTGATCGTTTGTACAAGTCTTCCCAAAGCACCCTAGGAGTTTTTTTTCCCCTATTTTGGAAGTTGACATTAAATTGATACAATGTCTTTGAAACTCATATATTTCCTAGTTGTTGATAATTTTACAAATTGAGCAAAAGTGTGTTTATTTATTGGCTCCACAATTCAAAACTTCTTGTCATGCTGTAGTTAGTTTTACTAATTGAATACTTCATTCGTGGGATAAAAAGAAAGAAAGGTGGTTCTTCAAAGATTTGTCTAATTTTCCTTGACATTTTACTATCAATTCAAAGAAAGCCTATAGAGCCACTATCAAAAGCAAAATCGCATTAATAGAAAAAAGTTACTTATAATGACTAATGAGAGTGCTTTAACATGAAATAAAGGAATGAGCAGAAAGAGCAGGGGGGCATTATTGGGTGGGTAACACATCAAACCACTGCACATAAGCAAAACATTATAGGGCGGACGTGGATCACAAATCAATGTTGATATTGTATAATATAGTTGTTGATGGTTGCCACAAAGCAATCATGTCAACATGTTTAACTATGAGAATCTAATTTTGGTCGGTTAAACCTTGGGCAATGAATTTTTTATTTTTATTTTTATTTTACAAGAAGCTTTGGTGCAACTCGCATGCAATGCTAAGACTGCATCTTTTCCAGACCCCGCAATGACCTTGTGCACTGGATTTGCCCTTACTCGGCAAGAAGCTCACACATCCTTCATCTTATGCCATGAGTTCATTGGCTCCATTCTGACTCCTACTAACTGAGAATTTGTAATAGAGAGAATACTTCTGGTATGGCCGACTAAAATCAATCATTTTTTTACAAAAACCACCTAATTGAAAAAATTAACAATAGCCGACATTTCTAATTCATGGCACATTTCATCATTACTCACAGTATCCATAGTAAAGATGCTCTACATATACAAAAGAAAATACTTTTTTCAAAACATCAGAGAAAGTAAATGGGATCCATATTTTTTTTTTCAAGATTTCAAAAAGAAACAAACAATATTTCACTCAAAAAAAAGGTCAGTGATGAACAGTTTGAGCGTGACTCGTTTAGATCTCAAATCATGTCGCTTTGATCTGAACTCAACTTAATTTTGGATATAAAGGAGCGCAAACAATCTTCTACTTCACTAATGTAGACTTGTGTGTAGAAGATTGTTCATGTATGTTTACAAACTTGGGGCTCATATATATGCCCTAGTTTTAAGTGCGGCAAAACATACACAGATTTCTGACCTCATCCATTTGCCATCCTAGAGGAAATTGCATTTCTAAAGAAGCATCTCAGAAAGTTCAGTTTTGGTGAAGAAAGCAGTTTTGACATTTGGAAATTTGATTAAAGGAGAGAATAAAGATGGTGCATGAAGATCAAAAGTGTCTTTATAGGCATGGTCACTTACCCTTAAGCTTTCTGTATTTGCTTTTGCTTTTCTTTAAGCACCACTACAGTTTGCTTTAGCATTTAGTAGTTCCTTTTCTATGCCACCTGCTTTCCTTCACAATAGCTCTGCAGATGAACAAAAAATAAATTAAAAAGAAAAAGGCATGTCTAGACCAAGCAAGATCAAGTTATGTAGTTCAAAGGAAATGACTTGAATACCCTAACTTTAAATGCAAAAATCTACAGAAACAGTAAGGACAGAGGAAGGGAAAAGAGGGTTAAAATAAGTTGTAAAATAAATCCATGAAAGAAAGGAACATAAGAAATCAAAACACAATTGATTTAAAAGTCTGGAAGACTATCTTGTTCTCTGAGATAAGGCATCAATCAACTTTTGCCATAATATGGAATGTTAGGAGCTAAACCACTTGTTTTTTTCTTCTATATTTTCAGGAAAAATACTAAAGGTTGCCTTTTGAGATAATGCGTTTAAACAACGCAAATGACTTTATTCCTGCTATTCCTACTGAAAATAAGTCTTCGAGAACTCTCTTGAGAACAGTTTCCATACTCTAACAAAAACTATTCTCAAAAAACTGAAGCAAAGATAATTGAACCAAATGGACCCACATGTTTCTTTCTGAAAAACTTAACCATTTTTTTTTTTTTTTTTTTCCCATCTGTTTAACATATATGTCACAGTAAGAGTCTCAGGTTTCTCTGGTGTAAACTGGTGGTGGTGGAAGTCCACAATCAACTGCCTTGACACAAAGAAGGATCATCTAGCCTCTTTGAAGAAGACAACTCCGAAAACCAGATATCAAAACTCTTAACTGCACACAGCTACTTCAACCCCATTTGGAATGAGAAGCCCCTCTTCAACCTTGACAAGCCCAAGAGTCTAGAAAACTTTGACATCAAAAAATCTGTGTCTACAACGAGAAAAGATCATTTCCAGGCTGCAGCTTTCTTTAAAAGGTAAGAATTCACAGCTCAAATAGACTACTCAAGAAAAGAAGATAAAGCTTATTAACAAATTCAACTAGAAAATATATATATATATATATATATATATATATATATATATATATTTCCATCTTTTTTCACTTGCATATGTCAAAAGTAGTAATATTGGCTCGACAGTTCTATATCTCACCAAAGTGCAAGCACAAATTTTTTCCATCTTCTACGTGGCCCCTTATAGTTTCTGATGAAATAAATGTTCCTCCAACAGATATACTTGGCTGTTTTTTCAACACTGCTGCATGAGCTTTAGCTGATACTTCAACTGCTAAAGCCCCTACGTCTGAGACCTATTGCTCCTGCAGTAGCTGAAGACATATATTCAAACAGCAAGTTTGACAAATTTCAGTGAAGAGAAGGAAAAAAAAAGGGCCAGAAGTGCATTTAATCATGCACCCAATGAATCAGCAAGGACATGCTAATCCCCAAGACGAGTATAAATTAAAAGACACCAAGCCCCAGCTCGGGGAGCGCTGGCCACATGGAGGAGGAATACGTGGCGTAGGCGGATGGATTACCAGCGAAAGAGTTTCAAGCACTTATGATCTTGTGGAACAGATGTATTATGTATATGTTCGAGTTGTGAAAGCCAAAGATCTTCCACCACACCATCTAAGTGGAAGCTGTGACCCATATGTAAAAGTGAAACTCGGGAATTATAAAGGAGAAACACAGCACTTTGAGAAGAAAACAAACCCCGAGTGGAACCAGGTGTTCGCATTCTCAAAAGAGAAGATTCAGTCCTCAGTTGTTGAGGTTTTTGTCAGAGATAGAGCAGTGGTGACAAGAGATAACTATATAGGGAAGGTGGTCTTCGACATGAATGAAGTGCCAACCAGGGTTCCACCAGACAGCCCTTTGGCTCCTCAGTGGTATAGACTAGAGCACCGCCAGGGGGATCAGAGTAAGGTGAAAGGAGAGATTATGCTTGCAGTATGGATAGGAACGCAAGCTGATGAAGCTTTTCCAGAATCATGGCACTCGGATGCAACTTCAGTCGAAGGAGAAGGTGTGTTCAGTGTCAGATCAAAAGTTTATGTTTCACCAAAACTGTGGTATCTCAGAGTTAATGTGATTGAAGCTCAGGATGTCGAATCACATGACAAAAGCCAACCCCCACAGGTTTTCATAAAGGCTCAAGTTGGAAACCAGATACTTAAGACCAAGACGTGTCCAACTCGAACCACTAACCCATTCTGGAATGAAGATCTAATATTTGTAGCAGCTGAACCTTTTGAGGAACAATTGGTGCTTCTAGTTGAAAATAAATTGAGCGCTTCTAAAGATGAAATTGTTGGGAGAGCAACTTTGCCACTGCACCTCTTTGAGAGACGACTGGATCACCGGCCAGTTCATTCTCGCTGGTTCAATCTTGAAAAATTTGGGTTTGGTGCTCTGGAGGCAGATAAGAGGAAGGAACATAAATTTTCGACCAGGATTCATCTTAGAGTGTGTCTTGAGGGTGCTTACCATGTACTGGATGAATCAACCATGTACATAAGTGACCAACGGCCCACAGCTCGGCAGTTATGGAAGCAGCCAATTGGAATCCTTGAAGTGGGTATCCTAAGTGCACAAGGGCTTCTCCCAATGAAGACAAAGGATGGCCGAGGAAACACATGTGCTTATTGTGTGGCTAAGTATGGACAGAAGTGGGTAAGAACCAGAACCATAGTTGAAAGCTTCAGTCCAAAATGGAACGAGCAATACACTTGGGAAGTTTATGACCCTTGTACAGTGATCACATTGGGAGTTTTTGACAACTGCCACTTGGGATGGAAGGACAAAGCAGCCGCTGGCGGTGGAGCTGGAAGGGACTCAATAATCGGAAAGGTAAGAATCCGGCTATCAAGTCTGGAGACTGATCGAATTTATACACACTCTTACCCACTTCTTGTTCTGCAACCATCTGGACTGAAGAAGATGGGTGAGCTTCAACTAGCCTTTAGATTTACTTGCTTGTCTATGGCGCACATGATATATCTCTATGGCTACCCCTTACTGCCGAAAATGCATTATCTGCATCCTTTTACTGTAAACCAATTAGATAGTTTAAGGTATCAGGCAATGAACATTGTAGCAGTGAGGCTAGGCCGAGCTGAGCCACCACTAAGGAAAGAGGTGGTGGAGTATATGTTGGATGTGGATTCCCATATGTGGAGCATGAGAAGAAGCAAAGCTAACTTTTTTAGAATTGTTTCACTCTTTTCTGGCCTAATCTCTATGAGCAGGTGGCTTGGTGAAGTTTGTCACTGGAAAAACCCAATGACTTCAATTCTATTTCATGTCCTTTTCGTCATATTGATCTGCTATCCCGAACTGATACTCCCAACCATCTTCCTCTACATGTTTCTTATTGGGATATGGAACTATCGGTTCCGGCCAAGGCATCCTCCTCACATGGATCCGAAACTTTCATGGGCAGAAGCAGTTCACTCAGATGAACTAGATGAAGAGTTTGACACATTCCCTACATCTAAACCACAAAATGTAGTGCAAATGAGATATGACAGACTTCGAAGTGTGGCAGGAAGAATTCAAACCGTGGTTGGAGACATGGCAACACAGGGGGAAAGATTTCAGGCTCTGCTTAGCTGGAGAGACCCCAGAGCAACCAGCCTCTTCATAGTTTTCTGCCTTGTTATGGCAGTGGTGCTTTATGTGACACCCTTTAGAATGGTGGCTATGGTTGCAGGCTTATATTTACTTAGGCATCCAAAGTTCAGAAGCAAGATGCCTTCAGTTCCAAGCAATTTCTTCAGGAGATTGCCGGCTCGAGCTGATAGCATGCTCTGAATGGAGGATACTTAACAAGTGTGTTCTGAACATTATGATATCAATTCTATTTCTGTATCTTTAAACCTTTAGTTCTAAAAAATTGACACGGCTTTTCTGTTCTTCTACATCCTAATTTATATTTAATTGAAATATAAATGACTATAGAACATAAGCAAGAATCAGACTCCGAGACTGAAGCTTCCTACAGTGAAGTTCATGCCACAAATTTCTACCAAGCGTCTTTCTCTTCAATCACCATAACATCCAAAGACCCACTACTAGCTAATCCAAGGCAAACTCAAGATACACATCATTGCAAAAAAAAAAAAGCTTTTAGTCATAACTATGCTACCACTACATAAACCAATAGGACTACAGGTAGACAGTGACAGTAAAGCCCCAAAACAATTAGACAAATGGATATGAGCATAAGGCGCTATGATAATACAGGAAAGCGAAAGGCGATCGTGAGAGAAGAAAGAAAAGAATTCTCCCTAGCTTACAATTTAGTAAAGAGAATAAATATGCCTTATATTAAGTCATTTATGTATCCTCCCTAGAAAGGCTTTATTGACTCGAAGCTTTATTGTGAAAGAAACTTTGTTGAATTGAGTTAAGTAACCTCCAAAATCAGATGAGAAGCATTGCTGAACAAGACAAACCAATTCTTTTATCATTCTTCTCCTTCTATTTAGGAGTAAAAGGTAGAAGGCATTCATTCAAATTCAGAGTATATGACTCAAACTCAACGAAAGAGGACAGAAAATAAAAGATACTGCTGTAAGAATAACATCTATGAGCACAACACTGACCGAATTCCTGTGACAATATTATTCTCCAAGGTGCAAAAAAAATCGCAGTCCGGGTTCTGGAAGTGAGTAAAATCAAACAATGACAGACTGGAAAATAAAAAAGAAGGATTGGATGCTGAATGAAAACGAAGGAGCATGATCATTAGAACGAGGACGTCCAAAACCCGAGTAAGAGGCAAATAAAACTATATGAGAAGAATTTAGCATAAAAAAATGTGTGCAGCTAAAAAAAAAAAAACACACCCTTTTGTTTCACTTTTAAACACACAACACACACAAAGAGGGATTATACAGAAATACATGGATAGATAGATAGGTAAATAGGCGGATGGTGACAGCTTCTTTACTCTAGATTAATAAACAACATATTTACAATGACTCCTAAGTATTGCCTGCAGGCACTAAGTAAAAGACTTGATGAATAAAGGCTTTCAACAGTTTCATCATTCCTAAACTCTAAGAAGTCTCAACCTTCGTAAATGTTAATTAGCAAAAAAGAAAATTGAAATGAACAAGAAGTTGTAATCCCATCACTGATGTTCTTTGTTGACTCTCAACTAAATCAACTGGTAATTATATAATACTCGTTAAGGGCAACGTGGTAAATTTACACCCACTCTTAATAACCAAAATGTCTAGGCAAAGGCCAGTGTAATTTCTGAATCAACAGAGGAGGCCATGTAATTATGCTGTAAAAAACAGCATTACCAGAGAATTAAAATTTCAGCTCAGAATTATACATGGTTCCGACAATGTGTTTCTACAAGTCCGAGTAATTCAAAATCTAAAATAATAGATAATTTGAAGTAAAAAAGCAACAAACAGAAATGGGCATTTTAGATTTATCCAAATATATATATATATATATATATATATATATCAAACAACAAACCGAAACAAACTCACCGGTGATCGGAAGCAACCCAGATGGAAGTTGTTCCAGAAAACAACTATCTTCCCCTTAAACTTGCAATCAATATATTCAAAACAGTTTCTTTCAGGTGTACTCTTTTTGCCAAATCGATTACCCAAAGACCACACTTGTGCTATCTTTACAACTTTCCGACGCTCTGATTCGAACCTGGGCTTTTCTTGCCTTCGTCGCCATTGATCACAAGAGGTTTGTAGCTAGCTATCTTTGTGCTCATTACAGTATGAAGATTTAATTTTAATATAAGGAAAACTTCCAAGGCTGCATTTACTATTTAGACCCTCAAATTACATTTATATGAGAAATCATTATTGGACTAAAACCAAAAAATTAATTGCACAAAACCTCCATGAACTAAAAATTAATTGCACAAAATCATTATTGACTCAAAGTTTTTTTTTTTTTTTCAAGAAACAGACACACCAGTTTTTTTTTACTTGTGTAAACTTAAATCTCAACAACCAAGAGTTTTGTGGCCTAATAATACCTTCTCTACCTTTCAAAATGAATGGTGATAATTTAAGTCTCTGACAAAGTAAAGTGAATGTGTGTGAATTTCTTGCCACCAACTATCAAAAAAAAAAACCAAAAAAAAAAAAAAACTTAAATCTCAACCTTTTAATTAAAAAAGTAAAAAAATTTCTCTAGGGACCCTTATTTTATAAAATATTTTTTTAAGAAAATAAGTCTCCTAAATCTTTAAATGTATGCAAATAGGACCAATAGGCTCAACGTCACTAAATGGATTGTTACTTTTATTTTTTTTTCCCCCTCACTTGTATAAAATTCCCTTTTTGAATTTTAATAAAGAATAATATTGACAACGCGCAAAAACTCTTCGAATTTGATTTGGCTAAGTTAGTCAAACTTAAAAAAGAAAAAATCTCCTCTTACATGTGTGTGTGTGTATATATATATATATAGTTTTCTCTTTTCCCTCACAAAAAAATAAAATAAATAAAAAACTCTCTAAATTGAATATATAAAATGTTTCTCCTCAAGTTGTAAAATTATTCTATATCCCTATTTTTTCTCTAAAAGACAAATATATTTTGTAGAACTTTAATAGGATGAATAAATTATAGATTAAAAATTCCTTAATATAAGTTTTAAAACAATTTTGGAAGTTTTATGCCATTAATTCCAAAAAGTTAAAATAGGGCCATTTATTTTTTTTAATTAAGTCACAAATCAAAACAAAAGTTTAAACTCAAGTTTCATTATACCAAATTGGTCAACAACCTTATGTAGACATCTCAGTTTTTTTCTATGTTTGATTTACATTGGTCATGTTGCCTTAACTAGCAATAGTGGCTACTTTATAATGGGTTGGGCTTTTGTCATTGTTTTTAAATATTTTATGTAGGCTCATCTTGGGCTTGTCCCTATTTGGCGTTGTACTGTTCTTAATTATTATTAATACAATTAACTTTACTGTTTTTAAAAAATAGATGTTAGTGTCAAACGCAAGATCATTACGATGATAAGAGAAAAATAAAGAGATTATTAAATCAGCGTAAGTGTCATTATTTCTGATTATTGCAATGTATATCATGATCGATCAAATTTTTTTTTTTATCCAATGTAAAAGTTAGTAAGCATGCATCAAATGTCATCTAAATGTCGACGCCACACAGTAACACAAATGCCTGATGGACAATTCAATTTCTGACACGGTTTCATTGCTGGGCTATAAACCCGACACATTTTATGTCTTTTTCTCTTACTAAAATACAAACAACGAAATAAACATACAAACCTCAAAATTAACCACCACCTCCTTCTTCCATGTCGTTCTTCTTTGCCCTCACCTCTATTTCAATGTTAGATCTTAGTACCATATATGTCTATGTCCAACAACAACATATGACAGAGATAGTTAGTTTTACAGCTATATAACCTAAACTATTTATTGTATTGGGTTTTTCTAAAAAATTATTCTTGCCGGGGCCGTGCTAACCAGAGAGAACTGAGAGCTCGGAGGCGATGGAAGTATTCAGCAATGGCCAGAAAATACCTCGCCGTTTGACGAATAGTCAGAATTTGATCGAGCCGATGAAACATTTGCTGCCTCAGATTATCAGCCTGTAAGTTTTTTTTTTTTCAATAAAAGAAATTAAATAATTTAAATATATAGTACGAATCATGCATATTGTAAAATGGGCTAAATAATGTAAATAAGATTTAGATCAAAATAAATCAATATCACTTCACTTAACCCACATCTGGTTACTTGGTTGGGAAAAGAATATTCAAAGAGTGATTGGTATAATACTCTTTCATCTTGGAAGTTGTTGGCTACATATGAATGTCTAATTATTCTCTAAACATTTACAAGTCTATAAAACTCTTTAATTTTATAGAATTTTGTTTGCTTTTTATAAAATATCTACAATATCTTCAACATTTTAAAAAATTTCAAACTCTTTCTGCGAAACTTCAATATTCGCCTATTCAAGAACCATTTTTTTTTTTTTTTTTTTTTTTTTTTTACGATTTCGAAAGGTAGGCAAGATCAGACCTTCACGCCAAGAAGCAGGTGGTTACGTACGGGAGTAGAAAACAATCATTAACACGCGCGTGTTATTTGCGTTGTAGGTGAGACGGGTGAGTATGTCATTCATTGGAGATTAGTGTTATGTGTGCTCTTAGATCAAAATAAACGTAAGGGATGGAACTGTGACCAAAATCATCAACAGTCAACTGTGACACTAGCTAGGACTTCTAATACTGTAAAGCTTTTTTCAAAGAAAATATACTGTATTATTTAATCATGTCACCCTATGAGCTGGAGGAGTAGGTGATCAATGAGAGCAGGTATGAGCAGATTCCTATTCTATAATGAAGCCACGTGGAAGATACCAAAATTACATGCATACATACTTGTTAAATACATTTTTAATATTAAGGACTCTCAATAAAAATAAAAACCATATCATTAATTCCAACAAAAAAAAAAAAAAGGAACAAAAAATGACGCACCTGTCTTACAAAACCTTGGAGGGTGGTGAGCTTTTTAATGGCCAATGCCATCTGGCCCATGTAGCTGGACATGTTAGGAGGGCATGAGCTTAGTGCATCAGAAACAATGGTGTCTGAGAGAGACTGATTCAGAGCTTCAAGCCCTTGAGACAGTGCTTCTTCACCCTCTTGTGTTGACTGTTGTAGCTCACAAATCAACAATACCTGTTGCTCCGTCAATGGCTCTATTTGATTCAGAATTATCTAACAAACAAACACACACATACAATATTAACATTTATTCTAATATACGAACAAAACTATATATTCAACATTAATTATATAGTCAAAGGAGACATACATAACTTGTAAGCCCACACACAAAGAGTAAAATGTTAGAACTTGGTTTCGAATGTATGTGCAAGTAATTAAACCTAAAAATTAGGTTTATATACAGTATACTCTCCCAACACTCTTGATTTCTGGATACAAAATTTTTTACAAATATATAACTTATAATTATACATTCATGTGCACAAACACACACACATAGATATGTCCATGCATATATACATATATATACATAAATTGTATGCATACGTAGACTTTCCAAATCAACTTGGTTATTATTTACCTTAAAAGTTGTAGATGGTTGGTTTATTCATTTACTACAAACCAAATGGAATAGATGAGCATGAGAACAAGAGTTGTGTTTCAATCAATGTGAGAGAGATAGAAGCCGTGCAAGCAAGAATTCTCTCTCTCAAAAATTTGTAGAACTAACAGACATGGCTTTATGGCTCAGTGTGGAATAATACCTAACTCAATATCTATAATAGAAACCTTCACGATATATTTCGTCATTCCACTCATTGATGTTCATTATGTGATATGCACACACACACACACACACACTAGTGCACCATGCAATTAACTGTCTCACACACACACAACCCTCGTGCAAGACCTCATCATATCACTGCACATCTCATCAAAATTATCCTTTTCTTCCTTAACCATATTGCATAAAGCTCATCTTTTATGACTACATTGACTAGCTAGTGCTTAGCTAGTTATTTGTACCTAATCTATATATATTGCTGTACCTAATCTCAATGTGTTGAAAGAATACGTACTATATCATTACCATAACTAATTAACTACATATATGGTTTTGGATACGTACGTACCTTGATGAGGTTGGACGGCCGGAATCCTCCAATCCACAGGAAGCATCTCTCCGCCGGAGTCATCCACATGCCAGAAACAAGATGAAATGCGTCAGATTTGGCCACCATGCCTTTCAGATTCATCAACTCATTATAGTGTGCTAAGCAATTGTCCACAAACAGCCGAAGCTCGTTTTCTGGTAAATGCTCTTGAACCGCGGCTCGGAGCTCACACATGATACGATGGTGTTCCTCAATCCATCTTGCATACTCCATATCGAATACTGCAGCCTCTACACAAATTGGGTGTAGCCATGCATGAAACACAGATATCACATTATGCATATACGAATATATATACACACACACACATACACATATAGTTAGCCTTGGAATATATAGCTTCATACCTGAGCTTATGTTGTTAATAACAGTAGGAAGACCTTGTTCTTCTCCTACAAGAGCACCTCCACCAAAAAACATACCCTAAAGAAAACTTCATTAGATTTTTAATAAAAATAAAGGTGTTTTATATTAAATTTGAACACTTTATCAAGACAATTCTATAGATGATCGAGCTTAATTAATTACTTGAGCTCTAGCCCTTTGTAGTTCTTGTTCTAGTTGACTCAGCTTGATCCTACTTGATTCTAGCTGCTGAACATAAGCCTGCAATAGAAACACGTACACAAGGTAATGAAATTATAGAATAATCATATAAATACATACACTTAATATAGTATGCTACTATGCTTGCTTGTACAGTAAGATTAATAACTAACCTTTTTTCTAAGCCTGCTTTTCCTAGCTGCTTCTCTATTCTGAGCAAGTCTCCTCAATATCTGCTCATAAATCCATATATATCAAAATTAATCATATATATATATATGTATGTATGTATATGGTAAAGAATGAGGGTTGTGATTAAAACACACAACGTCCACCGATGTACAACATTAGGATGTCTAGCAGACGATGTCAATTCCTCCTCCTGCTATTGTGCTACACGGCATCCGTGGATGACATGACCTTGCATGTGTGCGCCATTTTGGACACCAAAATTGGAAAGAGGGGATCCAAGTCCTCGATCTATATATACACTAACATACAACCATATACATAGGTCAAATATATATGCACCTTAGGGTCTGGTGTTTTGGGTCCTTCCTGCTCTGAATTGGATGTTGGACCCCTGCGGTTTCCTTCGCGCTGCACAGGCAACAACAATCAGATCATCAAACACTTGATAAAACGAAAACAAAATAGAATTGTTATATTTACATATGTGCTATTGATTTGTATTATATTTATATACTACTACTGATATGTATGTAAGTGTTATATTATTACATTAATTATTACCTTGAGAGCTTTTGCTACTGGTTCAGAAGCAGAGGCAATATTGGTTTTTGGATTTGACAACTCCATGGACGGTTCAGATGGTCTCTTTGAACCGCTGGTTGGAGGAGAAACTAATCCAACACTTGTCTACCAAATACAAAACAACCCCATTTACAACAATGATATAAAAATTTTATCAACTCACAACCAAATGAAAACTCATAATGACAATATATATATATATATATATATACCTTGATTGATGATGGCTCAACGTGCATAGGCTCAGAAGGAAAAATGTTGAGAGTTGGAGGCCTCATCCCAGAATTCTCTGCGCATAGGAATTCACACAAAGCATTATTTCGTGGAGAGAAACACTAAGAGGTGATGAGAAAGATATCATCATCATCCTTCTCTTATATATATATATATATATATATATATATATATATATATATATATATATATGTATATATATATTAACTACTAAAAGAGTCATTGAAACGGTCATGCATTAATTTGTTCCTGCAACCAAAAAGGAAAAGGAAGAACCAGCAAGAAAAAAGCTGAAACGAACCCATCCTTATTTCGTACACTTTTCAGTACAATCAAAATTCCCGAGAGCAAAATAATATGATCACAGGTTTGTTAGATGTCATATTTCAAACTCCAAAATGATAAGAAACACTAAAAATTAAAAGAATAGAAAAACAATCTTCTCGTCTGCAAGGATTCGATCAAAGTAATTTACTATAATCAGATTTTAATCCGTTGAACATATATATTAGAATATCAACAAAATAAAGATAAATCAAAAAACAAAACACCTTTTATTTTCTAAGTAGAGAAAAATTAAACAAGATATATATATATCTGTATTTATGTATATATAGAGAGAGAGAGGGAGAGGGAGAAGAAATCAGCTCACGTCTTTGCTCTTGGACAGTGGAGTGGTCGACCTGTCCATCAAGATATAAAAAAAGCGCCTGATCTAATTCGTCGTAAGCTCCCGTATCTTTGCTTCTGCTCACCCACCCCCCCACACACACACACAAAACACCCAAAAAAGGCAAAAAGAAAATCAAATACAAGCAAAATAAGTGAATTGGACAATAAAAAACATGTCTAGGAGAAAATCTAAGGTAAAAGGAGATATGAGGTTAATTTTGTGGGTTTGCTTTATATATTAATTCGGTATGTAGAATATTACATGAAGTCACCAGGATTAATAGTTGATGATGATGTTGAAGATGATTGCATTATTCCGTAAGAAATTTGATGATATTGGTGATGATGAGGATGAGGATGGTTCTGGTTTTGCTCTAATTCCTGTTGTTGATGGTGATGATGTTGGTCTAGTAGTAATTGGGTTTGGTGGTCGGCAACTTTATGGATATCCATGAAAATAGTCACAGCAACAAGCTTGCCTTCTTGCTTTGCTTCTTCAAACACAGCTCTTCAAAACTCCATTAATGGTGAAACTGAATATTTATAATGCTATATATTTTTGTAATAAAGATCTTCATCATAAATGCAGAAATGGGTGTAGAGGAGAGTCGGTTATAATTGAAGAGAGAGGTTTTAAAGTGGGATAGAAAGAAGGTGAGAAGAGGGAGGTGAGAGACTGAAATTGAATGCAAAAGAGGGAAAAGACAAAGCTTTTTCAAGCTCTCATCTTTCTCTTTCAAAGAACCAGACGACTTTGTCTAAACCAAATTTTCAGATAAAGCGGTCTCCAGCTATCCTCTTGTTGCCTCTAGGGACACTCTCTCTCTTATGTTTTCTCTCACTAAACTCTGTACTCTCCCTCCCTCTCTCTCTTTCTCACTCTAAAACCGTTCCACTCGGCAGAAGCACCGAAGACCTGGAAGAAACCGCTTGCTAAAATGACTAAAATATTATTCGAGTGTCCATGGAAACCGCCTATGGCTTTCTTGTGAGACAATCCCATTCACTTGATTGAAATGACTGTAAAGCCCTTATCATTATCAAACAATTATTATTATTATTATTATTATTATTATTATTTGGGAAGTACTAGTGATATTTTTATAAATGTAACTTTGAATTTCAATACCAACAGTTTGTAGTTTAATGCTACTTTTTCATCCTTTCAAATAGAAGATTTAGTGTTTAAATATTTATAGAGACAAAATAGATATATGAATATTTCTTGCCAATTCAAGCCCAAAAATGGCAAAAAAATAAACTTTTGAATTTACACACAGTTTGAACTAAAAGGAAACAAGTTATTTTCAAACCATTTGAGTTCCGCCTACTCAATTTAAAATATATAAATACACAAGTTTACAACTCAAGCTAAATTTCAAGGTCAAGTTGGATTAAGTTATCTATTAACAAATGAAGCTAACACAAACAGTGGAAAGCTCCCACAAGTTACATGAAAAAAAAAAAAAGCAAAAACAAAAAAAAGAGAGTAGTGATACTCACAATTCAAACTTGTAGTGAATTGTGTAATCGAATAATTTTTAATTAGTTATTTATACCAAATACAATTAAGTAAAGGCTCCACTTCCTTATCTGTTTCATAATTAACCAATTAAAAGAGTAAGTCTAATAATTCACTGCAACTATTTGGTGCAAGACACCGAACACTTCTAGTGAATTGTGCAACCGAATAATTTTTAATTAATTATTTATACCAAATATAATTAAGTGAGGGCTCTATTTCTTTATCTGTTTCATAATTGATCAATTAAAAAAGTAGGTGCTCATAAGTCACTGAAATTATTTTTGTGCCACAATCATTTTTCGAAAAAAAAGAAAAGAAAATGATGCTATGAATTCAAGCTAAACAAAAGTAATTAAACTTAAACAAAATGCAAATGGAGGAGTTGCAAATCTCATATATTGGACATGCAAACCAAGACCACATGAGATCGAGAATTTAGGAACAAAATTGTATATAATCTTACAACATATATACGCTGGCGTACCTATAACCTATGAATGAATATAGGGTATGTCGAATTAAGGTGGCGTTGACCTAATGTTCATTGAAAAATTGATGAATTTGTTAAGCAAATTAAATGAAAATGTACACATGTTTGACTTCGCTACAGTCAACCCATATAAAATTTGACACGCCTAGAGTTTTTTTTTTTCGGAAGTTGACACGTCTAGAGTTCACCATTAAGTAATGAACCATGGGAGCATCTAGCTTTTGCACCGGATCTTCAGGGGCTTTGAAGAATTATTAGGGGCAGCTGTGAACCAAGGGGAGAAGGTTAGATCGTTGACTAAAAGGACACGTGTCAGACCACAGTCCTATAAGCATTGGAGGAGTTTAGATCGTTCGGGACGGTTAATGCAAATACATGAAGGATCATACAGCTAAGAGCTTAGGATCACCAAGTCTATTCAAAGGTAGGGTCCAAGATCAGCACCGTATTTCCCGCGATTTTTTCAATCTCAGTTCTTCAACTACTCCTATAAGGATTGTCAGCTAACTACAAAGAAAAGGATACAAAACTATTTAACACAAATATCGATTATGGGAATGGATTTCTCTAGTTACTACGTAGTTACTCAAGTACTCATACTCCGTATAATTTTATTTACTTGTCTTGCATAATTAGTTGGTTAAGAGTATTGTTTCTTATTTGGACATTCTTTGTCAAATAAGTTTTTAATTATATTTAAATTATTTGTACAGAAAGATCGAGGAGAAAAATGAACATAAAAATCTCTATATTTTATGAAAGTAAGATCTTAGTTATATATATATATATATATATATTCTTGGTGAACCCCACTTCATGCAACATCCCTCCCTCCAGAGAGAAGGACCTTTTTGTGAATAAAAATAAAAGACAAACATATCATTTGGATTAGGTGTATCAGAACACAACCATATGATTTAGGTCTTATTATATGAGGCAAATTATCCAACTAAGATTCAAACCAAACTACTCCTATTGGCTGATTCGTATTTTTCAACCAGAGAACGACAATAGACACCAAGCAAAACCCTAGCTAATTACATTTTAGACATGTGCCGTGATTTACTCTGCTTTTGTAAAACAAATTTTAACGTGTCCACAATTGTCATTTTCCTTCTACTTTAATGCTAGTAGCCCGATAATCATTTTTATATATCAAGGGTCGGTAAAAATATTAAAAATTATTTAACTTTTATTTGTTATTTACTTATTTTCAGCTTGACTGAAGTGACTGTTTACCAACATAACCAGCAGATTCAATGTACCAGAATTCTTTGCTTTGAAATATATGCTTATATATATATATATGCTCAGTAGTTTGTACCATCCTTTGAATGCAAGCCACCACTATTATTATTACAGTATTATTATTGTTATTTTATTTTTATTTTTTGTTGTTGACTATCTATATATACAATTGAGCATTTTTTTTGTTGTTGACTATTTATATAATTGAGCATTTGGTCAACCATGGATACACAAAAACACTAGTTGTATAATAGATAATTTCTATCAAGACTTTCTTTAAAGATGTTCTAATTTAAGGAAAGACAATAAACAAGAAACAGTCTTTAATGTAGGGAAATGAACCATTTAATCTGGTGCATGTTTACTTTTGAAATTAAAGTTTTTTTTTTTTTTTTGGAAGGTACCCTTAGAATATTGTTGTTTAACAGTATCATAACCAAAGAGGTATGAGGTAAACACACACACATGCTAGATTGCTGCTAGGCCTCTTTTCGAGTTGTTACAATATGCCCTCCGATCAGCTGATCGTCCCAATAATTTAAGGGCATGCAACCCAGAAATACCTATATAAATTTTGTGTATGGTTTCTTAAGTCCATTTAGTAGGTACAATATTCCTGAATTACCTTATCATTATCATGTGTTTAGCCATTGACTTTCTCCTATAATTAAATAACATACCTACAAAATTAACAATGCATATATATATATATAGATATTTTACTATATGCATGAAAAAAATATGAGGATTTTGTTTGATTCAATGATAAAATTAAGTTTATATGGACAAATTCGTAGTCACGAGTTCAAATAATATGAACATTTTTTAACAACAATTGTCGTTTGTATGGACGAACTGATCATGAAAGGAAGTCCATTCAAATCAAACCAAGTCCCCATGTTAATCTATCCATTTACTGTATGCTAAACAACTTGAGAATTAAAGTAGAAGAGGAAACAATTAAAGGGAGGTTTGGCATACATTTTTTGAAATGATGGAGAGCCATATATATGTAAGAGATGGACACATCCAATTATTCAATTAAACACCTGTATTTGTTGTACGGAGTACATATGAAAAGGGGCAAAAGGAGTTTGAAAGATCATGCTTGAGGTTTTTCGTTCAATTGGGTTAGTTTTAGGGGAGGGAGCAAGTGGTCCTCATTTAACCCAAATCAATAATGTCCAATTTCAGACAGTGGAGCCCATGAGCCTTTTTATTGGGTTTTCTATATATAGTAAATTTTGATCTTATGAGACAAGCTTTTCTACTAGGGGGTCTGTTTCGGGCCACATAGAAATTCAATGCGGGTTCCATTCTGTTTGGCGTGACCATTATATATTCCCCATGTTTCCATTCATTTAATTCTGTGGTACCACTCACTCTCTTAACCTACACACCATTAAAAAGGTCTATAGCTTAACAGTATAATTTTTCCTAGAAGGGTTCGAGTTGGAAGGTGGCTTTATCATTTAGAAAAAATATATATATATAAATAAAAATATAAATTCCAACTTAGACACGAAGTTTGGTAACTTGGTGATTTTTTTAGTTTGTGGGAACTCTTGTCCCACATCGAATCGGAATGGAAAAGTAATTGGGTATAAATGGGTGGGTATACAACACTACCCAATAACTTGAATTTTTTGATAAATGAGCAAACGTTAGGAATGACAACGGGGGCAGTTTTGGGCCGATATACCCTCCCTCACTCCCACAACTATTTAGAAACTCCCGCCTAAACGAGAGATCTTCCACCCCATCCCCCTCCCCATTTACTTTTTTTACCCCCACCCGTCCCACCCCGTTTAGTTCCAGAATTTCTCCTAATTTTTTAATTTTTTTTTCTTTAAATATAATTATATGACTATTGAAAAAAATAATTAAAAAATGAGTAATCAATAATTTAACATAAAATTTAAGGGTACGAGTGTTCTTAGTTTGTAAGGCTCTGTCATTCACTAAGGGCCTATTTATTAACAGGAAGTAATTTATGTTTTTTACTGTCAACTCTGAAAAAACAGAAATAAAAGTAAAATTATGTTCAATAAAATTGATTTTGATTTCTAAAAAGAGAAAGTGAAATCAGTTTTAATGAAGAAAGTGAAAAGTAACTTTTTGATGCTTTCTATACTTTCTGCACTGTAGCGGGAAATTGATTCCTACACTGTTACCACACGGGCCACTGTTCATCCAAAATAAGTTGTGCGTGAGTTGTTGTCTCGTTTATGACATCTTCTCTCTTCTCTATATGCTGGCCACTCTTATCTTCTCTACACTTTCTTCGAACCATATCTCATCCCTGAATCCACCATGGATGACACAACCGAAGGCTTATGGTTGTTCTTCAAAGCTTCTCAATTCGAACCCACCATATCTCCATCTGCCTAAACTCTTCTACCCATCAAATTTAAGCCTTTGCGTTTCTATTACTAATCACCATAATCGAACCCAGATCAAGGCAAGCCACTTCTGTAACACCCACAGTGGAATCTTCAATTTCTTTGACGAGGCTGAGGTCCACGATTTCGGCATCGGAAGAGAGAGATGATTCACTAACAGGAACTAATGGATTTTGTTTTGGTTGTTCGATGGATTTTTGGTTTGGAAATGGTCTGTCTATAGGGGTGAATATCAGCCTTGTCAATCTTTCTTTATACTTTTTCTAGAGACCAATGGAGATACAGATGTGAATTCAACTAGAATCACACCTATATACAGAGGTTGTATACATACATACATATATATATATATATGTGTGTGTGTTTGTAATCATTTGTGTTTGTGTGTATACTAATTTCAGAATCGAGAAGCTACATGACTTTGTTACCCATCTCTTACACACAAGATTAGGAAAGCAAAATTAAAATTAAAATTATTAAACTTATTTTATATTTTTTACTTTCAAAATATTGAAAGTAAAAGAAATTATTGAACATTATGTTACTTTCTATTTTAGTTCAAGAAATCAAAAACATGATTTTAGAGAAAGTAAAAATAAGAAAGTGAAATCGTTAGTAAACGGCCCATAAAACGATTGAGAAAGTAAGTAAATGTGATTTAAAATTTCTACAGCTAACTATATATACTAAGAAAATAAAGGTGATTTACCTACTTAAATGGGGCGGGGCGGGGTGATCTCCCCCAGTTCCCGCCCCGAACCCGCGCAGGTTTTCATTAATAAAAATCATCCCCACTCAAATAAGCTAAACTGTTTTTCAAAATCATTATAAAAGGGGCGGGGTAGGGCGGGTACCCGTCCCCGCAGGGCAAATTGCCATCCCTAGCAAGCACCTATCCATTACCGTTGGTATCAGAGGCAAACCAAATCCTTAATTCAGTGTCACACCAAGTGCTCGGCCCGGAGGGCGTCAAGGTTTGCAATCCGGGTAGGCATGGTGGCCCGAGTCACAATGAGGGCGTTGTGAGTTTAAGTGGGGGAGAATGTAATAAGAGTCATTTATCTCATATCGAATTCCGATGGAAAAGTGATTGGGTATAAATAGGTGTGTATGTAGTACTAACCAATAGTTTGAACTTTTTGATAAATGAGTACGTAACTGCCCACCCGTTACACGGATTCCCTCATCCTTAGTTCTTTTTAAACTAGGCAAAAAGAAAAGAAAAAAAAAAAAAAAAAAAAAATTTGTTACACGCATTTACTCCAGTGGAGCATAGTCTTGGCTCCAAATTATTCCAAGTACATAAATAGATTTAATGCACTATTTGATTAGAAAGCTATTAAAAAGAATAATATTCGCTTGTGGAAATTGTAAATTGTATTTGATTTTTTGATAAATTACACTGACCTTTTTAAAAATTTAGATAAATTATATATGTAGATTGTTTAACATGAGATTTGTACGGTGCAAATATATGTCAACTAAATTTTATAAAATGATAATTTTGTCATTTCTTTATATAAAATGTAATATTATATATTATTATTATTATTATTATAATAATAATAATAATAAGAGTGTCATGTTTATTAATGTATAATTTGTCCAAACTTAATTAAGCAGTGATGATCTTCCCATTATCCCGTATTTTCGTGTGTTCATCTGAGCTTTTAATGAAGAAAAGGTCATCTATAGAGCAAGAAAACTCTTGGAATCCAAGGAGAGGGTCTAGAATGTTTGGTTCAAAATATAAAGTCAGTTCAGACCCGGTGCAAAGTCTAAGAACACTGCTGTTGGAAGTTTGAACTAGGGCTTTGGTTGGCCTTCTTTGACTAGGCTAGGGCTTCACATGTTTTGGTAGCATGAAATTGAGTGAAAATTGGCTCATTTGTGTAAGGGCCTCAAGAAAATTTATTCGCCTTATTTTTCATACAAGGAATGCTAAATCTCAGTTAATTTGGCATATGTTATATATATATTTTTTTAGAGAAATTTGGCATATGGACATTATCTAGTTGCTTAAATTGGTAAAGCCCTCAGTTTCTCGAGCAGGTATGGATGTGTTCGAATCCCTCTCCCTAGTTTACTAAGAAAAAGAAAAGAATAAAAAAATAAATTCGGCATATCAAGGCCCAAGCTCAGCCCAAAACGAATAACCATGACCTGAAGTTCCGTCAGTTTGTTCTAATTTTATTATGAGACCCAAACCCAGGCCACCTACTGTTAACCGTACTCCAACTCTAGCCCAGAAAACTGAACAATTCAATGGACCAATTAAGGCCCAGGCCAAGACAATGCGGCTTGGACAAGCCTGAATTTGTAAGCCCACTTGATTTCTCCCAAGTATCCAAGCCCAGAGAGACTCATGCGCCTCATTGGTGGCAAATGAAAATTATTGTAACAATTAATGGAGAGTAGTTTTCATACTTTTCATAAATAAATAGGACCAATTTAATAAAATAATATATTTTTTATTGCTCGGACATACTGATAATGTATGGTATGCATGGCAGGGCAACTGGAAGGGTTGGAATTTGGAACTTGGTAGAACGAAAGAGTTAATTATAAAAAATAATAATAAATAAATAAAATCTTGATTGGATTACAAATTCAATTTTCAGTAAAAACAATCTTCCAATATTATACAGTATCTGAATGGGTTAAAGAGACTAAAAGGTTAAAAATATGTCATAAAACTTGCATATAGTATTTTAAATTTCATTTTTAAAAAAAAATAAAAATAAGGGTAAAAACAGTGAACCTTATCATAATGTTTAATTTTATTCTGTTCATATAATAAGGGTAAAAACAGTGAACCTTATCATAATGTTTAATTTTATTCTATTCATTTTTTTTTATCTTCATTTCAAAATTTTTTATCAACCACATTATTATTATTTCCCTAGGTTATGCGTTACCCGGTGTGTGTTTTTTTTTTTTTTTTTTTATCAAACCAAATTAATCTTAAAATATGAAAAATTATTACATAATCTTCAATTATTGATTTAGGGCCAATCAACAAGCAAATAATTGAATATAAATGTGTTGAAAAAAATTTAACTTTTTATTTACTGTTCTTTGGCCTAACAATCTAAATATTTCTCCTACATTTGATGATATTCTGCACAATCTTGTTACAAATTATTTTTTTTAATCCGATCATTGGATTGAACACAAATGTGATTTTTTTAACCTACAAATGTCGATTTTTTAGGACCATCTAGAAATTGACCTATCTTGACCACATGGTATGCTCCTGAACTCTATCCCTTCAGATCATTACCCTCTATCTCTCTCCCCGTTTTCTGAAGATCTGTTACCCTCGTTTCTTCACACCCTCTCTCTCTCACTCTATCTCTGTCTCTCTAGCTATGACCGACTGTACGGAGCCATCAACGCCTTCAACATCATCAACAACAGGTACAAGAGAATCAGTATATATACACCCAAGAAGAGAGCCATTTGAGCACGGACTCATCCCCATTCCCAAGCTCATCTTCACCGATGGAACACAAACCCTAGCTCCCCTCAAGGACCGTCTCGTCCACCAATCTGCACCCACTCACCGAGTTAACTCGCTCGCCGTCTCTGAAGCCCTCCAGATCTCTCCCGACCACGCCCGCCTCGTCCTCGACACGCTTGCCTCCATCCTCCACTCCGATTCCGACCCGCTTGTCACCGCTAAGCCCTCCGAGATCGACTCAGTTGGAGTCGATGTGAATGATTTGATATTGTTCTTGTATACACAGTCGTATAAGCGGTTGCTTCCGAAGGGACACAAGGACTCGGCGGCGGTGGCTGATGTGTGGCCGACTACTTCGGCGTTTGATGGCTTTTTATCAGCCCTATCGCCGTTACAGGTAATTAAATTATGCTTATGTTTGATAGATTGAAAATGTTGGAGGTGAGATTTTAGTTGATTATCTAAACTGGAGTTTTGATTGGGAAGGCATTGATGTGTTTGGGAGGGGTATATGGGAGGATGTGTGAAAAAGGTTCATTTGAATTTTATTTATTTATTTATTTATTTGTTGATTATGTCGCATTGTGGAAATTATGATGAGTTTGTGTTTCTGAAATGGCAACATAGACAATTTTTAATTGGCAATGTCAATATTTTTCTCTTTAATCTTTTCTGCTTTTCTTTTCTTTCCCCCCCCTTTGCGTGTGTGTTTGTGTTTTGAAGTGGCATTATGAAAGCAATTGTTGTTAAAGAAATGGTGTTATGGCAAATGAAAAGCATTTCATTTGTAATCACTATGCAGGTTCAGCGCATGGTGGACCCTGATATGTTCTTCAGGTTATGATTGATTATAACCATTTTATTGAAAATTTGGATGGAATCAGTATACTGCAAAGGGTTGTAGGGGATTGCAATTTTGATTTATTTTATGCATTGGACTTAGAATTCTAGCTCTTTAAAGAGGGTTCTTCATGAATGTTCAATTTTTGAGCGTTTGTGTAACTCTCTTATTGGATTGTGTTAAGTAGCCACTTTAAATCACCTGTTTCTACAAAATATATCAGTCAGTTATATTAGACCAATTTTTGGATTGTAAACATAAGTTCACAACGCACAGAAACGATGGATGTTGTAGGCAGAACAGAGTGGCAAGAACTAATTTATTTGACCAACCCCATTCAGCAGAGATGGGTTATTTTCTTTGGTTTTTGCTAGATTGTTTCCCTCTTTCTTCTTCATTGAGTCCAATATTGACAGTAGCATTTGATTTGTGTAAGGACATATTATATACTTTATTCACAATATTTACTGCTAATTTTGACTTTCCTTGCTCTAATAAACTTTTGTATTTGGTAAGAACTTTATACAGTGTTCTGGTGTGGATAATGAGTTTACCAATAAGCTTTGTTTTCCATTTAGTGCAGCTTGTTCGCAGCAACAGCCGTCGATTTATACCATCACAGGCAGATGAAGAGGCTCACCAGTTGTCCTATCTACAGAAGCATTTGGGCAACATTCTCTCTCTTTTGTCAGAGCCCTTGGAAGGGGAAGGCGAAGAATCTTTGGTTTGTAAAATTCATGCATTCATTATTATACTTATTTTCCTTAGTGTGTTGAAGACTTGAAGTGTTAATGTCATTAGTTTTGTATCATGAAAAATGATTGCCCGTCAGATAAAGGAAAATACAAGACTAGCATAATTTCTGATGTTCTTTTCTGGTTCTATTCACACTTTGTATATCTATTGCATCTCAATTTTATTCTATGTATGTAATTATAATTTTTGGGCTTTTGTAGTTACTATATAGGATGCATTAAAATTTTTTGCTTTTTGGATGTTATTTTCTGAGGTTTTGCATATCAGTCTTGCTGAATCATCACTGTCACAATATCACCTTGTTACCTGGTATTGGTGACTCAACTTGTTAATTCTTAACGGTTTTGTTATATAAATATGATGAATGGGAAAACTATATAATTGTTAAAAATTACTTATAATAGTTTGATAGCAGAAATTAGGTATGTGAAATGAATATATTGTACAATGTCTGTATGTCATGCATTACTTGGTCAGTGACGTCAGTCCACTGCATTAGATTTAAATAACGATAATTCAGTTATTTTACTTACATGATAAAGTAAATGACAATTAACTGTACTACACTGATTTTATTTTTCTGTAATCTCTGAGAATTCAATTCACATTTTTTATTCAATTTGTTTGGACAGTCATTGATGCTTGCAACTGTTGCAGAATAAGATTATTGATCATATTATGTAGCATTATGCACCACTGATCTCTATGCGACTGTTATTATGTATTACCAAGGAACGGAATTGATGAATGTATCACAATCGCGAGAATATAAAATTATTGATAGATTATTCTCAATAATATATTTAATAATAATTTTTTAAAAATGAAGAGTGTGAATTGCAAATGATAAATACCGCAAATAAAACTTTGGGTTTTGTTGCTAGAAGTACTAATGCATTATTTAGAGTCATAATTTTTATATTTGACAAGAATAGGGTCATGAAAACAAAAAGACAATGTTATAATTTTGACAAGAAAATAAAATTGAAGAAACTTTTGAAAAATACAAATATGCAGTGAAAGTGGTAAAACGGAGTAAGAGAAGTTAATAACATAGTATATAATGATTTGCATTCAGAGAAAGTAGTAAAATGTTGTGAGAGAAGTTAAGAACATGGTATATAATGATTTGCAAATACTTATTTAATATATATATATATATATATATATATATATATATATATATAATGATTTGCAAATAAATAATGTACAAAAGATTGGTTGGGGAGTAGAATATATATAAACTTGCAAAGTTAATGGAGAGGGAAGCCAGCAGTGACGGACCCAGAAAATTTCGTGAGGGGGGGCGGCCTTTTAATTTGTAGGGGTAAACTTATAGAGTGGGGTCTATTTTTGTAATTTTAGTGGGTCATCTTCATAAATTCTCAAAAGTATGAAGTATAAAGTGCAAAACAAATAAAATCCAGTGGGGGCGAACTGTAATTTTAATCGGGGCATCTTCATAAATTTTAAAAAATTTGAAGTATAAAATGCAAAAATAAAAAATCCAGGGGGGGCGTCCTATTGTGCGTCCGTGCCTGGAAGCCAGTGCGAAAGATGATGGAGGAAAATGTGAAATAAAATAATAAATCACTTGAATAGCTTGTTAAATGAAAATCATATTGGAAGCTAGTTTTTAAAGGATATGATAACTGTATGGAGATTAGAGAAAACACTTTTTTAATTTGAGTTTTACTTTCACTTAAAATTATATGTATTTGTTTCATTACACTTATAGTCCATGTCACCTTGACTTGCCACTTTATCCTAGAGTACCCCGTACCCGTGTCAACAAGACACGACATGGACATGGTGCAAGATATGAGTTCGACTCGGCTGCTCATCTAGAAGAAGAAGAAGGAAAAAAGAAGAAGGAAAAAAGACTAACCAATTCACACAGTTCATCTTTGTCAGAGGCAAAAATGTTTTCGAATGCTTTATCAATGTCTTCCCACTTGAAAATCATCCCTATCGTAGTCGGAAAAGGTTGCCAGGACGATAAACAAGGGGTTTTATTTGCTGATTGAACTACTAGGGTTTTGCAGAGACTTGAATGAGCAGCGGCGAGAATGAAACTGAAGCCATACTTCGTATTTGTATAATATTAAAAAGTTATAATTGTAGCTCTACTCCAAAATTTCTATGACTACATAATTACCTAAAAATTAATGCCCATTATAACAATTGCCCAAATATTATATGTTCTTTTTTAATTTTTCCTTTTCTCCTAATTCATCATTTTAAACCGTTTCTTTAACAATTATTTCATGGACTTTTTGACTTATTATCCATATCCACATATCCTAAATTTTAAGAAACCGACACCTAGATAACACCCTTGTCTGAAACCCATACCCGAGTTTGGGTAGCACAGCTTATAGTTTGTTTGTGCTTGAAAGTTTTGCTGATTTCTTATTCATCCTTTGACAAGCTAATTTACCTCCATTTTACCAGGTTTTGACCATGGAAAAGTTTGAGCACCTTGAGTTTCTGATTTACTTTGGTGAAAAAGGATCTGAAAGAATTCCTTTGAGCCAGGCCTCTCCATTTTTTGCAAACTCAGATCCCGACATGCCTGCTGTTCCTGTTCCTGCAGCACAAGTTCATGATTGGCTGCTTCAGAGCATAGCTTCTGCTTTGGAGCATAGTTCTGAAAGAGTTTCTGCCAAAGAAAATGGGCCACCCAGTGCTTCTGATCAGGATGTCCCAATGGCTGATGCCTGCACAAGTTCAGTCAAGGCTTCAACCAGTTCCGGAGGTCCAAGTTTTATTGAGGGGATCTCTAAATCATCATACTTAAAACAAGCATCTGATCTTAACTGTTCTTCTTTAAAGGTTAGGTCGATTGTAAATAGTTTAACTTGCTTTGTGCTTAACTATAGATCTTGAAACATTACATGTCAATGATGTCATTTTCTGTCTGAATAATATCTTCTTCTGTATGCAGTATGCTCCATGTTTATGAGGGTTGTGCCCCCTCTTTTGATGAACAAACTACACCCCTTTCAAAATAAATAAATAGTAAACCAAAAAAAAAAAAAGAATTGATTCAATTGATATCTGATTAAATATTTACTGTGCTACCTATAAGTCCTAAGCTTGTTGCCAAATAGTCCAAGTGCTTAAATATAATCCCCCCATCTCTCCCCCCCCAAACACACACACACACACAGACACCACCACCACCACCACCACACGCACACATTTAAGCACACATAAAATTCTCACACGCTCTAGGCTAAAATAAGCATGCCTCTATTCACACACACACACACATTTCAGCACACATAAAATTCTCACATGCTCTTGTTAACAAGTTCTAGGCTAAAATAAGCATGCCTCTATTTTTTAATTTTCATTCATCTCTTGATTCAGTTGACCCTTCTAATTGATGGTCCAAGAAATCTTCTTCTTCTTTTTTTTTTACTAGTTTTGTATTACATACATTGATTTAGCCAGTGAACTGATGTGCTGAAAATTTTCCTATTGTGACGTTCACTAGTTTTTCTTGCATATTATATATATATATATATATATATATATATATATATATATTCAATTATAATTATATGTATGTACATTCATATCAGACATAGACTTTAATTCGTTCAAACTCTAGTTATAAAAGGCTCAAAGCGTACTAAGGTGCCAAGGTATCCTAGAGCAGTAGAACCTAAGCGCAAGGTGCAACTTAAGGTGAGTGCCTGATTGAAGTAAGGCACACAAATGAAAAAGCAGTAAATATTAAGTATAGGAAAAGGTTTAATAAATGCAACAAAACTAGTCAATATCAAAATAAAGAAAGTTTTGAGCCGATCAATTCAATGGATTAGCTAAATCAAAATAGATATATATTTTTGTTTGCATTTAAATTCAATTAAATCAATGTAGGATCGAAGCAGTTCAAGATATGCAACATAATTAATCAGAAGTTTTTTTAAAATGGAATTTTTGACATATAAACTTAGAGAATTACTTAATTCAATGTGCATAAATACTTTATTTATTGCTATTTGGAAAGTATCCTAACCATTAATAAAAACTAAATGCTTATCTTGCGCTTAACAGAACTCCTTCACCAACCATCTTAAGTGATGTCTCAAGATAGGGGCAATTGCTCTTAAATGTGATCTTTTGTACTTAAAAAAATCCTGATAACATTTTTACGATTTATATTTCTTTTGGGCTGTCGAATTGTTTTATTATCGAATATAAGTAATTCACTATATCACAATATACAGTTCAGTTGCATTATATGTCATCCATGCATTTGAGGATGGTGATATTTACTGCAGCATGTCTATTATAAACACCTCATGTAGGCAGGGCTTAAACTAATTATTGTAAGGAGTCCAAATTTAGTGTAAATTTTTATTGGACTATACATCTTTACAGGTGTTTTATGTCTCCTAGTGTATTTTTCAAGCCCTTGTACCAAGAACAAGCACTTTGTAGCATTGAAGGCACTATATATATATATATATATATATTGGCTTATTGTTATGATTCTTATGTAACAACAAATGGTTAAGATAGCATTGCAAGAGAGAAAAATCGTATGCCATATGAGGAAGAGAAGAGAGTTGGTGCATGTCTCTTACCTCCCATGGGATTGATTCTTTGTTCGGGTAACTCTTAGCGGTTTAACTCCTCTTTGGACCTTTGATGACTCTTGACAATACTAGAATTTAACAGACCCAAGTTGTAGCCTGGTATAAACTTTGTTAATCTTTCAACAGCCTGAGTCAAGTTGTCACCCCATAGCTTTGTCACAATTGTTGCAATGTCTTGCCATAAGCACTCGAAATATTTGTGACCTTCCGGTTTAGTTCTTTTCCGTACTTTGTTCTTTCATGCTCTGTGCATACTATTGCAGCTTGAAGTTCCCATTTGCTCACTGCAAGAAGTTTCTTTAGCTCTTGTCACTTCTAATATAGTGTTGTATATTTGCAGGTTGTGAATTGCCATGATTCTGTCATTTACATTTTAGCACCTTTAAGATATGCCACCATCTATGGATGCTCTGATGCAACTGTTGTTCTTGGAGCTGTTGGCAAGGTAGTTATAAAAGTGTAGGAATGTTATACGTTTGTTCTAAACATTGCAATAATTTCCTGATTTCCCTAGAATAACTGGATACAGCATCCCTATGCTTGAAAAGTGAAAATATTTCTCCTGTTGTTATCAATTGGAATTGCATAATTCGATTTCTGTGCTCTTACCTAAATCTTGGTATGGACATTATGATTATGAGAATGATTGCTGTAATAGGAGGTCAAGTTTTTATCTATCACGCTTGAATTCCATAGCCTTAGTTCCAAGTTCCAACTATCCCAATTATTGTCCAGTAAATGCAAGTTGCACTCCTTTGAAAGAAATTGGTCACATGTCATCTTTGTGTAGGTATCTGACTCCACCACTTCGTTATTCCCATTGACAGCATCTCTACATTATTCCATGCAATCCTTACAGTTTTACAAGTGGCATGTCCCCAGGAACAGTATCCTAGTTGGATTTTTTCCCATTGTTTTGAATTATTTTTACCCTTATAAAAACAAAAATACTCTTATTGCCTAATTTAGTGGGGCTTATGTCATCAAAAAAAAGGAATTTTATGTTTAATTGATTGGATCGGTTCATGCAATTTTGCATCTTTTAGACAGTAAACATGTCCCGGATCTGTTAGGTTTTTAGCTTCTTTATAATAATTTGTAATTTATTCTAAGAGAACCCATTGTATTAGTTTATTTATGATGTAATTGCATATTGTAATGTCAAATGATTCCGTCTTCTATTAATTTTGATGTGTTCTCCAGGCTGTAAGAGTCGAACACTGTGAGCGAGTTCATGTGGTTACAGCAGCAAAACGAATATGTATTGCCAATTGTCGTGAGTGTGTATTTTTTTTGGGGGTAAACCAACGGCCCCTTGTTGTAGGCGATAATCATAAGCTGCAGGTGAGTGTGTCGTTCCCGTGCAAAGCACAAATTTATGCCAGCACTACCACATTTTTTTTCTTCTTTTGTAACTTGTGGTTTATAATGTTCCCCAGGAAATGTTATGCTTTTTAAGCACATGGATTACCTTGAAATTGTAATACTCGATTTATGATTAAAACCATGTATATGACTATGGTTCGCTATAAATCAATATAGTCGTAGGGTGAATTTGTTGTCCTGATGTTTCAATCTTTTTTAACACTGTATGTCATTAACCATTTTACAATCACACTTTTGTTTTGTCTTATATAACTTGAAAAATGTGATCAAAGGCACAAGTTCATGGGTTTATATGACCGTGTGACTGGAAATATGACACAAGCAAACCACTTAGTTCCCTAACGGCTTCGAGTTGAGTGTACCATTGTGGTACTTGATTTAGTCGATTAAAAATGTAAAAATGTCTAGGTTTCTCTTTAGTAAGAAGTGTGGTGTTACACGCACGGACAAGGTAGCTTCTCTGTTAATTGAGTCAAAATTTATGCACTTTTTAGGCATTATTATGTTCTTACCAAGCACAAACTGAACTAGAGTAAAAGAAAAAGAAAGTGAAGAGGTTCTTTCCTGTTCTTTCTTCTTTTCTTTTCTTTCCCCCCCTCCTCTCTCTAAAATAAAGCATTAGTTATGAAAGTATGTTAAGACCATAGTTTTAGCAGCACATATAGGCAGCACAGCAGGAGCATTTCTCCTTTTCTTTTCTTTCCCCTCCTCCTCTCTCTAAAATAAAGCATTAGTTATGAAAGTATGTTAAGATTATAGTTTTAGCAGCATATATAGGCAGCACAGCAAGAGCAGACATTAGAATTCACATTACTTTTTCTTTTTAACCATCTTGATTGACTGGAATTTCTTTTTCTAAAAAGTCACAAGGCCAGGTGTCTAGGTGTCTCGTTAGTAAGAAGTGTGGTGTTACACGCACGGACAAGGTAGCTTCTCTGTTAATTGAGTCAAAATTTATGCACTTTTTAGGCATTATTATGTTCTTACCAAGCACAAACTGAACTAGAGTAAAAGAAAAAGAAAGTGAAGAGGTTCTTTCCTGTTCTTTCTCCTTTTTTTTTCTTTCCCCCCCTCCTCTCTCTAAAATAAAGCTTTAGTTATGAAAGTATGTAATATATAGGCAGCACAGCAAGAGCAGACATTAGAATTCACATTACTTTTTCTTTTTAACCATCTTGATTGACTGGAATTTCTTTTTCTAAAAAGTGACAAGGCCAGGGAAATGACTCTCGGTGTGATAAACAATAGCATCAAATTGACAGCCTCTCTTTCTCTCTCTCACACACACACACACACTATCTGTCTCAGTGGCCTGTGTTTTTGCAATATTGTTCTTTCCTCTATCCAGAGCTTGTTTTTCTGCATGAAAGCTGCTTTGTTAAGTCTTTGTCTAGTCTTTGTCTAGTTGATTGATCGCACCATATATTCGTTTGCACAAAGTTTAAGGAACTCAATTAATGGTGTTCGCATGTCCCTTGGTACTGTATTAAATCACTTAATAAGTGTGATTTGGATTGAGTTGTGTTTTTTTATGCAATACTGGAGCAGAGAATAAATATATCTTTCATAGTTTCTTAAGTTGCCTTAAAAGGCAGTGTAGGATATCAAATTCATGTATATTTTATTTTGGTTCCCGTGGTAATTTTGTTATTCCAGTACTAAGTACTCGTATCAATCAAATGCCATGTAAATGTAATGTAGTTGTCAACTATTTTGGGGCAGCCAAAGCCCCATAAGTCTATATTCATGCATCTTTCTCGTCTAACTTGTTCAGCTTACTGCGGTTGAGGTGCTTCCAGGGGCAACTTGGTGCGGTTCCACACTTCATACATATATTTGTTAAAGTTTTACCCACTGGAAACTGTGTTCCGATCACCTCTAAATGACAACGCCTTTGAAAATTACCTGTGAATTGATCTTAAGGCTAATGTAACTATGGTCTTAGGTAAATCTAGTTTTAGTTCTGAAGCTGGTAATAAATACCAATAATATTATTTGGGTTGTAAGGTTGCTATCTTGTAATGAAAATAATTCACTGTTATCATCAATTATTTCTCTTCTTACCTTTAATGCTTTTGAGATTGATGGTTGGAATATCCTTTTTCATTCTATTTAATTTTAATCAGGTGGCACCATATAATACATTTTACTCGCAATTGGAGGAGCACATGAGTCAAGTTGGTATTGAAGCAACTATCAACAGATGGGACGAGCCTGTGGCACTAGGAGTGGTTGATCCACATGATTCATTATCTCATTCAGCAGGAATCTCTGATGCTCAAGCTGAATCTGCTACACGTCTAGACCCTGATCAATTCACAAATTTTTTGGTATGTTCTACACTTTTTGTAGGCTGCTTGACAAGGGGGTGTGAAATAATTTGATTTTGTGTTGTTGGACTTGAATATATTTATCTTTTCATGCTTCAAATGTTTGTTTCTCAAGTTCTGCCTAATCTTTATCTTAAACTCACTTTTAGTTCAAATCTGTACAATATTCAGATGTTTTGTTACTCTGCTCTCTCCCTTCAGGAGGCTGAGGGAGTTTAATTTTAATCTACATGCCTTAATTATTAAAGTTGTGTTGCATACCAACATACAAGTCTTATTTATGTACAGATTCCCAACTGGTTTGGAGGTGAATCCTCCGGGTCCACAAAAGATAATCCATTTCCATTGCCAGATGTATATATGGCATCTCAGCAGAGAAATGTATGTGCTCCAAACCCTACTGATTATTGTAAGATCATTTCGTCTTTGTTTGTAGTAATAGGGTCGGCTTGTTCTTAATGTATTGCGAGTGACGTGCCGGTTTGCAATTAGTCTTAACTAAATAAGCAAATGTTTGATTAAGTGACATCTTTTTATACCAGCATTCAAATTTAGTGGAGATTAAGCAAAATTTGAGGGAAACACAGCTTGAAGAGAGTAAGAAACGAGAAGTATCAAGTGCACTCCACGTATACTTCAAAGACTGGTTGTATGGTAATTGTCTTACTCAAATCTTCTGTTGCCTTTCTTTATAACATATGTATGTTGTGTTTACTGGAGATCACATGTTTTGGGAATTTAATATGCATACCCTGTTGAATATTTCTACATCTTATGTTGTAGAATCTGGTAACACATCACATATTAGTAAGATAAAGTTTTAATGCTTTGACAGCCTCGGGAAATATCCGGCAGCTTTACTGCCTACAAGGTGATTGAAACTGTCTGATGATGGAACCCAGCTCCTCTGCATTGCAGCAATGTACTGCAGTGGATGGCTGAGATCAATTCACACACTACTGTTTGAATTGATCTCAGCTGTGTATGATGTTGTGGTACAATCAACGAATAGAACAAAAGGGGAACTTTCTTGTTTTTCTTCTCTTTTCAAGTTTGAGTGGGGCAAGTTCCTTTTGCCATCTCTGTTGGTACTGCTGGCGGGTAAGATTCTATGCAATTTGCAATGATGAACGTACTAATGCACTGAGATTGTTGTGCAGAATGGAATCAGAAAACAGTTTCTTACTGTAATTTTTTCCCTATGAAAAGATTCTTCTTGTATCATTGTGAAATCCAAAATATTGGATTTTCATTAAACACTGTGTTTTAGCTGTTCTGTTGTCAGAAATATGTATTTTTATTTTTTATTTCTTTGTAAGTTCTGCTTTTCTTTAGTCGATTAGCTCCTGATCTCCAATGAGTTGAAATGGGAATGTTGCTGGAAGAGTCGAGAGTTTGATTGGATTTGGATAAAAGAAAAGGCAACGGTTAGACGTATAAATTGTCATGGTTTGTGTCTGGATTTGTTGGAGACCACTCCAAACTCTTGGTTGAATCGATTTTTAAGTTTCTTCAAATTTGTGAGTCGAATCAGAGTAATAATCTTTATTTCTGTTCAAAAGATCATTTATGCTGAGGTAACTTTACCGATACAAACAAGAATTATTAACAATGTTTTGGGGATGTTTTTCGAAGATTATTTCAGCATCTTTGTGAAAGTTATTAGCTGCAAGCCTGCAACCATTGAGTATTAGCTTAATTTCCAACTGGAGGTAGACTGTTTGATTCCCAAAGACAGTGGATGAGAGCAATTTCCATATATATATATATATATATATAAAATTTAAAAAGCCATTAGAGTAGGTTTATGAAAACAAAAAGTAAGTGAAAACAAAAAGTAAGTGAAAAAAACCTTTACCAAGTGTTGGAAAGGATAATTGTATGAAAGTGACTACTAATGATCTTACATAGTGAATGGTAGAAAGTCTAAACCTGCTCAAAACACCACATAAGAAGTCTGTGACATAGGTCAACAGCATCCACCAGCTAAAGATACACAGATGGGATTCTTATCGGCCATCTTTTGCTGTTTTTATCGCTCTTCCCGTGTATCAGAGGCTACTAGAACTCAGCCTAGAAGAGATGAAGAAGTGGTCAACATAGAACCTGAAGCTGCTATTTTAGTTCCACACTTCCCCGTGAGTTCAAATCTATCTCGTTTATAGCCATCAAGCGATCAAAGAACATTCCCAGTCTGCAACCAACAAATATATGCAATTATATGGTGCTTAATTAGGTTTTTTTCTATTTTGCTTTTCTTTTCTTTTCCCCGAGTACTGAATTAGTTTTGTAATTCACCAAAAACGAAGCAGAATATATTTTAGATGGTATCGGAATGTCAATTACAATAACTGAGCACAATCAAATTATGTATCTGTTGTGTTTGAGGTTGTGGAAGTTGCTGCAGGTCTTTTCCCATCTTTCATAGAGAATAAAGCAGCTTTAATCTCTCAGGATGAATGTCTTTTTAATTCTGCCCTTTATTCAAGTAGTTGTAGTTTTTTCGTCGCCAAATTGCCCCCGAGTCCCAATCGTGAATGTTTGCGAGTCATACCCGTGCTCTTTTTCTCGTAGCCTTCAAGTAATGTAGGAGGGAGAAAAAGGCTTTGAAAAGAAACACAGTTGCTTGACAGATCAAATCGACTTATTCAATCAGCTTTAAAAGGTTATCCTATTTACCATTTTACTAATTATTTTTAGATCAATCATACAAGTCCTTAAAATTAAATATATAAGACCAAGCATGGCTTCATGTTGTCTTCAGGGGAGTTTGCTTGTTTATTCTCCTCTTAACTCCAATTCCATTCCAACCAGTTATATGACTAGTCACATAGAAACTGCGTTACAGGTTTCCTTTCCTTTACTACTTTTTTCCTTTTCTATTTTCTTTTCCTCACTAAACAACAAAGCAGAACCTAAATGCATTCATAAAGAATCCCTTATTGTTTCATTCAGTTTACTAAATATAGTTTTCAATAACTTTGAAAAATGCTTCGGATTCTGAACAGACACTTTTCAAGTCAGTTTTCTAAACTTGCAATTTTTTGCTATATTGGAGAGCCATAATATCAGAGAGCACCGGTAAAAAGTCCATGCTTAGAGAGGTAGGGCAGAATCTTAACTCCATCAGCAGAGAGATTGAGGCAACAGGTTAGGTGAATCTTAACTCATAGCTGAATTTAACAGTATTTATTTGGATAGTCCTTTCCAACAGGAAGAACTGAAAATAAGAAACACTAACCAAAGATAACCCAAGAGTATGGTCACATCTCCAAATACAACATACAAACAGGTTAAAGAAAAGTGATCAGTTCTCTCACATAAACATGCCAATGTCTTCTTCCTTTTTAACGGAAGCATAGAGTGATCAGTTATTGACATTGGGCCTCTTCTTGGTGGTGTAAGGGTAGTACTCCTTACCATTGTCGATTCTCGCGGTCTGACCTCCAGCATCAATCAGTGCAGAAGTTACTGCCAGGGCAGCTCCTGCAGAAAGTGCTGTTGGAATGCTCCTTCCTGTAAAAGAGGCACTGTGTTAGCCAAAACAAAACCCAATAATGTTTGCTGAAGTGAAGCGGAGGCTGACATGATAAACATGGATTAGAGAATTAATCCCTATTTATGCACACCCATTCATATAGCATTCAGTCAAGGATGATGATGATGCACCCATATGGGACCCATAAAAGTTCCTCTTGCAACCTTCGCAATGATTTAATTTTAAATAATGAACTAAAAATAAGGTGATATCTTAACTCTGATATGCTTTTGCATGTCTTCAATATGTTCTAATTCATCGCCACTAGAGTGAAAATTAGCATAAATGATGATGATGTATGATTATTAATGTATCTGCTGTCCCTCAATGCAGCATAAAAAAAGGAAGCTTGTGAAATTAGGAAAATTCCAGCTTCAAAAATGAATTTGACAATCAAATCTGTTGTTTCTAATCGAGTACGAGGTCTAAAGTTGTGTCACTGTCAAACACAATGACCTACATAATTTGAAGATTTTTCTTCGAACATGAACTAAATCCAGTGTCTCACAACACAAACCTGGATCAATTTTTGGAGCACAACATAGAGTATGACTAGGTCAAATGCTATGTTAAATGGACTCATATATGTTCGTCGTTTGTCAGGGCCCAGGGGTGGATACCATCTAGCCATAAAATTTATCAAATATCTAAAACCAAGGAAACAGAAGGATTATATGATCCTTCATTTTTCAGCGTAAAATTGTTTTATTACATAACATAGTGCTTTCAACATGGGCACTTCACTAGTTTTGGAACAATGATGTAACAAAAGGAGCATCATAAAAGATTTTACGCACAATTATGTTAGTAGTAGAATTCTCATATCTGCATACTAGGTGTCCGACAAAACATGCGGGATACGTATCACATATCCTGATTTCTTATGTCCAATAGGGGTATTTCATGCATTTAACAAATAATTATTAATTTTCGACAAGCTAAACCATATTTTCAAAAACTCAGAACTCCTTTTATGGTCAAAATGAAAAAATGAGACTCAGTAACACATATTTTCAGTAATTGGGAAAAGGATTGGTGGTGGTGGTGGTTGTAGTGATGCATATTTTCAAAAAACATAAAAATCCTTCAAAGGCCAAAATGAAAAGACAATATGCGTCTAAGATAATATATAGATGGTTTATTCATAACAAAAGAACAATACGGAACCCGGGTCAGGTTAATACCAATTAGATATAGCAAACTATACTTAGAAGAAATAATAAAATCGGAGCAACTCATGAGACACCGCACAAGTGAAAACTTTTCTATTACATCATCCTCCACATTAAATTCATAAATTTTATGGTGGTGATGACATAAATAACCTCTTCCTATTAAACAGCGGAGACACTGAATGAATCATCCGTAGAAAGGACCCTACACATACACTCTTAACCTCTGACAAGAGTGGAACAGTCTTTTTGATAGCTTACTATGTTGTTTTCTATTTTTTTTTTTTAAGTAACTATGTTGTTTTCTATTTGTATGTAAAAATTTGATGCTCTATACCAATTAACTTGTAAATAATTTGGATGTTTGTTATTTGATATGCATTATCCATTATGTCATATTCGCGATGTATAATAGTTGTTGAAACTTCATAACATGATGGAGTTGCAAATTACTTAGTTGTTAGAGAAATTGTTGAGGATTTCAGCTTGGATTGGGTAATTGATGATTTTTATTTACTAAAAGATTGTCGGGCATAGCTTCTATAGTAGAAATTTGATTTTTCTACTCTTGTTCCCTTTTGTAAATATCAATGTCATACTTGACTACATGTATGACATTGTTAATTTTTTTCGTCCATTTTTGTACATAACTATACCAAAATTGGCTCGATGTATTTTTGTATATAGCAAGAAGTAGTATACAATGTCATTAATGGGTTAAAAAAAGCTTCTGATTTTAAAATAATCTTATTTTAGATCTTCTTTAATATTTATTAAAACTTTAGTGGTAAAGAAAATTTTAGCACAATTTATTCTTTTTTAAAATTTATTTTTATACTATTAGTACGACCTTCCAAGTGAATTTTTTGGGTCTGGCAGTCTGCCCTTGCTCATAGCTTATCAATCACCATGAATATACTTTAGGGTTACCATTAAAAAAGAGACCTGTGGTCCCTGGAGGTCTTATTGTTCCCAGCTGCTGGTCCCAACATTTTGGAGTCTCAAACTTTAAGAAGACGACATGATGATAATTCCATTTGAGAACACCTCAAAAAGGACACAGGGTTTCCCAATAACATGCATCAACTGCCTCTTCACTTAGGAATTTAAATGAATTGCTGTCGCATGTAGCTATTATACTTTCAAAATGTCCAGTGGTGGTGGCTATATGTAGTTGCTAAAGAACGCCTTTTATACTATCTGGGGTTTCTTACAAACCATAGCATTTAAACAGCAGGCCTTAATAAGCATCTTGATAAAATCAAGCAAACACGAATTTTATCGCGAAGAACAGAGTCCTAAATTATGCAAGAGGTATAATATCTAATGGGCATATATCTTTAAACAACTCATTAGCTCAAAAAGTAACTGAAGTTTTTTAATCTCATTGTAAGCTCCAACCTTACTACATGTCTATAATTGAAGAGCAAAAACTGACCAAGAACCATCACAATTATCATCCAAAGAACAGGAGCCACATTCCTTTTTTTTGGACAAGTAAAAATAAGGATTCAAAACCAACATCAACCATGAGCAAGATTAAAATAACACAAACAGGTGCCAAATTGGCGACAGTTGGTCTTGTAACAGATGCAGGTTGTAATGGAATGACTTAATGCCTTAATGGTAATAGCTGCCAGATCCATGAATTGTTTTAACCTCCCTAACTCTCATTAAAGCAAGTAAAAAAATTAGAAAATAATTCAAAAAAGTTATAAAATCACTGAAATATTTACAGTAAAGAACAAATCCATCAATATCAAAACAAAACCAGCTTTCTCACAACTTAATGCCACATGATAAAGTCAACAGCAATAACTCAATTGCATTAAGCCTCAAAACATATTGAAAAAGAATAATATCTCTATATTACTTATCAAAAATAAATAAATTAATAATAATATCTCACCTTTGTAACCCAGAACAGTAGCACCAGCAATAAAACCACCAACAGCTCCATTGACAAAATCTCTCTTCATTCTATAATTCTGCATCAACTGTTCTACGCCAATGTAAACACCCCCAATAGCAGCAAAAGTCATCCCGTAGTTACCCATCATCTTCAGGGTCCTTACGAGCCCTGGAAGTGCAACACTTCTCTCGACACGAGGCACATCATACCAAGTAGCAACAATAGTTCCCCAAATGGTTCCGGCAACTAGACCTGAAGTTGCACCCTTTATTGTTTTCATTGTCGGAGTATCATCATCTTCCAAGTACCTAAGTTCTGAAGGATCCATAGTTTCTTCTAATTGGATTATGCCTAAAGTTGTAAATAAATCCAATTCTTAGTAATAGCACAACAATCCACACATGAAGGGAAATTTAATATGCCAATCAATCTTGAGAGGGTACAGGCCAAAAGAAAAACCCGAAACATTAAAAAACATGGGCCTGCTTGGTTTGTCATTTGAAAAACAGTTTTTAAGAACTTAGAAAATATAAAACTGAATTTTCAGAAAACAGTTCTCAGAAACTATTTATCAAGCAGGTTTTTTGTACAGTTTTCTAATTTTCAGTTCTTCAAAAACAGAAAACTGAACCAAGCACACCCATGGTTTTGCATTTCTTTTTATATATATATCTCAAACTTGGTAAATTTAACCACTATAATTGATAATTGTGTGGATATTGGGAAAAGAAATTCTCTAAAAAGAGCAATCCACACATTCTATAAACTGAAAAGAAAGTGATTAAAAAACAGAAAACTGAACCAAGCACACCCGTGGTTTTGCATTTCTTTTTTTATTTTTTATTTTTTAATATATATAACTTGAACTTGGTAAATTTAACCACTATAATAGATACTTGTGTGGATATTCTGAATAGAAATTCTCTAAAAAGAGGAATCCACACATTCTATAAACTGAAAAGAAAGTGATTATGCCAAGAAAATCTTTACTCTTTAGCACTACATGGCATCTATCAAAGGAAAACAACATATATATACACAGCACCACATAGCAAAACGCAAGATTGTGGGAAATGAAAAGCTCCGAACCGTGAAAGAAAGCATTGTCTCGCTTTGTTTGTTTATGTCTTAAATAAATTTCGATTTGGGAAAATTACTAAGCCAGCTGAATAAAGCAGTTGATGAACTAAAATAAAATCAAATATATAGAGATACATATACATGAATCGAAATCGAACGGCCTTCCTCCCGATTCAAGCCCTAAAATCTATTTAGAAAAATGTCAGGTCGTTGTTACATCCAAGCCCTAAAATCTAATTCTAAGAGAAGCCGGCATATGCAAATGCATAAATATATGTATGTATATGTATACGCATATATGTATAGACAGAAAGAGAGAGAGAAAGTTCTTACCAGAGACAGGCTGATCAGACGTGTGAGAAGAAGAAGAAGAAGAAGAAGACACTACTGATCTTGCCTCGGTGTGATTGAGAGAGAAAATGAGAGAGAGTAGAGAGGTTAATGTTGTTTCAGTTGAGCCCGTTCACATTCGAACCCAAAGTCTAAGTGCTCATAAATTTTGACCGTGTTTGGTTCAGAGTTTAGGCTCGAACTCGTTCTGAGCTAAAACTTTTCGGAACCGCTCTCACACGTGTCCATGGCACGTCATATGAACGTGCAGTTTGTTTTTTCCAAGGAAGGGAAAATTCTCTCGTTTTCGCACTAATTATTATTACTAGATGCATTATCAAATTGTTAGAGATGGAGGTTCGTCTCCTTTATTAAATTCCGAATAATAAATTATTTTTTTCAAACACAACGCGGGTTGAATTTTTATTTTTTATTTTATTTTATTTTATTTTTTATGAAATATGCATTCTTTTATAAAGATTTGAACATGTTATATGAGTAATGGTACTTATTCTTAATATATTGCTTTAAATTTTATAATCAAATGTGACAAAAAAATATTAGAGGCTGGTTTGAGTAGCTTTTCGTAACACTCAAACGGGCTTGCAAGCCCAAGAATCACTTTCTACAAATAAAATTGGTATTTTGTGCCATTTTATCAAATGGAATTTCTCATTTACTTTTATGAAAATTCTTTTTGAGGTATTACTAGACCACAACTTTGGGAATAACTATAAATAATTCATGAACAACTCATGTGAAAGAATTTATAATGTTTTTTTAATTATCAATTCAAATATTTGCATATAAAATAAATTTATCAAGAAAGTGTGAAATCATTTTTATTTCTTTTAATTATCATGATCACTGAACAAAAATTATTTCTATATCTAATCTTAACGGAATTAATATAATTTGAGATTTACTGACAATATGAAAAATCGATTTGGAATTGAATAAGATTATTCTTTAGTTAACATGAACAAGATTTTCTCAAATTTAAACCTAGAATGATCATTAGAAACAATACTTGTCATTTATATGAAATAATCTAATAGCAAGATTCTCAAGAAAATTTTGAATTTATTTAAAATCACTTATAAGGATCGATAATAACTTAGTACATATTAGACAAAGAATTCCATATGCTTAGTGGTAAATGATAGGATACAATATTACCATCGTCCACGAAAACATATAAAAAAATAATATATATTGCGACCCAAACTTGGCAATGTTTGGAATTTCCTTGATTTAATTTGTATATATATATTTTTGTAGCAATTTAATTTGCAATTATATATGGCCTGGAGACTGATGGGCTGATCAATCTGTAATTACCTTGTTGGACGTCCAACCCAATGCATCTGGTCCATCATTACCTGGGCTTAGTCTTAGATGCTGGGATATTAATCAACACACAATGACATACATTTTGTACCACTCTATGATTGTTCTCATAATCTGAAACCACTGTATAAAATTTATCGAATGAGAAAACATTTTCCGGGAAAATGCAGAACCAGGACGACATTCGCAACCTCCCTATCGACATAGCATTTGCTCGTCTCGGAGGTACAATTTTTTTTCTCTATATATGTATTTCTTCATGTAATTTGACTCGAACTCTCTTGTTTGCAATTTGACAATTGGATTTCTTTTTCTTTTTTAATTTGACAATTGGATTTGATGTTGTGTGATGACAAAGAATGGTTGGTTGATCGGAAGAGAATACCATTCGATTGGCGAAAACGATTGACCGCAGTGAGAGCTAAGATATCGACGGTCTTTCCCTCGCTGCCGAAGGACACTGATCCTTTCTTCCTAACCCTAGACCCTGAAGGTTAGTTTTTATAGCTCAACAGTCGTCTGATACTTTGTTTATATTTCTTGTATTTATATATCTGTAATCTAATTATGAAAAATGAGCACACACAGACACAATTGATATATTTATACTATATAAATCTTAACTGCATTTTTATTTTTCATATGTAGTTTTTAATGAAAATTTGGTCCTAAATTTACTTTCTTTCAATACTATTGTTCTAACAAGTGTCCTTGAACCTTTTTTATTCTATTTGGAGAACTAATCCATATTTACCTTGTTTCAAATCAATTATTTAATTTATTTATTTTTTTCTGGATAAAATTCAAATCAATTAATCTAATATTTAATTATTTTACTTAAGCAGTTTCATCTTTAGATAATCTGAAGTCCTTTTCTAATTCTCCTAAACACGGATAGCACTTGCAGTTTTACTTGTGTAGATTTATATGTGCATGTATGTATTTAACCAACTTCTGTCACCAGTACTACTGCTGCCAGTAATCTGTCCACGAGTGATGTTTCATATTTCTCAGCTTAGTATATTTTAAATAATGGTTGATGAATTTTTTGGTCCTTGGGGTTGTGTGATAGAACATTGGGGTTGGGTTAAAAAAGATGAGTCAAAAGCATTCTTGTAACTATGATCTGCGCATATAATGGATTCTTCCTCCATCCATTCATGGATGTATGCATATCTTATTGTGTTGTGTGCTTGATGATCTATTTTCTTTGCTACATATATGATTGGTTCTCGTGCTTTGGTGATTGAGTATCTAGGCAACAATAGGATGCATAGATACACCTACGTGGCTATGTATCCTTCTTGTGAATTAACTCTATTGAACATAAATCTATTTGTAAGAACCACAATATTAAAATAACGAAGAAACTTAATTGGGAATGGATATTATTTTAGCAAATATAATGATTTTCTTCTTGATTTCATTTGTGTATATAGGCGAGGCCCAAAAATCTCACATGGTCATACATCTTGCTTTATTTGTGTAGTTTATCGAGTTGCTTGATTGTTGCATTTGTTTTTTCGATCTTGTGCCATGATTTTCTAGCATGAAGCCAGTAATAATGCTCAAGAATGTCCACACATGTTTGTTTGTGAAGGTAAATGTTTGCGTTGTATTTTCTGATGTAAGTCTTGTAGCCATGGAGATTAAAATAATGAAGAAGTTTATAACCCTATTTAGTTCCTGTAGCAAGAAGGCATAGTGCAGTTTTTGTGTATGTATATACCTTTTGCATGTGGATATTGGCAGATTTTCGCAAGTCTCAAAGTAAATGTTCACTGATGCAGATTCTTGTGTGCAATGTGTAAACTTTCAAAAAAAAAAAAAAAAAAAATGAAAAGAAAAAAAAGAAAAAGTTTAAACTCACTAATTGTCTACAGAAAGATGTGTGTTACAAATCATCACTGAGGGATTTTGGTCTTGTCTCAGGTTCACAGAGATTTCTAAGACATGCATGTGATGCAACAAGGACTTGCAGTCTGGTACTATAATGTCTTAAGGAATAGTGGGCAATCTAGAATATGAATTGAAACTGTTCAAAATAATTTATTTAGTTATTTAACCAGGGAAAATATGGCACAAATAAAATGGATCAGGAATTCGGTCTGAATATTGATGATGGATGATGTTCTATACCTCTCTACAAACCTGAAATCATCCTACGGGTGGTGGGGGGTTGTCAAACTTTATTCATCATAGTCGTGTTTGAGGATAATACTAATGAAGTCCTTTAAGAATATAAGGGTTAGTATAGTTGTTGGCTTTGGATGTCTATGCATTGTGGCGATAATAGAATTTGAGAATTTTTATAATAATTGAGAAATGAGATATTATTAATTTGTTCAATTGAAGCTTGTAGGAGCTATGTTCTGCAGCGTGACTGTTGATTTTTATTTTTACAATTTCCTTCTTTTATGATGATTCACATACTTATTCCAGGAATTGGTTACTTAGAAGCCAAGCAAATATATGACATTCTTCTGAAGTCCACTCCAGAAAGCCGTAATATTTTTGGGCGGCTTTCGGGTGCTGCTGTAAGTTTTACAAATACAATGCCGCTCTCCCTCCCCATTCTCTGCTAACCACTTTATATATATATATATAGTTTGTTAATTGTATCAATTTTGGGCAGGGTGTTTGGGAGGCCATTGTGCGAGCTTTTGAGAAAGATTACATTTTCCTTGGGGAGGCTGCTCAGATAATGGTCCAAAATGTTAATTATGAAATGTAAGTGATCAAATGACTGTCGTGTACTTGTTTAATCTGAAATAGTACCTTAAAATATTTGTTTAATGTTAGTAACTCAAACTGTTGATCAAAATTGTGTTTTTCATATTTGAAGTCCATATCAGAAAAAACAGGTGCAAAGGACTCAACAACAACTTGTGGAACTAGAACGCAAGGAAGCTGATATCAAAAGAAATGCAGCTCTTTCAGCTGCAAAATATGCAGAGGCTTGTCAAGAACTGGGACTGCAGGTTTTGGAACTGGGCTACTCGGCAGATTTTCTTAGAAATTGGTTTGTTGTTTTTTCCTTTCTGGAAGACTGAAATTCAACATACCGTTTGTTGTTTTGCTTTGCAGGGAGTAAATGTGAGGTCAGAACTGTTAGAAGCTGCGACAAAGTTGCTTCCAGACACATTTAGTAGGATTCTGGAAGTTCTGAATGGTGATTCTGTGTCGCGGGCTATTGAGTTTTATGCAAACATTGTCAGAGATGCTCACACTGAAAAGGATGTAAGGCCTAGTTTCATTTGGTTTGTCTTGGGTTTATAGCTATATGCGTAATATATACTGCCAACGCATAGTGTACTTCGTTGGCGTTCAGATGGAGGTTGGTTTGCTATGATGCATGCCATCAGTAACTTTAGTTTTTTGTTGTGATTGCAGAAAGCTACAGGGACTGTGTTACCTAATCTAAGGGACATTCTTAAAAACCCTCCTTCTCTGAATGTTTCCCTAGGCTCTGAAGTTCCTGATTCTGTAAACGTTCCAGCACATATCAATGAATCAAACTATGCGACTGGGGACATGGACGTTGCAGCTGATAGTATTGACTGGGATATTACTTTGGAGAGCTCTCAGATTGATTGGGATGTTGGTACTGTTGAAGAAACTGAAGATACTGGCAATGGATTAGGTCCTTATGAAATTGTTAATGCCAGTGAGGTTTTACAAAACTCTTCACCTAGCGATGGCGTGGGTAAAGAGGAAAATGGCTTGGGGACAGGTATTTCTGCATCAGAGATATCTTGGGATATTAGTGTTGAGAGTCATCAAGTTGATTTAATTGAAGATGCTGGTCCAGAGCCACATTCATCTGTTCCAAATACTTCAACTAAAACCCAGGAAATTTCAAAAGACAGGAGTCTGCTCTTGGAGACGGAGTACAGAAAAAAGATTCTTGATGATTTATTTGAGGTATTTAGCTTACTTATCTTGCTGATACATCTGGTTATCCCCTTTTTTGCATTGTTTTTCTAATTTTTGTTTGCTTGTTAATATATAAAATTTTCAGTTTTGTGGATAAAACATGAGAGTACAAATATTGCCTCAAATAAAATTGTTTTGGTTTTGACTTTTCTAATCAGATGACGCATTTTGGAATCCGCTGATATTGGCTATTGTTATTCTATTATCAGATTAAAGCATTTTTGAATCAACGGTTAATGGAGTTGACGAATGAAGAAACTTTGTCCTTACAACATCAAGTCCAGGCAGTTGCTCCCTTTGTGTTGCAGCAATATGTTTCTGATGCAATTCAGGAGATGCTATCTGATGTTTCCTCGGCCATTTCTTTGCTGACAAATAGGAAAACACGGGATTTGATTATGATTCTCAACTCTAAAAGGTGCTACTAGATTGTTAACACTGGTTTTATACCTCGTCTTTCCCTTATCAATCATTCTTTCCTCCCTATTTTCATGTCAACATTCTTATGTTTGCACCTTTTGGTCTACAATAGTAGTTAAATCAGGACAATGGAGGTTAGTTATGTTGAGTCTCCATTTCTGATTAATTTTAACCCCATGCACATGTGACTGAAGAACATCTTTCCTTTGAGAATTGAATTAATTGCCGTATATCACAAGATGACTTGTGATATGCGATTCGACTGATGTGATTAATTCGCAATATGTATCACCAGTCGCAGCTGACTTGGTGTAACAAGGACTCCTCTTGCAAACCATTACAATATGAGTCAAGCAACACGTCGTGTCACGTATCAAATCCCTTGAAATCCAAGTTGACTTGGCCAAGTCATCTAAAATAAAATTGGCCGAGAATTAGAAGCATTATGCTACTTCTTGTTTGTTTTTTGTTTTGTTTACCTCAATTTATCCCTGCCTTCTACCTTGATAAGTTGAAATAATGTCTAAGTATTGGTTTTAATATTGATCTGAATTCCAGATTTCTAGATAGGCTCGTAAGTACATTGGAGGAAAAGAAGCGTCATGAAGTGAAGTTAAGAGAGGGCTTGAAGGACTTGTCTATCAAACGCATGGAGCTGCAGAATTCGTTATCTTCATCGTGGCCAAAACAAGTGAGTTCATTCTGTTCTCTTATTCGTTAAGAAATTGATATTTGTTCTTTCTAGGAAATATGTATATCCATAAACGGGATCTGCTCCCTAAGACATGCCAATCATGGCATTTTATATGGAAAAGAATGTGTAAGAGTTGTAAGCTGGAAATATTGTTATCGAACTCTCTGGTTCTTTTATCATAGAAAGTTTCATGGTGGAGAGTTGTTCACAGAATAATGAACTGCCTGTGGTAAAACCTTTATTAATCAGATGATGAATTCCAAATGATGAAAATGTGATTTTGATATCAATGGACTTGTTTTCTGTCATTTTTGCATTTAGTTAATAGAAGTTGTACATTAAGTTGACATCAATTACTCAGCTAATTGTCAAATTATTGGTTTTTTTTTTTTTTTTTTTTTTTTTTTTTTTTTTTTTTTTTTTTTTTTTTTTTCTAATTTGGTCCTATTTCTGCACTCTTCCAAATGTAGATGTATTAGAAGCAACTTTTCAGTTCTATACTTGAAAAATACCCCCACCCTCTCCCAAAAGGTCATTTGGGGGTTGAATATCTGATACTGAGTGATGATAGATGCTTTTTTGATTTGCAGGAAGCAGCTCTGGCGAAAACTAGGGAACTGAAAAGGCTTTGCGAGAGTACATTATCGTCTATGTTTGATGGAAGACCTGTCAATATTATCGGAGAGATCAATACCCTGTTGAGTAGTGGTGTCAGTTCATAAACTCTTTAAGCAACTTTGCGTTACTTGAAGCTGTTTTGTGCTTCTTATTCTCACACAGAAGTAACAGGTTTACTTGGCAGTTAAATGCTGTTGTTGCAAGCAATTATCAGTTGATGACCAAAATACACAGTTTCATAGTGCAAGCAATTATCAGTTGATGACCAAAATACACAGTTTCATAGTGCCCTTTGGCATTTCCTTGTTAGCATCTTGAGTAGCTTAGTTCTAATGTAACACTGTTGTCACTAGAAATCTGTTGCCATCCATAAAAAATAATCATTGCTTATGAAAAACAATGATTGTATCTAGCACACTGAAGATTTTCTGAAGTTATTTCAGCATCTAAAGGTGGCATTTTATAGGATGGAGCTCTCAATTTGTTCTTTTAACCCAGCAATGCAATCTTAGTTATTTCCGATTAGAAACTGAGCATCATTCGGAAACTAATTTAAGGATTGTCCCCCATGTTTTAGAGGAAAATAAGTAGAGTACAGGGAACCAATTGGCATATTGGAAGCATATGATAGATTAATGGCATGAGAAGGAGTTTCCTATTTACACTGCAAATTGATAAACAAGGTTTAGTTTGCTATACTGTGCAAGTAGTACCATGAATTGTTGGACATGTAGTATTAAAGTTATTGTTAATGATGATCAAAATTAGAGAAACTGTGAAGTGGTAAATGGGGGGTGCGTGGGTGTGTGTTATGTACACTTGATGTATATCTTGACATGGTTTGGCGAGGGATGATGAAGAAATTCAACAAAGCATGCAATGGCCTCTGAAGGCGGCTAATTGATACGGAGCATTGCAATGGTCCCTACGGATGCTCACGCAATGTGATTTTTGCCCAGTGCTCTGTATGTAAAAATGAAGAAATTTAATAAAGCGGTAAATGGTGGGAGTAAGTACGACTCTCTTGGGATAGCCAAATGCTTCGTCATTGACGCGCATGAATGGATTAACTAGATTCTATTGTTCTGTCTATTGAATTGTGCGATGGATACTGTAAGTGACAGAGTGGTCTTACTGTTACGATCCGATTCACTAATATTCAAACAACGTGTGGGCTCTCTGTCCAGCCCTTCTTTAAAGACGGAGCAAAGAGAATCATCATTGATGATAGATGAGTGAGAAAATAATAATAATAAATAAATAATCTTATTTTTACAAAATAAAATATAATAAAAAAAAAACTTAATTTTAGACTCAAATACAAGTTCTAAAAATTAATAAACTATTTCAAACCCAAAAGGCCCAAAACTGAACCGAATTTAAAACCAAACTCAATACTGTAGATGCTAAGAAATTCTCATTCAAATGATTTTAGAAAACCTTTTTATTTTATTTTTATTTATTGGTCAGTAAGAAAGATTGTAAAGACGAGAGCCAATATTCTTTTCAATTTCTTCAAGCTCTCACCAATGGCGGAAACAACTAACGTGAACCAATCGACCGATGAAGAAGAAGATTACATGGGCGATCTCTCTCAATTTTTACCCCCCGAAACCTCCCAGCCTCCAAATCCTTCTTCCACAAAGGTCAGTTTTCCAATATCTATATATAAATATATTATATGTATGTATGTCTGTATATAGCTTCTTTTTCCCTACCATGGTAACTCCTAAAACCCCAATTTCTCGTTCTTCAGGTCTCCAAAAACAATACCCTGATTTCCCAATCCTCGAACAAGAAACCCAAAACCGTGAACTGGAAAGAACAACGTAAGCTCAAGAGAGAACAAAAGCAAGAAGAAGAGGACAAACGAACCCTAGTCAACTTAGAATCAGCAATTCCGCAGTCGAATATTGGGTTCAAGATGTTGAAACAAATGGGTTACACTCCAGGCTCGGCATTGGGGAAGGAGGGTTTGGGCCGTGCCCAGCCAGTGGGACTCGAGATTCGGAGGGGTCGAGCCGGGATAGGCCGGGAGGACCCTAGGAAGGAGAAGTTGAGGATAGAGGAGGAGAGGGTTGAGAGGAAGAGGAGGAATGAGGAGGAGATGATGGCGGAGTTCGGCTGTCGCCAGAAGGAACAGTGGCGGCACCGGAGAATTGTAGTGAATTTTCATAAGGCAAAGGCGGTGTTGGCGCAGTTGGAGAATAAGGAGGTTGTGGAAGAGGAGAAGAGCGAAGAGGACGGTGAAGATGAAGATGAAGAAGAGGAAGAGATCACTGAAGAGGTATTGTTTCTCAAATTATTATTATTATTATTATTATTATTATTATTATTTTTTTTTTTTTTTTTTTTTTTCTTTATGTAATATATATGCATATATATTTTTATCTATGTATTTGCCATTGTATGTCTATCTTCATGTATGTGCTTTAGCTAATTTTGGCTCTTGTTGGGGAAAGTTGGAGTTGTTTTGATCATTGGGATGGAACAAATTGTGCATGATCTTTGATCCATTTTGGTGGTTAACATTTAAATTTAGTTAACTAACAGGGTGTGATTCTCTTTCAGTTAGCTACTTGTATATGAAATATGCTGATTTAATAATTGAAATGAAGTTGGAACGTATATTTTTATCGATTGATTGTCAGTGTATTTAGCTGCCGATTTAATAATTGAAATGAAGTTGGAACATATATTTTTATCGATTGATTGTCAGTGTATTTTGCTGCTTAACATGATAGACCAAAAGATGTTTTGAGTCATTTTATTTTATGTAGCTCTGGCTCTTAATATAGAATCAGTATAACTTTAAATCGTATCAAACTAGCATGTTATTGATGAACTACCAACTGAATTTCAATTTTTGTCATAGTTGATGATTAGCATTAATAAGAAGTTTGCAATTGTACAGATCTTTTCTGTTTTAGCTAGTCCTGGATCCAAAAATGAAAACTGTAGCATCTCTTATTATTGATTGTCAGCGTATTCGGCAATTGAATTATGGTTTCAAAGCATGTTGGTTGATAACTTGAAAACTTTTGTAGAATAGGTTAGACTGAACATATATATATATATATATATATATATATATATTGAGAAGTAGGGTAGACTGAAGATTTGCCACTTGGCACTTACCAAAAAAGTGGTTTTAGCTTGATTTTTTCACGCAAATGAAGATTAACGTTTTGGTAATTGAGATTGATAAAATTGTTTAACATTTTATTGATTAATTGTTAACAATAATTGTAAGCTAATGGAAAACGTTATTAGGTGCCATTCTGTTTTAGCAATCTGTTGTTCTTATGGAAGTATCTTGAAATGGAGTGCTTGACATCTTATTGATGATTTGCTGATGAAATTTCAATTCTCAAGGTGCATTAACCTTATGCTGTATAATTAGATTGGAATGAAGTGTCACGGTGGGTGTTTTTAAATAACTGGTAGACTATGCCTTGTGTTAGCCAAAAAATGTGGGGATAAGAGAGAGTAGATTAGCTTTTATATTGTACAGGTTTGGAATTGGATTCGATAAACATTCTGAAGAGTAGGATGGATGACTTGTGGTACTTTTTCTTGTAGTGAAAGGAGATAGTTACCACACAGTTGCTCATTAGTTCCGAACTACTGATATATTCACTGCCTTAGATAACCTGGGAGTTGGGTTTTTTTATGTCTTACAGATTGACCCTCGGACATACATCTGTATAGTTGAATTTTGGTTGCACTTGGAAATATCTGGTGGGTAATTATTGCTCACTGAATGCAGGATTTACAAGATATACTGATGAAGCTGAGGGATGAATACCGATACTGCCTCTTCTGTGGATGTTCGGTACGTATAAGATATCGATACTTACTACTTTAAGATTGCTGAAGATTTAGAAATATTTTTCAGATTGGAAGTTGAAGCTTGGAATGTTTACATTAAAAATGCACACTGATTGCCAATGAAAAAAAAAAAAAAAAAAAAAATGGACACTTAACACATTCCATGTAAAAGTGGTTATGATAATTTTTATTTTGGTAATCCCCACAGAAATAATTACATTTTTTGTTTATTCATTTTTTATGTTATTCCAGTATGAATCGATGGAGGCACTTCTATCCAACTGCCCTGGAATTAACGAAGATGACCACTAACAAGACTCCAGAAGAAAGACAGCTCTTATCAGAAATCCACCAGACTGTGTGGAATGGACATGAATATATATTCTCACTTTTGGCATGAAAAAACAGGATACGAGCTGTAAAACGTTCTTTACAGAACTGAGACACCCCATCGGATCAAAGTCTGTCATTTCAGGAAAAAGGGCACCACATGGTTTCTCAGTTGAACTGTTTCCAATCAACAGGGATCGGAAATTGATGTGCATCCATTCATAGAACTAGCAATTGACGCCCAACAGTGGAGAACTAGTTCTGAGCTTCTGCAGTTGTAGATTTTGCACACATGTGCTATATGTATTATGTGGAAGCTAAAAAGTTCACCAACATTGGACATTAGCAGATAATGACAACAGTAATGATGGCTCTAAATAGTTTTGCTAGTCCTCCAACTAGGAATACATGTAGGCCAAGCTGTATTACATTCATATAGTAGTTGTCTTACAGCCATCCTTTGATGAAATGTCTCTTCTGTAAGTCGAATTAATAAAAGTTACTTGCTAATTGGTTATGGCATCATTTCTGTTTTGGGTCGTTGAAGTTTTTGCCTTCATAATTTTGCTGTTTGAAATTAGGCTTAGTTGCTGAAGTATATTGTTTGCTACAGCATTGTCTTATAGCCGCTTGGGCCAGCCAAGCTTGTGTTAAATCCACCGTTCCGAGGGTTCACAACCCTAATACACTTTTAACTCCAAAACTAGTCCGGGTGTTGTGAAAGAAAGATCAGAGCAGAGAATTTTTTTTCTTCATTTTTTTTTTTTTTGCTTGCAGAGTGACCACACTCTTACTCGAACTCACATACTCAAGTCCATGAACCCACCAAGCTAACAGTTATCCCTTTCAAAACTAAACCCCTGCCATCATCACAAGTTGTAATATGACCTGCCATGTCTGCTGATACAATGGAATGCAGGTATTTGCTACTCAGTATAAACGAATGAGAGTTGAGCGTTGTTCATTCAAAAAATTGATATATACCAAAAGCTTAAACAACAAAGTTTCCAGTCCTGGATTGATGACTGAATGCTGAGCAAGACTTCCAGTTTCAGAAGTCATTTTCCCGAGTCCCATCAAGCACCCAACTGACCCAATTTGCACAAAATGACTTCTTCATTCTTACCATCAAGTGATTCAAAACAAACAGCACTTGAATACTAAGTAGCTAGAACAAGGCAGGAGGACCCTGCTAGTCAGTTTGACAAAGTTAAAGCAAAATACAGATCTGATACTAATCCTAGATTAATCCCGTCAGAAGCACAAACAGAGACTGACAGAATATATGCATTTACAGTTCAGGTCACTAAAGTGGCCACACAAATCAGAGAGAAAAACACATGCTTAAAGTGACCAGTCCATATATTGCCTTACACTCTGTCGAGCCAGATCGACCTGATTATAATACGGAGCACTGGCAGGATGTGAAATTCGACCAAGCCCTAGATCAGGAGTCGCATCTTGCAAACTGCTGCTAGCTTTATTACTCTCGCAACCCCATGGAGTGCTTGAAAAGTGATTGACAGCAGCACCAGGAAGAGCTGTTGGTTGCTGATTCATGGGTGCTCCATCAGCATTCAGCAAGTTAACCACCCCCGGACTTGATGGACGGTTTCTTGAGCCCCAGGGCTGATTTGACAGAAGAGAGAGAGCACGGGTGGAGTCAGATGAGATTCCTGAAAAACATTCCCCTGAAGGAATTCTGGAACCACGATCGTCAGTCCCACTTGCTGAAACTGGTAGAAAGAAATCAAGTGGAGGGTTATCTGAGCAGCTATGCCGTGGATGTGGAATAAACTTCCCTGTGGAAGGTGGTTGAATACCCAACACACTCTCAGATGCTCTTGTAGTTGGCCAAGGGTCCTTCCCTGCAGTGAAGTCCATCAGAAAGCTCCCACCAGCTCTGTTGTTGCTTTCTGTCAATGCAAGTTGCAAACATGCGGATTCAATCTTAGCAAAACAATAAAGCAAAATCCTAACACTAGTTATATTCGTGACAGTTCCATGGCAAGTGAAGAAGATCTAAATAAAAAAAGGAGTTTCTATTGGTGATGTCTAACCAAAGATAGATGAAGAGAGAAGCCTGTAGTGTGAGGACAGTAGAGATCCAGGTGGGGGCTTCCTCCGGCGTTCATTATGGCCAGCTAGACGTCTGCGGCAACTTCGTTTTCCTTGGTCAAATTCAGGAAGCTGATGGAATCTGGCAGAGACTACCCAAGAGCTATTAATTCTTATTACATATGGAGAACGACACCTAATCATCATTAATTTGCTAGAAAAGAATTCCAAAAAGACAAGAAAGATGAAAGATACATATGTATCAAGGTTTATGTGATTTTGCAAGTCCTCTATTATATCCAATTCAAAACAAGGTGATCCTTGAAATACTAAAACAGCTCCCTGAAGAAATTTACCACTCAGTCACATGAATGGCCTTTTGACACTAGCAAGAGATACTGCCACAAATAAGATATATGCTGGCTGGGTGTCAGCTGACTCCAAACTAACAACTGATATGCATCAGTCCATCACGTCCCATGACACATCTTCCCTGCCAGGTATGAAATCAGTAACACAAACCACTGGTGCCAATGCGCCCATTGTTACACTCTTCAAATAAACAGGGAATATTATAATTTTTTTTCCTTCCTTATTTCTTGTCTTAGTATTTCAAGAGTTGGGCGAATGCACTACTCATACCCATATCTATGAAACATAGGTTTTCCTTGATCTATATAAAAATTGAGGGGTGAAAACAATAATGAAATTGTGACAAGAACCTACTACTAATTGCACAACACAAATGCATTCATGGTGAGAAGAAACACACATGGTTCATTGCAGTCACTGCCTTTTCAAACTCCATAGCTAGACTTCTAGTAAAATTCCGGAATCATAAAAAGTGAATACCAATTTTATTTCGATACTTCAAATTTTAGTCAAACAACTAAGAAGAAACTCGACTTGAGCTTTATAACCACATGTCACAAAGTCAGTACCCCATTCCACAAACACCAAATCATTAAATTCATAAACATCAACAACCTAAACTCAAAGACAGACAGTAACTACTAAAACATTGCTCCTTATCAGTATGGAATGAGAACCCCATCACCATAACAGAACCAAAAATACCCCTCCAAAAAGGAAAAAGAGAAAATCAAGTCTAGCCTAATTCCCAATAATAAGTACCACTATACCACAAGGACCAACAAACTCACTAAGACATTTTATTTTATTGTAGTTATTATTTTTTACTTTTTGGGGTGGGGGAAGAGGTGAAAGACCCCCATCAAAAACAAAGAAAACATAATTGAACAAACCAATAAATTAACACGTTACTCATACCCATAACCAAGGTACTTGCACCATGAACCAAATCCACATATAATTCACGGAGACATAAAGGCTAGCAACGTCATTTTAGATTCAGAATTCCATGCAAAAGTTGCTGATTTTGGATTTGCCAGTCTTATACCAGATGGAGTCACTCACTTGACCACAAGAGTGAAGGGAAAACTTGGGTATTTGGTTAAATCTTGGGTATTAAACAGGGGATCTTCCTTTTTTTTTTTTTTTTTTTTTTTTTTTTTTTTAATTTCTTGTTGCAGTATTAAGACTTTTGAGAGTTGGCTGGCTGAACACACTACTCATACCCATATCTATACAAATCATTTATTTAAAATTGATGGGTGGAAACAATAAATGAAATCGTGACAAGAAACCACTACTAATTGCACAACACAATTCGATTTATGTAGAGGCACAACGCACAACACAAGATGCATACATGGTGAGAAGAAACAAGCATGAACCATTGCAGTCACTGCTTTTTCGAAAACCATACCTAGACTTCTAGTAGAATTTAAAAATTGAATACCAATTATATCATGACTTGCAAATTATAGTCAAACAATTAAGGAGAAACTCGACTTGAGCTCTAAAACCACAAGGCACAAAATCAATACCCCAATCCACACATGCCAAATCGTCAAATTCATAAACATCAACAACCTAAACTCAAAGTCAGATAGTAATAACTACTAAAACATCATTCTTTATCACCATGAATTGAGAAGATCACCAAAACAGCACAAAAAATACCCCTCCAAAAAGGAGTATGAGATGATCAAGTCTAGCATATCATCCAAACATAACAAAACAAAAGTATAAACCCCTATAACAAGTACTGATATGGAATAATCCCAATAATAAGTACCACAAGTACCAACAAACTCACCAAGACCTTTTTTATTTTATTATATATATATATATATATATATATATATATATATATATATAATAATTATTATTTATGTGGGTCGGGTGGGGGAAGAGCTGTGTGACCCCCCATCAAGAACAAAGAGAACTAAATTGATCAAAGCAATTAATTAACATAATAAATCCAAAAGAAGTTAAACAAACCATCTTAAATGAGAAAAGGGACAACACCACAACCAGAATAAGTAAGAAAGCAAACCCAATAACATAATTAACAGTCATCAAATAAATGTGTGTGCGTATAGTATTATAAAGGAAAATCTGGTTGACCTGCTACACTGCTGGCAAAACCTCTGCTCAAGGCCTCCAACAATGACCTTAGGTGACTTTGAGTGCATACCACAGACTTTGTGCCTCAAATAGTAAGCTTTAGCATCACTCAGATCCACTTTACATCCTTCTACCTGGCACCTGGGTGGCCGTCCACCATGAACAACCCCATTCCTCCCCTTCTTGGGCGGCGTCAACGGTGGCGCAACCGATGACGACGACCCACTACCGGATTTGGCCGGAACTCCGATACCCACATCCTCAAAGTAGATTTTCTGGCCGAATTTCAAGCAGTTGAGTGAATCGGATGAGTTGGATGAAGAAGAGCTCGAAGCCATTTCCGTGAGCTGTGTCTAGAGTCCATCCATTGCTTTCTTTCTTGTGGTGTGGGTCGAATCTTGAGAGAAAGCGACTGTATATAGAGAGAGACGAGAAAAGAGGTGTTTGGTGTGAATATGCACCTGACACGGAGCCATGCCAAAGTGGGGTATGGTACTGTCAAATAATGGAGAAGTAACATAGGAGAGAGAGAGATGGGGCAGCACTTTTGGGAGTTCTTGAAGAGAAGCCCTCCTTTACAAGGCTCCTTTTCCTGTCACCAACTCAACTGTCATTGTTGAAATATTTTTCTCTCTCTCTCTCATTCATGTAATCTTGTGAAGTTTGTTTGAGTGCGCCCTCATACTGTGTTGATAATTGGGGGCGCAGACTGAACTGTGAAAATAATGGAATCCAACCAAAACGGATGGGAAAAAAATTATTTAGTTGGATTATAGGGTTGATTAAGCTAAAAATAAAAAAAATTATGATTCTGTATATTAATAAGTTATTACTTAGTATATAGTATATAAATATATATTTATATAACTGTCCGATTTCGTCCAACAGAATTGAATTATTTATAAACATTTATATTCAAACCTGTAAAAAAAAAGTCTAAATTGAACCGTTGGGTTTACAGTTGAATTAGTTTTTTGTGGCGCAATTTGAAAGAGTTTGTATGGTAAAATAGTGATGATCACAAAAAAAAAAATTTCTTATTTATATAGTATATAAATATATATTTATATAACTGTCCGATTTCGTCCAACAGAATTGAATTGTTTATAAACATTTATATTCAAACCTGTAAAAAAAAAGTCTAAATTGAACCGTTGGGTTTACAGTTGAATTAGTTTTTTGTGGCGCAATTTGAAAGAGTTTGTATGGTAAAATAGTGATGATCACAAAAAAAAAAAAATTTCTTATTTAAAATTAATTTTTTAAACTAAATTTTGACAAAACAAATGAATTTTAATTTATTTTCTGCTATTTAGTTCGACGAGGACATAACTTAATTCATCTACTTAAGACATTTTATAAACTCATCTACTGTCGGCGACAAAGGCCAGTTCACAGTGCATCTTGTCTTTCGGAAAAAACAAGAAATCATTTTCATCTCTCTGCCACTTTTCTTTGGGTAAAGTGCACGAAACCCACTTGTTACATAAAAATTATGTACAAAAAAACGACCCTGTTTAGTATACGCATCTAATCTGTCAACATTAAAAAAAATGTGTGCATACTTCTTAGAATTCATCAATTTTCTACTATTAATCAACTTTGATCAAATTATTTAATTTAAGAAAATATTCTTATTTGTACGAAAAATACACATTTATATATATATATATATATGGCACATTATATATATAAAAATAATAATAATAATTATTATTATTTTGACACTTAACCTCTATTCTTTGCGATTTTGACGTTCATTGGGGCTTGACGTGACATTTTTTGGGGAGTTACGGCTTTCGCATTTTATATGTTGAATTGTATAGTTATATATATATATGGCAATTCCTTCCGATAGACTTTAGCATCACAAACATAAAATAATGCCACCGATTTTTATTTTTTCACATTCCACTAAAAGTATAAGTTACTCCAATTAGTCATTATCAGTGAAGTAGTAGTCGTACATATAAAAAATATAAAAAAAATAGGTTTGTTGCACTTTGGCTGTCTGGTTTGGTTATGATTTGGTTAGAATTTGTTGTATGGAATTTCTCCTTTTCTCCCTGTCAAGGTCATTAGGTCCATTATTGAAAATTGTCCCTATCTTGCTCCAAAAATAGAATGGGACACCAAAATCCATCAACCCAAATGAACATGTTAATGCAGCTCTGATATCCATTAGAGGTGATGGACCAAAGATCTACCATAGAAATCTTACCAAATTTCTATCAAGCATGCCTCAAAATAGGGAGAAATTCACTTAACTATCATATGTCTAGGCATATCCGCCCTCTCCACATCAATGCATTCTAAGGAGTCGTTTTCTCATATCATGATACTTTATAATTGTTGATACTAGTTTTTGATAAGTTGAGGAGTTTTCACGTCTGTCTGAGAATGCTGAGATCAAAGGCTGAATAGAACTCCAAACTGACACGAGATTCTCCATAGAAGAGATTAAGAGAAAGAAGGTAGATTTGTTTAACATTCTATCATAGCTCGAGTCCTAGAAGACAATTCTTTATGGTTTGGGTTGTGGTGGTGTATATGTATTCCAACCCCCCTAAATGATGAGAGTTCATTCCTATTTATACTACTTTCATTTGGGTAAGAACCCTTGGTCATAAGAGTTAACTCCCTCTTTATGTAATGGTCACTTTACCTAGGTTAGGATCATTGGTTATGAGGGTAGCTCTTTCTTTATCTAATGGTCATTCTAGGTTAGGATCATTGGTTACGAGGGTAGCTCTCTCTTTATCTAATGGTCATTCTACCTAATCTTTAACACATTGGACATCTAACAGGCAGCCGGAGGCACACTGCTGCCCCTTTTTGAGGTGGTGATGATGGCATGCATTAAATCAGTCAATCGACATATATTTAATATATTACGTGGTTTCTAATACTACTCGAACTCAGCTATTGGATATTCAACATCCCCCCCCCCCCGGCGCCGCCGCCGCCGCCGTGTAGACCTCAATATGAGGCGAATCCTTGGAATTCGGTCATCTAACCACTGATACTCAGATTCCTGCGATCATAAAGGAAAAAAAAGAGACTAATTGAGGGCTTGCCTTCCGAAACCTCGGTCTTTCGTTTCCTATTCGCACCTCGAGCCCTCATTTTCACAAAAGTTTGCTCGAGGCAAGAACTCTCTTCTAATGAATATACAAGAAATTTCTTCTGTAGAAGAGAGTTTCATACAGGGGTTTGGTGAAATCCATCAGACTAGAGCGGGGCATCACCACATGAGGGCGAAGGGTAGCAACCCCTTGCCCTTGCCATTTCAACATTCACCAGAGACCTAGTAGCTTGAGACTACTGGTTTTGCCAGAGAGGTGCCAATTAGGACTAGATATGGTCCTATCAGAATTGGCCAGATGTATTTTCAATAATAAATAGTGCCACATGGCGCGATCATCCATATTTATAATAAATAGTGCCTCATGACATATGGCGTGGCATGATCATCTAGAGTAATATATTAATACACTCTTATAGAGTCATTTTCTTGATCAGAGTGTATGTATTTAACTGGTCCAACAAGTCTCAATGGTCATGGACCAACTAATAATTTTTCCAAAATAGAAGGCTATAATGCTAATTAATAAATAGGTTGTTACAAAATGACATCAAGTTTGTCAGAGAACTGGATCACATATATAAGCCCCCGCATTAAATTCCAAACATAATTTTGTGCCTGGCCTAATAATCCTAAATCCACTTGAATGATGATTGATTTATTTTTTATTTGTTCAACTTTCATGTTTCAACCCAACCCAACCCAAATTGAGAGACCATTTAGAGCACCAGTTAGCCCCTATTCCAAATCTGTTTTTACTAGAAAACAAGGGGACTTAAAAGAAGTGAATGGCTATATACTGTGAATCAAGTTAAAAAGTGCCAAAATTCCAATGGCAAATAAAGCCACTGCCACTGACAGGTTACCAAAGTCCACACAAGTGTCATGAAAAGCCAATCACAATGCCTCAAGTAAGTACAGTTAATCACAACTCGACAAGTAAAATAAATGTGTCGGGTAATGGATTAAATCCGACAATTTGTCCATGAGCTCTTTCCATGTACCTAAGGCATTGAACCATCCTCATTTAAAGTTTGGAACACAAACAATTACGCAGATAGTACCCACTGCAGGATTAAAAGAAACTTCACAGCTTGGCACTATAGAATCTACATCAACCAACAAACACTATGTAATACTATTATATGGGTACAAATTTTTATCTTTTATTTTTGAATAGTTACTATTATTATTAGGTACAAATCAATATATCAAAAGAAGATTGGAAGACAGATGTATCATAAACAGAACTAAAAGTAACGTGTTGACATCATTGACCACATGTGAAGCATGGAAAAAATGTCATAGCAACATCACTTTTTTCTCTACTAAGAAATTGCCAAAAGGCTTGAAAATCAATGGTGAATTGGTGATTGTAACTTCTTGCAAATCTAATGCTCAAAAGTCACATTCTTACATCCAACTAAGATCATTTCATGCGATTGAAAGAAGAAAAGGACCTCTCATTTGCAAAAATGAATCTGCTGTCACTAAGGGGTTACAAAAGTGAAATAAATCTATAAAGTAGCCTCATATTGGTATGGTTTTAGTAATAAGATACAATAAACCACCTCTTTGATCTTTTTGCACATTGTAGAGATTTAAAGCAGACAAAATTGAACACCAAACACTTAATTTTCTAGTTCTAGACAGGTGCAACTTGCTCATTCCAGTAGCCAGTGCGACCGCAAGGCTACTGGGGGAGCCAACATGTAACTCACCAAACCAAAAATAAAATAATAACTCAAGCATGATTCAGTTTTCAAACATGCCTATACCTCCATAAAATTATTTTCAATATGAGATGGAAACCGATGAGATCATGAGAACATCAATAAAAAAAAAAAATCAAGTCATTCATCGACAAAATAACAAAAAACATCATGTCTCTAACATATAGGATACAAGGCAGACAATACTTTATGACTGAAGGAACTTGGTCTCACTCAAAAGTTATAAGAGAAGATGTCTAATTTGTCAACCAGTTCAAGTGTGTACACTATTACCTGGTAATAGTCTAAATCACCAAGTGACTTCATAAAAACAAAAAGGGGAAAGAAGGGGGATATAAAACATAAAGTCACCACCAACAAAATAATAATAATAATAATAGTGCTAATGATTTATGCAAGTACGATCTATTTGTCAATCATTTTAGGTTTTCACATACGTAAAAAGAACTGTCCAAATTTGAAAGTCTCTCTAAAGTCTAAGTATGCACAAATGCATTGCCACTCATTAAATCATAAGATGTATTGCAATACTGACTACTTCTTCCATTTACATTTTCTAAGGCTATATTGTATGCCATTTCATGCTTGCAGGCTCCACTATAATCTAACACCCACTCAGCCACTTTAACAAGAACAGTAAAGCACAGAGACATTAATTCTGTCCTCCCATCTTCTAAACCCCAACAACTCTGACCCTGCATTCTATTTTCTAGACATATTTTGGTTTACTAAATCCTTCAACTAACACAATATTTTCCTGCTCATTGGTCGCTGGTGTGTCCAGTGATGTTTAATGCACTTAAGAAACATTCTTACTAATTTAGTTTCACCAGCCAAAAATATTATCAGTGCCTATTTTTCTATTCTAACTTCCAATTCCAACATTTATGTTTTAATTCCAATGCCAATAGTATTTAAGATGAGATCAAATGCTTTTGCAAATCAAATTCTTACATTAAGCATTCGTTTCTTTACATTTCCTTTGTATGGAAAAGAAATTACCATTGAACGGCTACAGAAAAGATAACCTATGACAGGCAGCACCACTACAATCCTTCACAGTCCCATACTGACAAACCTAGAAAAAATATCAAGTCAAAAACTACCTTCGCTATGATGCAACCACTTTTGAAATCACATTTGCAACTTTCCAGGTACATGCTATAAAAAAATCAAAACAAGATATAATATCTAAATAATGTTTTGACCATGCTAGAGGCCACGTTGCCAAGAAAACGGTCACCCATTCCTGTTGCCCAGACAATTAGGTATCCTGTTTGTTGCTTTTCCATTGTGCTAAAGCCTAAACATACCACTGCAGGACAGTGCTTAAGCATCTCTTCAGATATAACCTGCAGTTGCTCATCCTATGTCATCCTTATCTCATCCATCAGAAGTTATAGACTATACCTCACAATATGAATGTTTTTTTTAAACAACTGTCTAGCTAGAACATGCACTAGAAGCGACCTGGATTGGTGATCACGAAAACTAAACTGAACTCATGGCCTAGAACAATCTAATAACCTACCAAACCTGAATCCTGAACAATTCATCCAACCCAAGAACCAAACTGATCCAACCAATAGTGACAAAAGACAAGGCAGGTCAACCAAGTTTCTGTCTGTAGTAGATATTGGTAGTGGTGGATGAGGTACTGAACAGACTATATGATGGGGATTGTGGTGTGAGAGACATAGGCGGTCTTTTGACGGTGTGGAAGCACGGATTGGGAGCTGAAACTTTTTATTTTGAGTTCTTTATTTTTCTAGGAAAGGGAGAGTAGTAGTTTGTTGATTTTTTGGATAGCTTGAGGGTATACTGATGTTTTCTTTTGTGCAGTAGTTTCTCGGGATGCGCTCCCTTTTTTTACTTGTTAAAAAGTTTCCGTCTGCACAGACTCAAGTTGGACCTCAACTTCCATCAATTATACCAGATTTAGTTGCACCCTTATAGTTTAGGTCCCTCGGTAGAAATTAATTCAGCACATGTGCAACGGTAATATTGAACTAATCCAAGACCCAGAAGCATCATATCAGTAAAATGGATAGTACATTTTTGTTTCTCAATAGCTTTCATTTGTAAACCATGCTTTCATTTATTTAACAGCAGGCAAGTAAACAAAAAACAATGAAAATCTTTAAGGACTAAAACAGGCATGACCAACCAGAACAAGGTATAGTTGCACCAAAAATCAAACCTATCTATTACAAATTCACTCTCTCTTTTACAACAAAGGGCCAATTTATTCCTCTAACAATGGCATCAGAACACCCTACACTTCCTAATCATTTTGACTGGCAATAAAACTTCCATTTTCCTATAATGGCAACACAAAGAAGCATAGACACCAAAGAATGTGCTGCTCTCGTTACTCATCAGAATTATTCTGAAGAAACAGCATCTTGAATAGTCAGTTCAATATGAGTATATCATTGAATATGCTTCCATTTAAAGAATGCCCCAGCTTTCCATTGTCAGGAGCCATGTCTCTAGTAGAAGCTTGTATTCAGTAATGTTAATGCAATATTAATCCACTCTTTCTCAGTCTCCAATTCCACTCTTTGAATCCTCAACTTACATCAAATCTCACTACCGAGCTTTCTTATTTTGCTACCAATTTAGGTGAATTTCATTAAATGAAAAGTATTAAATTCTTCTGAAGGAAAAACTACAAGAAATTCATTAAATCAAATGGACGAAGCTCGAAGCTAATTAGTACAATTGCAACAAAAAAATATGTGATAATGAAAAACTTTTACCAGGTAAAAGAAGTTTCTGCTTACTTACTGATAGTGAACAATACAAAAAAAAAAAACCGCAGAAATATTTAATGGTGATAGCTTGAGAGAAGATTCTAGCAGTATAATCTGTTTCAAAACTCCCAATAGAAACCACCCATTTGATTGAAAGCAACATTTGGGCAGGACACCAGATTACCAAAAAGAAAAAACATATGACAAAATAAGGTAGAGTCACATTGACGGCCAACCTGAATCTCATTTGCACTTCACACCTACTTCAGCAGCCCGTCGAGGCTTGTTTTTCCGCCTGCTCCCATTTTGTCTGAATCCATTAAACCTAATTGAGTCGTCAGTGCTAGTTTTGGTCCCCGCGCCGTTCTCCTCTTTGATGGGATTTGGATTCCCCTTGACCTGTGAAGACCTCTTCCTCTTCCTTCCATTCTCCGCAGCATCCTGATTTTTCAGGTCTTTGTTAGAGAGAGAACTTTTTGTGTTCTCACCGTTTTCTTCTTCGTCTTCCTCTTCTTCTTCTAACTTCTGGGCTTCTTCTTCTTCCTCAATTTCATCCTTCAAAGGTTTCTGTGGCCTTCCTCTTCTCCTGTATGTCGGAATCTTTTCTTCCTCACCAGTGCCAGCGTCCTCACGAGCAGTAGTAGCATTCTGTTTCTTCCCTTTTCCTCTACCTCTACCCATAATAGGAACACCTCTTGTAATAAATCTCAAACTTATAAATATATCTGTAGAAGCAGATATAGAAAATAAGAAGCCTGTAAAATATTAAGCTATTCCATGAATCCCAAAAACACCAAGTGGACTGAAAATATCATAAAACAAAAGAAACACAACATAGACCTTATCTTCACAACCCCCTTCCCCTCTCCCCCCCCCCCCCCCCCCAAACAAAAAAAAAAAATTAACAACAGTTTAGATCATGACAACATCCAAGAAAAGAGAAAATAAAATGGAAATCAATGGAGACAACATTTATAACTAAAGGGCACCAACTGAAACAAACTAAAAAGAATACAAACAAAACCGAACTTTGTTTCATCACAAATTTACAAATCGATATTCACTTTCTATGATTCATAGGGAAGCACAGGACAAACATTAGAAACTGAATTTTTTTTCATGAAACAAAAAAATAGAATCAAGGAAAACAATCAAAACCCCAAACCATCCTCTCGAATACTCTAAAACTTCCCATATAAATGAAATCCACCCTTTTATCAACAAAACAAAACAAAACAAAAAAAAATCCATGGCTTCTATGCTATTAACAATCACAAAGAAAGGAACAAAACCCATATCAACAAATGGTTTTTAGGACTGAATACGCCATCAAACTGTCAAAAAAAAAAAAAAAAACCTTTTTTCCTAGAAACCCAATACATCACACAGGAATATAGCAATATATATATATATAATGAATTGGACCATTGGAAAGAGAAAGAGAAGCATAAGAATGACACCTCATAAGAAACAGCCACCATTTGCATCTCCAATAGAAAACCCAAATAGCAGATAAGTTGACATATATCGATGGTTGCAATAGTAGTGAGAGTAGATAATCAGAGACTAAAGTGAGTGGCTTTAACTATGATCTGAGTATGAACAAATGAAGACCCAGATCAGAGAACAATACATATAAATAAATAAATTGAGATTTGAAGAAACTAGTATCTGCTTTTGGAAGTTAAATAGCTAAGCGAAAGAGTAAAAGGCGGAGGTAGAGGCAGAGAGGACTGCATAGAAGAAGTGTAGAGAAGAAACAGGGCATTGAGAAAGTGGTGAAAAGATATTTTATCTTTTTTATTTTTATTTTTATTTTTTAATTTTTTTAAGGCCGTTTAGGAAAATTAGGGAAAACACGTACTACATATGTCATATATTGTCACATGCTTCAAAACTGAATGGTTAATGAGGAAAATATTATTTTGCACCTGCAAATCCTTTAATTAAGTGAAATTATGAAGATATTTTGTATGTATTTAAAAATTAATACTTTTGCTAGATTTGAGATTTATAATTTGATCACACATAATCATAAAAAATTGTTTACACCAACAAAATATATGTTTAAAATGTTATTAATAGAACTGTGACATTTTATTGATATATTATAAACTATAAAGTAGATCTGTGTATTGAATATATAGGAGAAGTTCCTATTATTTTTTTAACTAAATCAAATTTACTCTTAAGAGTTAAAAGACTCATACGAAGAAAGGATACATGGCAGTAAGGCACATGCAGAATGACACTGGGCCCTACTTAAGTTTGACTACTTCAAACTTCAAACTTCAAACATAAACACCAAACATTTGAAGAAATCTTCCTCACAAAGATAAGGAAACAAATAACGATAGTATATAATAATACTGAGACTTTAACTTAACTGATACCTTGGGAATATATATATATATATATATATATATATAAACTTGACAGAGAAAATTCATTCAAACAGAAACATTATCTTTAAAGTGACTTGAATCATAGACTTTTTAATTTAGAAGATAAAACAATATTACCACATACCTCTAAATAACAATTCTGGAGAAAAAAAAGTCTTTTGAGTATACCAATTGTGCCAACTAGTGTGCGGACTTATTTACAAAGGGAGAAAAAAATCGTGAAAATATGCCTGATTTCAGTCTCTAGAAAGAAAATAAAATATCATTGATTTTTGGCCTAACTTTCTCAAAAACACATGTAAAGTCATAGGCATTATATACTTATTATTAGTACAGGATAGATGAGAATATTTTTAGCCTGTGTAGTGTGAGGAAAGAGAGGATGGATAAATATGTTTACTGAAAATAATTAAGTAAAAGAAAATTAGAGGACAGAGAAAAAGAAGTTAGAAAGGATGAGACATTTCTTTGAGTTTTTCGATTTGAAAATTCTATACTTATTTAGATTTGTCGGTCGAAAATAGAGATATGAAGTGTGAACTATTGTGATGGCCCTCGCACCCGTCTCATGACATGGTTCTTCTCAATTTGCTTGCATTCAAAACTTTAGTGAAATGGAGGAGTGGAGGAGGGCATCAAATTGGGTTTGGCAACACCTTGTGTTTGGTCGGTAGAGAATCACCTCCGGTATTACATTAACCAATTTTTTTCTTTTTGAAATAAGTGGCTGGAAAAGTGCCACGTCGATTAAAAATAGAGTAACTAATTTTTCACCATCACTCTTTAAGTTGTATTTCACATATATATGTGTATATATATAAACTTTAAACATTAATTTCAAAATACTGTATAATTTATTTTAATAGAGAACGGTTGTATTTTATTTTGGTGCTTCCAGTGAAATTCATTTTATTATTGCCAAATTTGTTCTTTTTGTTTAAACAATTTGTTGGCTAATTCCAAATTCATGTTGTTTATTTGTGATAATAGTCAAAAAAATTTCACTTTGTATAAAAATTGTTAGTTCATTGATTCATAATTTCTGTTTTGGTGTTGCTTTCTCTATCTCTTCATCTTTGTTCCTGATCCTTCTCTTACTTAATTACGGATTGTATGTATAACATAACATGAAATAAATTATGTACCACTTATAAATTATAATTTGAACTAGTATTTCTCTGAAATTGCTTGGGATATTTAACGTATACAAATAATTAAACAAAAAGCCATTCCAGTCTCTAACATATTTGAAAGTGCTCTGCAAATCTTTGTATCTAAGATTATAACCAAACAATTTACTCATGGACCAAACAAATAAATGGATGATTAATTTCCTTTTTCCCGGTCGTCCACTTATCTCCCTTATTTCTTCCAAAAAAAAAATTATACGATTTTATTTGGAAATAAAATATAAAATTTAGAAATAATACTTTCTAGTTTCTGTTTTGATGTTACTATGTTAATTTGGAATAAAATGACCATGAAGAAAGGGAATAAGAAATTTATGGAAATAAAGGAATGGAAATAGAGCCGTGATTCGTTTTGAATGACCTAGTATGAAGAAAGGGAATAAGAAATTTATGGAAACAAATGAATGGAAATAGAGCCGTGATTCATTTTGTGATTCGTTTTGGAAACAAATCAAAATATGTTTATATTGGGAGAGAACAAAGTAAACCGGATATAATTAAAATATAAATTTTAACCTTCCATAATTTTTACTATTCATTTACTCCGAGAAACTGGATGCATTATGCAACTAGAGAGGATCTTGATCTGTATTTGATCCACAATTGAACCTTAATAGGCCAGGTTAGCAGAAAATTAAAGTTAATTATTTTATGAATTATTACCTTGAGCATTCACATGGGAAGAACCTTTCTTGCATATTTCAGTTTTTAAGTAGATCTTTATTTACCAGTGTAATCAATAGTTGTCTAGGGTGCATAAATTCTCATTTATCATGTATCAAGATAAATGAAGAGTTTTTATGACCGTTGAGCGGAAATACATGTAATAATATATACTTTATCATCTTCAAGAGATGATTCTAATAATTTGATTCACTTTCGATGGTCAATAATTCAATTTAAAAATAGCAAAATGATGCATTATTACTATGTTACTAGTAGATCTTAGAAGGAAAAAAAAAAAAAAAAAAAAAATCATTGTTGATTAGGAAGCAGAGCAAAATTTCATGTAGATCATAAAACTAGATTAAGACTTTATTTATATTTAAGTCTAATTATTATCTAACCTATAAAATTAAACCAATCCATATTGTTCTTTCATAATTCAAATTGGTTTGTTTAGCTTATCCTATGAGATTCATTTTAATCATCTAAAACTGAATCGAGTTGAATCATGTACAACCCTAATTGTTTGACTAGATCATTAGTTATTATATGCTTTCATGCACGCAAATGTTGACTAGTTTGTATGTCCCATAGATTTAAGGTTACGGCTCTTTTGTTTCGATATAAAATATTCTTTTTATTTTATTTTTATTTTGTCAGTATTTGACAAAGACCTAAATCGAGGTTGAGGTCAAGTAGTCCATAAGGCGAGACATGTAAAATAATTTGTCAAAAATTAATGAATAATTTATTTTTATTAAAATTTAATTTTTTTTTTTATTCGTAAATATTTTACAATAACCAAACATCAGAAAATAAAAAAAATATATTTTCTTTACTTTGGTGGATATATATCAAACAATAGTGCAGCATTTGATTGATTAATAGAATCTCAATTCAAAAGAATCAAGATAAATGAGAAGATATAAATTGAATTCAATTCATACTGTGTTAAAATTGCGACAGGGACGAACTTCCATCAATTACAAATAATTTGGAGGTTGGATTGAGAACATCATCAAATACACAAAAACCATCAATCCTTATTTTGGCGCCCTCTCTCCCCAACACTTCGAAAAAAAAAAATAAACAAATAAAAAATCCCTGAAAGCAGCAAGGAAAAACAAATATTACGAATTTCTTTTTTTGGGTCATGAACGAAGAGAACCTTCCTTCAGACTATAATGAGCATGTCTTAGCAACTTGTGAGCAGAAATTTAAAAAAAAAAAAAACTACCATTGATTCTGCTAGTAAACATCTTCACTATCTTAGCTAACTAAAAAACACCTGCAAAAGTCAAATGATAACTAGTAAATGACAAACAAAAAATAATAGTACATAGCAGTGGTGGTGATGGCGGTGCTGAGTTAATACAGTAGAAGGAAAATGAAAAGAAGTGGGGGTGGAGGTTAAATACCACCATACCATGCTTCTTTTGTACTCCGTATATTTCATTGTTTTGGAATGTAACATAGGTACCCACCTGACCCTGCAGGTGTTGCTGGTGTAGGTCCAAGTGAATCTTTATTCACTGCAAACGAGGGGTATGAAATCCGAGGTTGGGTTGCGTAAGGAGCAGCTGCTGCGGGAGGACTCTGGTAAGCAGAAGTAGGATATGTCGCCCCAGATTGAGGGTATGTGTAGGCAACAAGGGCAGTGCTGGAATATGCTCTTCCAGCTTGTGGGTATCCAGATGCCAGGGGTACAGGTACCGGAACAATTGATGATGATGGTATCTGTGTTTGCGCTACTCTGCCTCTGTGGTTATCAGCAAGCTTCACAGTAATTGTCCTCCCCTGCAACCAAACAGGAAACTTCATAATATTAGAAAAATATCATCTGATAATCTTACTCCTACAATCAGACATGCCAAACATTTTCCTGTAAGAAAATTTGTCAAAGAAAATGAGGATTCTTAATTTGATTAATAATTAGAAAATATAAAAAATTAAATGCATAAAATGTGACAAAATGGAACAAAGGTGTTTGTTAATTTCGATGCATTTCACATAACTAATAAACTAATCAATAACATCAACGAACCAGCAATAATGACTTCAGCACGATTTCCAGCTCCCCCTGTGCATGATTTCTTTTCCAAGTAAAAAGATTTTATGTCCACCACTTAAATAACTATTTATTCATCAATAAAAAGAGTTTATGCTTGGTTCAATTGCAATTCCTTACTGACCATGCCTGACTACCACCCCATTTCTCATCATGGAAATATAATTTCCTTTTTGAATGATTTTTTTTGGCAACTTAGTATAAACTGTTTCAATTAGGCATATCTATTAATAGTTAATGTACTTGATTTTGAAAGCTACAGTAGTCAGTCCATAATAGATAGCGAAAGTTCAAATTTGAATACAATTATCCATTGAGATATTTTCAACGTGATGCACTGTGAAACCCATATTAATCATATGAAATTAAATAGAAGCTCATGCAACATAAGTGAACATCAGGCTTATCATTTTCTTACCCCAACTTTACACCATTTAAAAGAAAAATTAACCAAGATATTCCATCTTTTCAATTGATGCATTAGACACACATATTGCAAATCATACTTGATTATCGGGGACAATCCTTCTATTGACATGAACAAGTTTTGGATTTTAATTTAAATAAATTCAATAGTGCCTATCTATTTATCTTTAACTAAGGTTTTTATTTTTATTTTTTTTTAAAAATCAGTTATATTAACTGAATTACAATTTCTTTCTCACAATGTGAACATACATTTCTTGATTTGACAAGCAATAGTATTCGGTTTTTAATAGGTGCACATCTTCAACCTGAATAATCTACAGCAAGCTTGATTTTTCCCGTGATGCATTGTGCAATCTATACTTATCACCACAACTGCATAAAAAGCTCATGCAACATAAAGTATCCATACAAGGCATATCATTTCCTTACCCCAAGGGTCTTTTGTGGATCATCTATAGCCTTCTTTGCTGCTTCCAACGTCTTGTATGTAACGAAGCCAAAACCACTTAATATGAAACAAGCAAAAAGATAAGGTCTTTACATATGGCAGCGTTGTGAACAATAAAAGCAACAGCAAAACTAACAGTTTATCATTATCTTTATTAGTATTATTGCAGTTTTGTTAGAGTAGCACTGCTATGTTGTGTACCGTGATTTGTTTGTCTCTTTGTCATATGCAACTGAACCCTCTTCTATCTCGCCATGCCTTCCAAAGAAAAAGAGTAGCATCTCACTTGTAGTATCCGGTGACAAGCGCCCAACATAAAGCTTTCGCTGCGCTATATCAGGTGTAACACTTGTGCTGCTTAAGCCCTCGCAAGCTAGGTTACAAGCAGCCAAACGACCCTGAAACATATATATCTAAGCAACATAAATAACAACAACAACAATAATATAATAAAGCGCTTCAATGGACAAAAGATGTTGTGAACGGTCACAAAACTTTAATTAGAAAAAAGTGTAATGTTTATCAATACTATTTCACTTCACTTCATCAATTCTTTCATTTTCTTATTGGGTTATCTTCACGGGGAGATTCTTCAGAGTCCGGGATCCCAAAAATTTGAATTTGAAGCAATGGATACTTTCTAATCTATTTCTTGCTTTTTCACCTCCCCTTATTGGTGCATATGTAAGCAGTGCCCTCTTCCATCGCTCCATATAAAGAACAACTCCCAACTCAAGAAGGTAAGGAATAATCTCTAACTAGCGATGTAAACGGGCCAAGGGTGCCTCCCATTAAGGAATAAAGTGAGGGTAGAAGCACTTGTCAGGCCGCTTTCTTCTTATGTGTCTTGGCGACAGCTACCTCTTCCTGTGGCATCACCGGTGGGAGGCAAAGGGATAAGAGGACATCCTAGCCTCAGCCTTCCATCTTACCGTGGCTACTAGTCATTGACTCGCTTGCGAAGCATATCATCGCTTCATGTTGTTCCCATAATACAATGTAGTACAAGAAGGAGAGGTTGCTAAAAAGTTTCAAGGCATACCCTGAAACATCAAGGACAAATAAGAACCAATTAGATTGTACGGATGCTAAAGACAGGTGGCTAAGGGCATGTAGGATAGATAGAGTCCCAACAATCAAAATGAAGGGTCATTTCGGATAAAACTTGTGGAGGTCGACCAAAAGATTCTCAATCTAAAGGCCGAAAGGTAGAGGAAACCGAAACATTGACTTTCAGTAGCCACAACTACTAATTCACACTTGGGCATAGACGACTGAGCTTAGGATTTCCTCCTGTCAAGTAATCTAAGGTAATATTAATTAATATCTGGTAGTAAAACATCTTCTCTTGCTCTCCTTCTTGAGCTCTCTAATCAAGAAAAGCCTTAAAAAAAATAAATAAATAAAAAAGATGCATTTCCGTTAAGAGAAAAAAGGAAAGACAATCACCTCTCGAGTATTCCAAACTACGGCAACACATTTTCAATAAGCAATTAAAATTTGTGTGTACTAGTCATATTATATTGAAAGTTTGGGGCATCAATATCTGTTACACATATCAAAATTACCCATGCTCTAATTGATATGAATAGGATGCGACCAAGGGAGACTGACATGAAAAGAATGCAACATACGTATTACAAATACATATATATATATAGAGAGAGAGAGAGAGTTTTGTCAATGTGATCACTCCAGGACAAACAGCATTTACATCATTTTTAAATTAGATTATATGAATTTTCAAGAGAAACATCATACTACACTGGTAATTTCAGTAGGGTAGGGGTTGGAAAGAGAGGGGAGAGAGAGAGTTATCTCATCTTCTGATCTTCGAAATAAAATGGAAAATGTGGAGGCATATATTAAAATAAGGTAGAACTTTAAGGGTATAAGGATACATATGCTTACATCAATCAATTTGCTGGGTGCCGTCAGTGCATTTTGAGCCGACTCTATATCTTTGTAGGTAATGAAACCATAACCACGTGATTTTCCTGTTGCTTTGTCAATGATCACAGCCCCCTCTTCTATTTCTCCATGCACTTGAAATGCCTATATGGAGACAAACCCTTAAGAAGTTGAGAATCTTAGATATAAGATCAAGACAAAATGTAAGATTTAAAAGAGAACCGCACAAAAATAATTGTTTTTCTATATGTGAATTATTATGGCCAGAACATATATTCCCTGACAACACACAAAACTCAACCAGCAGTCAGCAACACACTCACAGCACACAAGGTTTCTGAGGTAGTATTCCAGGCCAAGCCACGAACAAAAAGCTTTCGATGGGCTGGATCTGCACTCGCAAGACTTCCAATTTCTTCAGCAATAGAAGGATATTGGCAACCTCTTCATGCAACAACATGCAAATAAGCACACACGCACAGTCAATTCATATAGCATACAATCAGGGACGACATCATACGGTCCGCTCTCACTTGACCCAAGCTCAACACATTTGCATGTTATGATAACAATTATGCATGCATACGTACATGCGTAAACAGATCTATACATGCACAGAGACATATAAATGAATACGGAAACAAATATGAAGCATGCAGTGACACAATCAAATACATCCATGCACACAAATCCAGGTGAAAATACATGTGCTAGGACAGGATTACAAGGCACTTATTTTTTTTTTTGATAAGTCAGGATTAAAAAGGCACTTGAAATGTTTTGAAATGCACAAGGCTTATGCCTTAACACTAGGCTAAATGAAGATGATTTCTTGCCTGAATTTTTAGATGCATATCCATACACATCAAATAGATACACGCACAGACACGTATACATAAATACAGAAACAAACATGAAGCATGCAATGACACACCAAATACATCCATGCACACATGAACAAATCCAGGTGAAAATACATGTAATAGGACAGGATTACAAGGCCCTTTTTTTTTTTTTTTGACAAGTCAGGATTACAAAGCACTTGAAATATTTTGAAATGCACAAGGCTTATGCCTTAACGCTAGGCTAAACGAAGATGATTTATTGCCCAAATTTTTAGATGCATGATTCTTACACATCAAATAGATCCACACACGCACAGACACATATACATGAATACAGAAAAAACATGAGCATGCAATGAAACAACAAAATACATCCATGCACGTGTGCACAAATCCAGGTGAAAATACATGTGCTAGGACAGGATTACAAGGCACCTTTTTTTTTTTTTAAAAAATAAGTCAGTATTACAAGGCACTTGGAATGTTTTGAAATACACAAGGCTTAAAATTTGAAAGGCAAATTTTAATTTCTTGTCCGAATTTTTAGATGCATGATTCATACACATCATATTAAAATTTGCCTTTTGTGCAATATGCACAGTGCAGGTAAGTCTTAACAGGTTCTTTCTATGATACCTCATTTCTCTCATAAGGTCTACCTTAATGGGGCATGCCCTGTTTTGGCTTCATCAATTATGACAAACTGGAATGAGAAAAGGAAAATCCGGAGTTACTGATAGTTGAGACTAAAAGACAGGAGTTGTAAAATATATCCTTGTCTCCAGTTTGAGGAAATAACAAAAGCTATCGGCCTATATCGAGTGAAACTACTTGCTCCTTTCTCCTTGTCCAGCCCTTTAATTTTCTAAAATAGACTTGACCTCAATTCGCTTAATGTAAGCATTAGGAATCACTACTACAACAGAAGGAAAAAATAACTTCCATGCAATATAATCTAACATTAATTATCACCTCTGTGTTCATTAGTGATTAACAAAGAGAAGTTAAAAGGAGCTCAAAACCAAATTTATTCAAGATGTATCAATAGGCTGCAACGATGAAGTTTTTTTCTTTTTTTCTCAATTAACGTGTTGTGGTGGGGAAACATGAACCATGTTTATGGCAAAGTTTTGAAAGGCAAAAGAGTGACTCCTTGTGCTCTTAATTCCAACAAGGAGTTGTGAGCCCCAGCAGTTTACGCTTGAACAAATGAATAAAGAACAATAACTACAGGATAGAAGCTTTAGACTGCAAAGAAAGCATATCATGAATTGTGTTCCAAGTGTGAAAAAGGAATTTCACAACTAAAATGTTTTGTAGTGGAAGTAATTGCAATTTTTTTGGATCTACAATGTGAAAGCAATCAAGATAAATGTTCCAAAGAAATTGAAAGGCCATAATGACATGACATGTGGATTGTTTGTACCCAATGAGCCTTCTTTATGTAATATCTCAACCTTTGGGCTTAGCCGTGCCTTTTGACAAGTCTAGAATTACGTGCCTAGAAAAACAATTGGTCTTAGAACCATTTTTCCTTCTCTCTTGTTCTTCCTTTCTTGTTCTCTTTATTCGTTCCTCTTATTATTATTTTTTACACCCCCACATCTTATAGGAGTTCTCATGGATTTTTTTCTTCTTTTTTCTTTTCCTTTTCCTTTTTCTGCTTCTCTTTTTTTTTTTTTTTCCTTGATCTCTCTCTCTCTTTTGAAAAAAGAAGGAAAATAAAGAAAACAGATACAAGGGGAAAAAAAGTGTAAACAAAAATGTAAAGGAAATAAAAAGAAAAAGAAAAACCTATTCTCTTTCTAGAAGCACAATCCTAGACTTGTTGAAAGGGATGGATTAAAGAAAGTAAGACAGTCACCTGCAGAATACTCCCCAACCTTTGTGGTTGGAGATCCCATGAAGAATGTTCAATTGGTACCAGCACTCCTACAGTCAATCACATAATAATGTCACAGGGAGAGCATGATTTGAGAAATCTCCTTTAGAGAATATGCCAATGAGTCACGATACCTACCTTGAATGAGCCAAAAATGGGAATATGACATAGACATCTCATGCATCTTTGAATGACTAGCCTAAGTGGGAGCTATGCGAGTGTGCAGTTATGAGAATTGGGCTATTGTCTAGTTTTTGTCATGAGAATCAAAATACTATGGTTGTTAATAGTGGTAACCAGCAAAACCAAATAGTCCAAATCTATAGTCAATATTAGGTGTGTGATAAGTTGAAGTTTGCTTTAAGGGCAAAATTCAAGACATAGTACACTCATGACCATCAGATGGTGTATGTTCAAATCTGATAAACACCAATTCCTATTATGTGGTAAAAAGTTGTACGGTTAAATTTATTTCCTGATTATTTAAAATAGATGGGAAATCGGGGATCGTTGGGAATATTTTATAAAAACCATCATTTTTTATTATTTTGATTTAAATTATATTTTGTATGATTTTCTATGCTTTAATATAATCTTGAATCTTAAGTTTTGTAATATAATGGTAACATCCTACACCCTACAAAAAGAGGCTTCTTCAATTTCTAATATATTCCTCGTTAGACTCATTTTCCTCTCAATTTTGTATTATATATATCTTTACACTACTTTACGGATTTTGATAAAGATAGCAAGAATCGGTGACCAATTTTCTTGTGAGCATGCTAATAAAGGAGATACTGTTGAGATTTTTGGGTTGTATCTTGAAGTTATTGTATAACATTAGCAACTGAACTTAGGAAGGATAAAACGAATTTAGAAAAGTGTGTCTTCACGGGACTCTCCAAATCACAGGCCATCTTTTTGTTTATTAAATTATACGAAGTATTGTTTTATTTGATTACCATAATATATCTAATTATATGTTATACAAACAAATCTATGTCAAATTAGGAAAATAAATTAATAAAATATTTACAAATTTTCACAACAGCTACAATCCAAATCACTTATTTTTATTTTACCTTGACAAGAAACACACCCACTTGCCCCTAGGGACTTGAACCCGACCTTCTAGGCTTCTACCTTGAAAGGCGAAGAGGTATCATTAAGCTACAGCTTTAGTCGTAAATCACTTAAAAATTCAAGAGTACGGTTTTCCATTCAGATAGGGACCTGAATATTCATAACATGATTACATATCAAGATTTATAAAACTCAGAAATATAAAACGAAATTCACCCAAAAACTGAAATGCCAAATGAACTGGAATATTTGACAAATTTTACAAGATCATTCCGTACACCTTACTGCCACTGTTCATGACTATCAAAACTTTTCGTGTCAACTAAAAAAAACTAGCAACTGCTCGAATTTGTGCAAATCGAATTTGTGCAATACGTGCAATATCAATACATGCAAATCGAATTTGTGCTTTTCCTAGATTTTTTAGTACCAACTGCTCGACGCATATATCAATACCTTACAAGACTAATTCAAAGCAGAACAAAAAAATCTAATTTTAAAATACGAATTGAAAACAAACCCATGAATAAATGTAGTTAATTGAAACGTACAGTTTTGCGAGGAGATCGACCAACTGGGCTTTGGCGAGGGGGTCAAGCAGCGAACGCAACTGTTCTTCTGAAAGGTTCGACGAAAATTGATCGTTGCCCGTTTCATCGTCAAGCTTTCTCTTCTTCAAATCCTCCATCTTCTTCTCTCTCTTTCCTCTTTGATAGTGTTACGAACCTCTCTCTCTCTTCTCTGTAAAAATTATTGTTTCGGGCTTTTTAAGCCCAATTGTTATAAGGGATGAAACTTGGACATGTCAACTTGAATTTATCTCAAGGCCCATCTAGGTTTTGGACAGGCTTTTTAGAGTATACTTTTTGTGGCCTAGGGTATATTTTTAACCACATAGTACTATATTTTAGAATTTCACTGATTTCCATTTTTTAAAATAATTACAAAACTATCCAACAATATTTAAAATAATAAATTAAGAAAGAAAAGAAGAAGTAAAAAAATAAAAATCAAATTCCAAAACACCGTAACTGTGGCGAACACATTTCTGACTCAATTTCACTGTGTGTTGGTGCCTGACGCCCACGTTAGAGGGCTAAAAGTATCAAATAACCGGATAGGACTTGAATCATCAATTTCTTTTTTTATAGAATAATGACATGGAGACTAATGAATTAACTCCTAATAAATATCGAATACGTGTTTTTGTCCACTTTATATACTTAAACAGTTTTAAAAAATAATTGTTTAACATGTGATAACAATGATTAATCACGTCAAATTCGATACTAAAATAATTGTTTAACACGTGATAACAATGACTAATCACGTCAAATTCGATACTAATTCGGTAATTCTTTTTTAGTTTCCCTATCATTACTTTATTATTATTACTAATATAATTAGTATTCCAGTTTAAGTTCATCAAACCATTTTTTTTTGGGCTCATCAAACCAAACTAACTTGAATCTAACCCAACTTATTGAACTCTCCTCAAGTACAGAATAATAAATTTGGGCTTGACTCATTTGGATTTAGTTGAATGTTTAATATTTCGTAATTTTATACCTTGTTTAAAAAATAAATTGAACCATTAACTCGTACAACCCAAAATTTTAACCACTCAACATATGCCATGCACAAAAAGAAAAATAACAATAAACAATCCTAAATTAGGGAGAAAAGGATTAATAGATAATATTATTTTGAAAATTGAATTATTTCGTATTAGTTTATATCCCGACAAGAAACTCACACATGCACAATATGGAGCCAAAGAGGGTCCCGTGGAGGCAACTGCCCTTATTGAACTTTCTTATTATTTTCACTATGTATTTAGATTTTTAATTAATTCTATAAGTACTCTCACTAAATTCTTAAAAAAAGCGTAAAAGAGACTCATTTTACCAAGTCAAGGTTCAAAAAGACCCATACATATTCTCTTGGACCTCACAATATTTAGAAAAAACTTTAAAATCATTAAACATTTCACCTTTCTTGAGAGTGAGAGAGTTCTAGACCAAAAAGAGAAATAGGAGGGGGTGATTTCGGCAACTAGTGACAATACAAATAATAGGTATGTGAATCATGCTAATTAATTTGTATTTTTATTGTCTTTCATTATTACTTGATTAGTCAACAATTAATTAGAGAGGTTAATTAGTATTTGGATGATTTTAGCAAATTTGCTCTGGAAATCTCGTGCTTTGGGTTTGCTATTTTTTAATTATTAAATGAACCCAATTTTTAGACTGTGGTATAAAATATAATCACATTAATATTTTATTTTTTTATTTATCATATTGGTTTGTTTTTATTATTATTTTTATTTATTTTTATTTTATTTTTATTTTTTTTACGCTACTGTCTAAAGGTTACCCCAAAGGAAATTTTTGGCTCCGCCATTGCTTATGAGGACTTGAATTCTCAACTTTTGATTTTAAAAAATAAGAAAATACAATTGAACTACTATATTATTGCGAGTGTTACATGAAAGGCAGCACAAGAATAAGTGTCGGTTTTTTTATTATTATTATTTCGACAATAATGATGTTGGACCTCGCAGAGTATTTACATAATTTATCGCTAAGCACATGCAATCCTCCCGTTTTACATGTATTAGACAATTATCAAAAATTCTTTGTGGTGGCCCTAAGACGAAAATAACCATTTCATTCAAAACTAATGTCAACAACTAGATTGTCCTCAGTTTTCTCTCGCAGCATCATGTGTAGACGGGACCAACAATAATGCTTCACAGATACAGATATGATACGAATATGACATGATATGGATACCGTTAAACAACAAATCAAAAAATATAGGATAAAAATACGGCATAGATACGTCAAAAATAATAATATAATATATATGTTATATATATATATATATATACACACACACACACACACACACACACATTGAGGAAATTTGTTTATCTGATGCTGAAGAAATTGCAGTATAAGTTTTTTGAAGGGGAGGAAAAACTGGTTGTTGGGATTGTAAGTATGTTTGGATGGGGTCATACTGGATTGGGGACATGTCTATGACATATTGGGGAATTGTGGTTAGGGCTGAAAACTGGTTTGTAATTATTGTTGATAATGAACTATGAGAGAAACAGAATATTGAAAAGGTTAAATAATCAACGAAATAATGAAATAAAATATGGAAATATGCAAGATAATAATAGACAACAGAACATGAATAACTTTGAAGAACTTTTGATTAAAACATGGAACTTACAACTTTGATCTTTTGGATACAATACTTTTGTTCTGAGCCGAGCTCCTTGGATGAAGTAAAACTAAAAACTTAAACTTAAAAATTACAATTTTGAACTGAGAACTTTTGAAATGGAAACTAAGAACCAAACTTGAAAAAATGAGCCTCTCTCCAATGTCTTGAGGAGCTGTTATTTATAGGGCCTCGAAGGAGCCTTGGGGAGCTTTGGATTCCTTGGTGATAAGGATGCAGCATGAGGCCATGTACAAAGCCTGAAAGGCTGATTTGAGGTGATGTCTTCTGAATGATGCTGGAGGCCATGTGCAAAGCCTGAAAGGCTGAATTGAGGTGATGGTCACTGACTTGCCTTGGATTCCTTTTTTGAAATGCTTGTCTGTCATGAACACCGAAAGGTGCTAAAAGCCTGAAAATGGAAAACTGTTGAATAAAATTTTAAACTGTAGATTTTTTTTTTTTTTGTCGCTATGCAGCGGCATTGAATGACCGAGGTCAGAAGCTTTATTGAAATGAAATGATGATTTTTGAGAATATTGTTTACTGGAGCTGTTGGGTAAAAATACCAAAACAGTCATCTTCATTGGGTTGGGCCAGATCTGTTTGGGAACCATGGAAAGAACCTGAGCCTTCACTTCTGTTGGAGCCCATTTTTGAGAAGGCTATGGGATTGACTTGGGCTAAAGCTTCCATGAGGAAGGCTTCATACTCAACTTGGGATTTTGCTGAAGAAAGCTTTGCTTGGGCCTGGCTTTTGGATAGGAGGAAAACTGAAGACTCTCATAAGCCAAAACATGATATTGCAGGGTGCTTTGAAAACCATTCTGAAATTGCTTCTGGGGTAACATCTTTGATAGAAAATTGGTCCCACCAGTTGACTTTGAAAATCTTTCCTAGAAAAGGAAGATTAGAAGGGGTTTTGAGGATTTGGAATTGCCATAGAACTATCCATGATGATGCGAAATTTGCAAAAAATAAGAATGATTTGGGAAATTCAGAAAGCTCAGGAGGAGCTTGGAATTTTTCATTGAAAATTGAGAATCCCTTGGACACCATTTCAGGGATAATTTCTTGGCAGGGACCAAACATATGCCACCAGTCAATGAACCATCTGGGGACATTTAGATTGAAATTCTTTTGGAAAAGGATAAGCTAGGAATGGCTATAATCCTGATTTTGGAAATAAAAGGTATTGTACCAGGCATCTTGATAGTCCCAGTAATTGAAAGTTTGAGGGTTGCGAGGCTGAGAAAATTGCCTCAGAGCATTGATGTTTTTACCCCAAGCTGCCGGAGTAAGGACTTTTTGAATGGTACATGTGGTGTGAGAAATGAAGGACTCATCACCTGGTTTTGAATGAGTTTGAATTTTGATGGAATCAGTGTCCACTAAAATAAACTCATAAAAATTTTGTGTTTTCCGAAAATCTGATGATGGATAATGAAAACCTTTGACAAAATGGTTTTGAGAAAGTAAAATTGGGTTTTGGTTAAAAAGTTCTTTTTCAACCACACAAATGGTTGATGAATTTGGTTTTTGAAAATAACGAGATTTTTTGAGAGTGGGATTGTTGACCACCACTTGCTGTGAAACAGATCTTGAGGAAATTTGTTTATCTGATGCTGAAGAAATTGCAGCATAAGTTTTTTGAAGGGAAGAAAAAACTGGTTGTTGGGATTGTAAGTATGTTTGGATGGTGTCATACTGGATTGGGGACATGTCTATGACATGTTGGGGAATTGTGGTTAGGGCTGAAAACTGGTTTGTAATTAATGGAGATGGACTAGCACACATAGCTTCTTCATTTTCCTCGACTTTATCATATCAGGTTTTTTTGGAAGGGTTCTGAGAAGAGGATGATTGTGCATATGCATCTTTTGTTTTGTGGGGTTTTGTGCTTGCAACTGAGGCTCCTATACCCGTCTTGGGAGGCATGGTAACCGCCCTTAAGCTCCTGTTTTTCCTTGCAAAAATTCCCTGGTGAGAAAATCAGGAAGAGAATTGTTTTCTCCTTTTATATATTCAATATCAAAGTCAAATACAGAAAAAATAGCTTGCCATCTGACAAAAATTTGTTTTGAGGCTATGTTATGAACACCTTTCTTTAAAACAGTTTTTGTAGATTGGCAATCAACACGAACTAAAAATTTTTGATTTAGTAAGTCACTTTGAAATTTTGAAATGCATAAAATTATAGATAAAATTTCCTTTTTGACTGTATAGTAATTTTGTTGTGCTTGGTTCCATGTGCCAGAGGCGAACTGAACTAGTTGTTCCTTGTCACCTGTTTTTTGTTTTAGGATACCTCCATATCCTAATTCAGAGACATCAGTTTCCACAATTTTGAAGGCTTCTGGATCAGCAATAGATAGGCAAGGAAGGTTTTTTGCTTTGCTTTTAAGGATTCTGACTGTTTTTGTATGCTCATCGGACCATGGGGGAGGGGACTTTTTTAATCTTTGGCGTAGTGGAGCACAAAGAAGAGAAAGATCCTTGAAAAACTCAGAGA